ATCTTCCTTGCCCCTCCATTGCCTCTTGTTTCTTTCATTCTCATCCATCTTGATTGATTGTCTTGTGATCCTTTGTCCGTGCCATTCCGGACAATCGCATCCATAGTATCAATTCTTTCATCGCAATCCCATACATCCAACCAACCACCTCCTCCATCAACATGCCTCGCTTCTCCGATGATGACCTCGGCGGCGACAACACCAGCCCCAGTGGTCCTCCCCCCTGCCCCCAGCGACGGTGCTGCCCGCGAGTCTGTCCAGGCTGGTGTCACCATCCCCTCCGACAACCACAACCACACCATTGAGATTCCTGCCACTCGCAGCTCCATCAGTGATACTCACATGCAGCGCCTGAGCCTGTCTCCCTCCATGCGGGACCGCCGGGGCTCTCGTAACTCCTTTGGTGTCTCTCTGCCCATCCCTCGTTCCCCACGCAGGTCTCGTTTGTCCATTGCTCACCAGCCCGGTTCGGCGGCCCGCGATATCATCGCCTCTCAGGTGCAGGACACCCACAAGGAGAAGGTCGACAAGGTCAAGAACATGTGCTTCGCTTTCGACATTGACGGTGTGCTGGCACACGGTAACAATGCAATTGCAGAGGCCAAGACAGTCCTGAAGATCCTGAACGGCGACAACGAGCTCGGCATCCAATTCCCCTACATTCTCCTCACCAACGGTGGTGGTAAGACTGAGGAAGCTCGCTGCCAGCAGCTGTCCGAGGTCCTGGGCTTCCCCATCTCCACCGACCAGTTCATCCAGTCCCACACTCCCATGCAGGCTCTTGCGGAGTACTACGACAACGTCCTCGTCTGCGGTGGCGAGAGCAACAACATCCGTGGTGTTGCCGAGAACTACGGTTTCAAGAACGTCGTTATCCCCAAGGATATCCTCGCCTGGGACCCCACTATCTCCCCCTGCCGCAAGTTCACCGAGGAGGAGAAGAAGGAGGCCAAGGTCCGCGACTTCGCCAACTTCAAGTTCGACGCCATCATGTGTTTCGCCGAGTCCCACGACCAGAGCACTGAGTACCAGATCATTCTGGATCTGCTCCTCTCCGCCAACGGCCGCCTCCTCACCCGCGCCAAGGATCCCGCCGCCCGCGATGCCGTTGCCGGCCACATCCCCATCTACTTCTCACAGGGTGATCTGCTCTGCCCCACCGAGCACAAGGGTCCCCCTCGTCTGCACCTGGGTGCCTTCCGCGTTGCCCTGGAGGCTCAGTACAAGGCTCTGACCGGCCGTGACCTCGAACGTATCGTCTACGGTAAGCCCGAGCGTGCTACCTACATCGTCGCCGACGAGGTCATCAAGAACTGGATGGAGCAGATCCACGGCCAGAAGACCCTGCCCGAGAACATCTACATGATCGGAGACAACCCCCAGTCCGACATCATTGGTGGTAATCTGTACGGATGGAACACCTGTCTCGTCCGCACCGGTGTCTTCCAGGGCGGCAAGAACGACATCAACAACCCTGCCAACTTTGGTGTCTTCGACCACGTTCTCGACGCCGTCAAGACTGCCATTAAGAAGGAGCTTGGTGACGACTTCAAGTTCGAGTGGAACCCTCCCAACCCCACTGCCACTGCTTCCTCCGCTATCCTGGAGTAAGTTAGTTAGGCGGTGAGATCGGTGGTTGAAAGAAGATTCGAAACCAAAAAATGATTCCCCCATGTTCATTCCAGAATGATTCTCTATTTCCTTGGTCTTTTTTCCTTTTTTCTTCTTCTCTCTCTCCTATACTTCTATCTTCTTTTTTTTCTCTTTTGATCTCATATCTCTTTTTGTGTATGTGTGACCTGGTTGGTACCAGTTGGTCTCCATTTACTATTTTTGCATCATGACCAGTTTAATGTTGGTATATCGCAGCTATTGATACTGCGCAAACCAACCGATTAGGTTCAGGTTCTGGCCATCCGGCTGGAAGAATTTCACGAATAGCTTTACGAACATAGACATTTTTTCCCTCCAAATTTTCCCATCTAAATTTCATGTAGAGTTTAAAGTGTAAACTACAGTGGCGACTGCTTTCGCCTTCCATGTCGGAGACATAGAGACGCTGTTTCAAACCCTAGTCACATGATAAAATAAGCCATATATGGATAGGACGTAAAGAATCCGTATTGTCCCTTACCATGTAATTTATACCAGAGGTTTGAAAGACCAGTATGGAAGATACGTGGTCTAGAACTAGAAGTTTAGGGGTGCCATGAAGGATTATCTTTTTACCCGCCTGACTCTTGTTGACTTCTTAGCCTTGGCCCCTGGGTTAGCCTTGGCCCCTGGGTTTAATCTCGGCCCCCAGGTTAATCTTGACCCCCTATATATGTGTGCTGAGACAAATTCCCTTCCTTTGCTTTTGACAACGCTCATATCAATTTAAATCGGTGAAAATTTGATTATTGAATACACTCTTACCAAGATGACTTGGAGTATCCCATTGCCTAGATCGTTCGTTATACTTGGCCTCATCTTCTATTACCCTGCCATGGGCGCTTATTACATTATTGGCTGTCCTTTCCTTGCATATGAAAAATATCAAAAACATAAACAGAAGAAGCCTACTCGAGTCCGACCTTTACCATGTGATCGCAAACGTTCGTTAACACTTCCATTATCTGAATCGTACTCGCCTTGGTACCGTAAGGGTTGGCACCAGAAAACATTTGATCAATCACAATCCCCATTTTTCAGACTACCGAGGGAACTACGTGATATTATATATCATCAGGTGATTGTACCTTCTAATGGAGCTGATATTCATGTGGGTATAATGGGCCACCGGCTGTGTGGCATTATATGTGGTGAATCGGATTTTTCCCGCCAGGGGTGGAAGCACAACTGCTGGAAACCCACCAACCGGAGCGGTTACTCGATAGAACACTTGGATCCTTCTCATTCTCACTCAAGAGGGTTTTTTGGGCTCTTACAATCTTGTAGGAAAATGTTAGTCACTTTATTGTTACTTTATGCCACTGTTTCCACTGTCTGACAGCTATCTAGGTATTCTGAATCTATAGACCTGCTCTACACAGGAAGTACCCTGGATGTCAGATCAACAAAAACGATCATGGCTATGGAAAAGGTGCTGGTGCCACATCGCTTAAATTCCATCTCTTCTCTCCATCTCGATACCGAGGCAATCCATCGATCATTTAACACCAAACACGGCAGTTTGAAATGGCCTACAGATGTGCTGTGGTATTGGAAAGGGGCATGTGGAATTCTTTCAAAAATGCAGGGTCTTCAAAATCTGCAAATTTCTTTAACTAGAGGAAAGCTCTGGACGTCCTGGGACCCTGATATCGACGGGTTAGCCTGGCTCTTGAAACCCTTAATGGCCGTGAAACAGGTTTCAAACTTCAACGTGAATATTTACTGGCCCAAGGCAGTTGATCTGGAAGAGCTTCAATGCGAGCTAGGGGGGGAAAGCCTCCCTTTCGTCTTGAAATAGTGGTAGTCAATATACCTGACTGTTCTCTTTAAATAGGCTAGGCTATACAATCTCAACTACACAAGCCCCAGCGGATACATAGTCTAGAGATTCACGGCGAGAATCGGACTCCTTACTATCAGAAGTCCTAATAGCTATCTATCGTTTATGTAAAAGAAAAATATGTACCTTCAATTAGTGTGATAAATCAATTCAATATAAATGTAATAAGTTTGATCCAGGCTAGCTTAGAAAAGACAGATTACACTTTTCTATATTTGAAAAGGTAGCAGAATCGTGCTAATCAATTAATATATCCTCTGAACTAGACTCAGCCTATACTTTCCTCTTTATGGACAACAAATATCGAATTATATTAGCAACAAAGGACGATATACTTGGTGGCGGGCCAGGAGGAATTGTGGGAGAAATAGGCTGCCGAACAACCGCATGTTCCTGCGTATATTAGTGATATAATGCTCGCTACACTTTACCAATTCGGCCATTTGTGATTTAATCGGTCTGTTATTGCTGCTTATCTTGTGCACAATCATCTTACGCTGCCAGGGACTCAGGTTTAGCGTCATTTTACAACTATGTAGGTTGATTCTTGCCTGGGTTGGGATGTTTCAAGTTGGAACGAGGATATGGCGAGCTAGTTATTTTTGGATCAGTAATAATACATAAAATTACAGCTTTTGTCTGTATTAGCTTTACGGTTCAAACCCAAAACATAAACTAAAGTACGGGAGTAACCATATCTGGATTTGGGTGATCATGTGATTAGGGTTTAAAAGAGCATCTCTGTGTTTCCGACATGGAAGGCGATGCCGGGCGCTACTGTACAGCCTTCCGTTTCAGTTTCAGCCACTCGATTCAGCCAGTTGCAAGGCTCAGCCTCACCCGTCCAATTCGGCTTCTTTCGGCGGCCGGTGAATTTCCGACGCACAGCCCGCTTGGTCTTTGCCCCACTGACCGGCCCGGGAAAGAGGTCAGCCACATCATCATCTCAGACATGCAGATAGGTCTAGCTTCCTTAATTATTGGGATCCATGGTTAGGGGTATTTGTCGGGGGAATGTAGCTCCCGGAGGTTTTATCCACTAGATGCGAATGACTAGAGATGAATAGGAGAGAGCGAGGCAGCAACGGGAGCACGATCTTTGATGTCTGAGACATCTAAACTCGGCAGAAACTCATTTTGATACGGTATGTATAATAGGTGAATCCTGGAACTGTTGGTGTTGGCGTGCGCATTCCTCAGGCAACCCTTGGTTTGCCTTCTGTCTGCTCTAGATAACGTTCTTTCTCTCATCCATCATTCATCTAGAGTTTTGCATCCCCGTCATCCGTTAATAATATTTTGATTGACCCAGATGCCCGGGTGGTCTATCCAAAATCAACCTGGATACCCTCCCAGAATACTTTGGCTGTCTTTCATACTTCTTCCCATGGCAGGCCCGGCGCAGAAGTTGCACCAAATCCAAATAGTCCCATTCAAGGGCTTGGGATTCCACAATAGCAAGTTTCCGTGTCTCAGGGGACCTCTCATGTACATATCAACCCGGTTACGCAGGATGCCTTGGCGACTCTTCATATTTCTTCCGAAAGTAGGCCCGGCGCAGAAGCGACACCACACCTGGATTGCCTGATTGAAGGGCCTGGATTTTCGCATAGGAAATTTGCCGTTCGAATTGCTGTAGACATATGTTCCGGCCATCTAATGCTTTCAACATCAAGTGGACCATAGACTTATTCAGAGCCGCAGCCGCGGATATTGGGCATACATCGCTGCGTCTTCGTGATTGCATTGGATCTGCATTGCGGTCCAACAGTAACGAGACGTATTGCTCAACATCATTGCTGTCGCAGATATGCTCGATGTCCTTGGTTTTGCAGTTACCCCCCTTACTGAGAACGTTGAAAAGAGGACTATCAGCTGCGGTGATATCGACCCCATGCGCGAGTAATGTGTCCAGGGTAGAAATGACCTTCTCAATATCCGTGCTTGGACATTCTATACACCCCAAGAGGTTCCTTCTGTGTACAACAGATATGTCAAATACCAAACCTCTTGCATAGAGCAGATTGATAACGTCGGTATCAGCCCTTTTGACGGCACCCATCAGTGCAAGTTGGGCTTCCTCGCTATTTGGCGTGACCTTATAACCCTGCCCCAGAAGATATTCCATTGTGCGAACGCCCCCACCGGCGGCATCTATGAGAGCTTCGCCCCGCTCATCGTGCATGAGTGAATCGAAGATCCCCCGTCTCTGAAGGATCTTCATAATATCAATGGCCCCGTCTTTCAAAACCTTTTCAAGCAGCGATTCACTCCATGATCTCTTCCGATCAATGCTAGCCTTTTGATCAAGCAAGAGCTCAAATATCTCGGGCGATGCCACAGCTTGACGCAAGAGAGAAATTCCCCTTCATCCTCTCGATAGTTCGGATTTGCCCGTGTTCTAGAAGAGTACGCACAATAGGCAAATGGGAGTGAGCGATGGCCAACGTGAGCGGATTTGGTGTGAATTGATCCTTCTCTTCGCACAAGCTAGCATTGTATTCAAGCAAAAGCCGAGTGGTTCCCAGATGGCCATTATAAGCAGCGAATGCCAATGCCGAGGGATTTCTTATGAACTGACGATGACGGTCATAGGGTGACAACCCCTTGAGAATAATGGACGAGAAAAGGCAGGCGCTTGGAGTGGGAGCATCAGGCGAACAACCTCGTTCAAGAAGCTGCCGCAGCATGAATTCCCACCCACAGGCAGCACAAAGCAAGAGGAGCATTGCGTGCTCATCATCGCCAGCATCGCCGGAGGCGATAAGTTCCAATAAATTCATAGTGTTTCTGAGAATCTCAGCCGCAGCCATATGGCCACGATCCGCAGCGGCGTATAACGACCTCGCCTTGAAATCTCCATCGGGAACAACTGGGTCAGCCTCATACTCCAGAAGCAATTTTAACACCTCGCAGTGCCCATTCTTAGCTGTAAGATAAAGAGCTGTATTATCCGTGTCTGCAGTAATAGCATTTGAGTCGGCACCTTCCTCTAGCAGGTACCGGACGATCTCAATATGTGCTTAGAGCAGATTGGCTTGGGTTTGCTGCTCTCGGTGGATTGACTGAAGCTGATCCCGAAGTGAGCTGATCTGAGAGTTTTGCTGCTGAACTAAGGATTGGAGAGTATCGATCGAGGACTGAAGTCCGCCGAGTGTAGCACGGAGCTGATCAAAGTCAAAATCTATCTCGAATAGATAAAAAGCGATAAAAAAATGATGTCAGGGCGACGAAGGTGTAGCGACGAAGTGACAGAAAGTGAGGTTTCGAAAGAGGGGAGGTTTAGAGGATTCTCTACCGCGGCCGACGACGAATACACACAGTATCCGTATACGTACAAGGCTTACGCAGTCTCTCTGAGATGAACCGACAGAGGAATCACTAGGGTCTCTCGCACGCAGCTTACCAGCAGGTGATCGTGTCAGGGCGTGCCATACAGCGACTCAGGGCTTTGAGCGTGGAAGCTATTACAATGTGAGGATGCTCAGATGCTCACAGAGATCAACGTACGGCGTAGCATCCGAAGCAAAGGAAACAGTAGCTGTTCGACAAAAGTAATAGCTTGAGGAGAAGAAGAAGAAGGAAGCTGAGATGGGACTAAGTACATATAGGCGTGGATGCCTAGGTGGATGCCATCTACGTCAGGCATCCGCGAATGGTAACAACCCCAGTTCGTTACAGAAGGTCCCCAGTGGTCTACCGTTTAGTGGTCCCAAAAGCAGGCCTCCGATCCCTCGGTATCGACCAGGAAAGAAGCCTTGGCATGTGACAGCTCGCATGCATCGCCAGACTAAACTCCAACCTTCGCTGAACATGACAATTTTAATATTGGCAATCAATCTATCTATACTTCCTTGTTGCCAATCGTGCCGACGCCTCTATCGGAGGCCAAATGATAATGACATTCGTTTGGCAGCGAAGATTTAGACGCTTGTTATCTTTCATTTTAGGCAGCAAAGTCAACTCAGGCAATTTAGCCAGCTGCTCAATGCCCACTGAGTCCCCCGAACTGGCATATCCTGGTTTAATTTCATAAAATTTTGGATCACAATTAAAGCAGAATGATAGATATTACGCTTAAGTGCCGGTGTCACTGAGTACCTCCCTCACCATGTCTATCATCACGATGTTGGTGATGATGGCCAAAGCTCCAGTCACTAGAATACAGCCGATGTTTTCGTTTACCCCAACCCACATCAACGCTAAAATGTCCTGTATGCCCATGGAACACTTGATTGCTGTCTTTTTCGCCACACTGGGCGCTGCTGACTACCTCCCAATCAGCATCGCAGTTATCATGTTCATCTGCTTGCTCGAGGGCATTGGGATTGGAGTGACTGTCATTTCCGACAAAATCATTTGACCCACGTGGTGTAGCGTTTTCTTTGCCACCTATTACGTATTAGCTTGTGATTTGGACGGGGGTACAGATGGATAGGATATGTACCGTTTGAGGCTTCCTGTTTTGCCAGTCCTGTCTGAGCACTTTCTATCTTGACTGCTTGAGACTTGGTGTTCTGGTTTTGAAGGGTAGACATGTTTGGCAGTAAATAGAGCCCAAGCGGAAGAAATCGTCCTTTGAGATGCTGCTTCAGAGATTGAGAGTGGGTGGCTATAAGGAGAGAGCAGAAACTAATTCAAATAGACGTAGGGAGGAGATGAGGAGGGGGGGGGGAGGAGGGAAATTGGGTGCGGCCCGTCAGAAATAGGAAAATGCATTCACACTTACGAGATTTGTCAGTCAGATCATGTGGCTTCGAAAGGTATGCATTAGTCACACGTAAAATATCTGAATCGAACAATAACATGTTTAAATGTCCTTATTAATGCCTTATCTGCCTACTATAAATGAACATAATCTACAATACCTGCGATTAGGCGATAACAGCCTCATTTTCAGGGACTTGTCATAATAGCCCTTATATCTTATCATCCTTGTTTTCTGTTTGACCATAGCTCATGTTACAGCACGCGCTTTATCCACACAATAATACGAACAGGAAAATTTCGGCTCAGTTCATAGCAGGCTCCCCTGGAATAGCAGGTCATATACCTGTTCCCATTCATTCAACACTCGGCGGCTTGTCATTACAAGTAACAGTAACAAATTTAATATCCGGCACCTGATAACCGTCCGTAACAGCACCCTGCTGAACATAGAGTCTATTCGCAGGTTTCTCATCGCAAGAGTTGGTTTTAAACTGAAAGTCGCAGTCGAAAATTCCAGTTCGAAGCTTCACATCGACACATCCAGTTGTTTTGAAATTGTGGCAGGCTCCGTTTCCGGGTCCGCTGACTTTCGAGGATGTCCCACCATATTACCCGCTTGGTTCGACGTCCGGATAGATGACAAGTTCCCAATCCTCGTCGGCACGGCGAAGGAAATTAGGCTCTGGAGATGCAGGGATGGCGGAGGCAAGGGCGATACTTGTGAGCAGAAAAGCAAGGAGGGTGGTGAAAAGAGTGCTCGGCTATTCGTGATACTGTTTGTTAATCTCCGAAAGGGCTAAAGATTGAGGGCACGGGGGCTTGAAGGGTTTGTGCTTGCCTTCATGGTGATCTTGCTAATCAGAGAGATAAAAACAATGGTATGAAATAGAGCGTTATTGGTATATATTGTTATTCAGGTCGTCTAGTTTGGTATGAAGAGAACGAACGAAGCTAGGTAGAAGGTAGATCTTTCCCTAGATTTATAGCCAGCTATGGACAAGCTCAGTCACAAGCACCAGGTAGCTTGTATTAGTAAAAGACCTCGGGACTCAGTGTCATTTAACCCTTTTTGCCATTTTAATAATAATTTCGAAAGTCCCTTACTAGCATATCACCGCATTGCAAATAAATTCCGATCGATGGTCATATCCAGTAAGTTGAAAAGTACGCTCCTTTTCCTTATCAGTTACCCGAGGTTAGACGCCGTGGAAAGTACCCTTACCTCCTTAAACAAGGAAAATTGATTGCTAAAGTACAAATCATATCTTAGGCGAGAAATTATAATGTAACAGCTTTAATCCCGGCTGCATTAATGTCGGCTAATGGCGGATTTCTGCGCCAAGATAAGCAGCATTGCATTACTAAGGGAGCGTAAGAGTGATGTGTAGAGAAATTGACCCCGCTTACTGTAAGTATATCACATTATCACATTAAGCTGGCGCGTAGCTTACTACGTTCTTTCCGGGGCCCGAAAATCAGATCATTTGTAAGGAGGACATGAAAACAAGGTCGTGCGCGAGCGCAGGAATTAATGAAAGGATACGAAAAAGGTAGTAATAGTACATTATCCTACACTTATTGCGGCTTCCTAATCAGATATCCATCAAAGTAAATGCCTAAATTAGAAACGAGATATTTCTCTTATATTCTTCATCTTCAGTACCTTGACCTAATATCTATTCCTAGTACAACAATATTCACCAAATCAATCCCACGAATAAGTGACACCAAACTGCCAGAAGTTAAAGTATTATCGAGGCTTTCAGGGGTGGTCGGTCATTCAATTACGCCGCAGCCGCTTTAATTTCTCCCTAAGCAGGTAAACCTAGCACTCACCCTCAATTCAGACCCGCCAAACCGCCAAGGAAGGCCCGAATCCTGACCTTGGACCCTCTTAGGTAATATCTTAACGCAAAAATAGACCTAATTAGGTAATTTTCTTCTTTTAAGTAGTGATTTGTACTATGTTATGCAAAAAGGGATCCTTCGAGCAACGGTTAACAGTCCACTGAGAGAGAACATGCTGCCGCAAGACCGTACGGTGCTGAGAGGGTCCTCCGTGCTCTCGTGCTGGTTTTGCTTAGTGTAGATCGCTAAAGAAAGCCTAATTAGCCGAGGCGCCCCGGTGGCTAGATATACATGCTAGTAACATGCAGGGGTCTGAAGCAAGAGTCCAAATTCGGAAACGACATATTTGACACGTAAATGGTCTCCGAACTTGTTTCTTGTTCGTCCACACGAGCTAAGACATTCTGCTAATGTAACCTTGGCTGCATCTTGTTGAAGAGCGAATAATTGATTTTCTCTTGAATAATGACTCGATTACACCATCTAAATAATTCCTCGTGAAGAAAGCTACATTCAGGATTCACGAGAGGAGAAGCCCAGCTTTCGCCCATTCTACCTTGCGGTCGAAACTCGTATCAAATGGCGAATCAGGTTTGTTTTCCTGTGCTTGAACGTGCTGTTGGACACTCCCACATTTGGCTAAGTCTAAGCAAATAAATAAAGATCAGGGTGAGCGGAAAGAGGATGTCGGGCGACATAACAGGACATTTTGAGCAGGAGTTGAAAAGCTGTCAACTGTGGTGTGTTCTTTGTTGACAAAATGTTGGAAAGTGAGGGAAAGCGGAGAAGGTAACATGCAGCCTGTTTGACTTGTTTGCATATTCGCGCTATTCCCGAATTATGACAGTCTGCCAGGAAAACAGAGAAACGGTGCAATGGCATAATCAGAAAGCGGCGCTTCGCAGATGATTTCCCGAATGAAGCTTTAAAGGCTTGATGATTAAGCTGGAGCCGGAAAATTATATATTGTAATGGGGATTTCCGCTCTCAACATCGGTGCCCTAGGGTCATGTGACGGAAGCCTTAGCAACAAGGCCCCTACTTTGTTTCTAGAGAATAAGTAGCGTTCGTTCTAGATTATCAATTCAACATGCATGTTCCCCCTTATGAAATGTTCTACTGAGGCTGCTGAGGCTGCGGTATCGGTATACTGCTTATGAAAGGTTCTGTTATTCGCTCTGGTGTTCGTTCTGTTGATTCTCTATAGCGTCACGCTTGCCTATCGTCTCCTTGCACTCTGCGAGTGTGGTAGTGTTGTCTCTTTGCGATCGACCCGTCTGCCAACGCAGACAGCCTACGAGCATTCCCATATTATATATAGCGTCCCCGGGAAGGCTCAATTAACAAGAGGGTGGCTAAAAGCGAGAGCAATAACATTGTGAGAAGTAGGCACTGCGTTTGACCCTGAGATCATACGACGGTATTCGAATATATCATAAAGGGTGGAGAACGGCTTGATCCTAGGTAGGATTAGCCTATTAAATGTTCGAAATATCGGCCGAAAGGTCTATCGAAATACCGCTATCTGCGGAATATATATAGTTTTTACGATCGACGCTTGCTGATTAGCACACAGGAGATGCTACAGCACTAGAAGGATTTTTACGAATGACACCGAGTTAATTACATAAGATAGCGGTTCAGAGATGTCTTGGTATTGGCTATATCTGGCATTCGGTGCTATACAATATTCTGTTATTATTTGCGTTACGTTATTTATTAGAAAAGGGATTACTGTCGGAACAGTATTAATCGTCAACAACCGCATCGTTATTATTATTACCCCTGAGTACGGAGTCTCCTATTCCCCGTTCAGTATCCCCTTCTTTGTCTACATCTTCGTTTGTTTCTGTTTCTACCTAGAAGTTATCCTGTCTGGCTGATTTATTCTCTGATACTACATCTGTTTGTTGTTCTTGTTCTCCGAGACCTTGTTTTCCTACAGGAAAACAATCTCCCGAAACCATAGCTATCAATAACGGCGGAAATAATAGTAAACTTCCCAGCGATATAGCTGTACCCATTACCGCTGCAGAACAGTTTACTTAGTTTCGCGAACCGCTTCCTGAAGCTTCTAGATCGATAATTAGGGAACCCTCTCGTCCTGTAAGTCCTGAAACCGCTGTAAGACCGCCTTCTCTATCCCCTCTGCCAACAGTACCTTCGCGAGATCCTGTACCACCGACTTATTATTATGCTGTTCCGCCGCCTCAACTAATGTATTAAATAATATACAGCGCGATACTAGCTCTAGGATCTTAGGGAGCCCCTGCTTTTAATGAAACTAATACATCTGATTTTCTAAGAAAGCTAGAGGATACCTGTTGTCGCAGTGGTATTGTCCGTTATAAGGTAATTATGGATCTCCTCCCTAATACTACGAAAGACCGCCGCGTATCTAGGTTAAAGGTTATTATGCCTAGAAAACGAGAAATTAGCATATGTTTCGTAAGGCCTTCTTAGATAATTACTATAACTGGGATGATGAGCAGTTAAGGTATACTAAGGAATATCTCGACTAGCTTACTACTATTGAACGTTCGATAAATGACGAGATCTGTTATTATTTAAGCGAGTTTTATAAAGTATCCACGGAAATATTGTTGCTAGGTCTTCTGAGTAATATTAACCGAGTAAGCACGCTTATCAAGGGTCTTCTAATAAAATAGCAGAAAAGAATCAGCCGCGTGACAGAGATGCGGAACCGCTGGCATGTCAATTTCACAGCCCTCTTCAACCAAAAACTTCACCATTGACAAATGCCCAGCTCCAGCCGCCATCCCAAGAGGCGTATCGCCGCGCTCCGTCTCATCATCGATCGGGGTATCAAATTCTAGCAGCAGCTTCACGATAGACTCATGGCCCCTCCGAGCAGCCAATGCGGCCGGATACCCATAATCCTCACTTTCAAACCGATCATCGTTATCGTCAAAATTACTCCATTCCACATCTGCATTGAGGTCGACCCCATGTTTAAGCAAAATGCGCACCACGCCTTCATGTCCGTGAATACAAGCCAAGGCCAAGGGCAACCATTCTTGTTCGTAGGCCTGATTTGGCGAAATGCCAGCATCTAGCGCATAGCGCACTGTTCTTTCAAAGCCATGCCTGGCTGCCCATTCGAGAGCTATCGGTAGTGGATATTGAGCATGGTGTAGGTAAAGGGCGGGGTTTAGGAGAGTGAAGAGTCTCCTATTTGTTTGGAGGAGGGAATTTATCGCGTACTCGTCATCCAGAAATTCTGATATCATGTGAATGAGTTCAGTTGGTAGGTCTTGAAATTGTGGCATGTTTGCTTAGTGTGTGGCATGTTTGGCTGGTGACGCTGTTGGGAGGCCACCCTTATTTTTGACGCGTCTATACGCGCCGCGACTCATGTGACGGGACAGAGCAAACGGGTCCACGCGGTCATAATTGTCAGAATTTAATTATTTTTTTGTGTTAGACTAATTGATTGATGATTTTTAATAACTTCATTCTAAAGAATCCTGATGAGAAGGAAATAGGGGGGGTGTCAGATATTCCAGCTTTGACTTGGCCCACTCCTAGTGCGTCCCTGCCTGAGGCCAACAGCCCCTTATGCCGATCTCGAGGTAAAATCCCGTTACAGTACATTCATGTATTGGATTGGTAGCTCATAACAGATAAGCTTAAGTTTGTGACTGCTAGAGCTTGTGCTAATACTACCGCTATTCGAATTCTACTCAGCAGTACTCGCTCGCTTGACAATAGAGGAGTCGGACGCGTACAAAGACAAATCATTTAGTATCATATGCCCAGGTGAGCAATCTCCGTATGTACGTCCTGCAGACTCATCCGCTGTGGATTTTGCCTCTTTTTCCATAGTTACCACCTATTAGTTTTTACGCCTCCCTCTCTATATGATCTCTCGGTCGCACTCCACATATTCTACACTCGTCCATCTCTTTCCTTCGTGTATATCCTATTTACAGACTCGGAAGTATGAGCTGATAAACTTGCTCCAGGAATACAGACTCTTTGTGGTCATTCCATTTACGCGGTATCCACACAAGAGAACTAGAGATTTTATAGGGTGAGGCTGGATCAACTAATATCTAGTGCACATCCCACTAGTTCCTCTCCCTGCATTCTCCTTGTTCAAGCTGAAACTCACTGCATGCACCAGACTTTCTCCGAACGGATCTCCTCAAATTATGAGATAGGAAAGCTCGCGACAGCAATCGTCTCAATACAACGAAGCAAGAGGCGGCGTGTGGGGAAAGTAGCCATCAGTCTACGATTGAGCAGCTATATCGCCCCACAAGCCATGCACTCCAAGTCCAGTTCAAAAGGCCAAGGCAAAAGATGGCCTGTCAGTGGGCGAGTCAAGATTGTGGGCACCGTTCTCGACAGATGATGGGCTAAGGGAGAATTTCGCCAAGAGTATACGAAGGTTGTGGCTTGCTACCGTCCAACTAAGGCTTGCGACTCTAGACGACAGTAAACACTAATGCATTGAAATGCTGTTGCTTTTTCCGAGCCTTGAATGGTAAGAAGCTTACGGAGGTACAGATGACATATGATAGCATTAAATCCTGACGTGCTGGGGCGAACTTGATTTTGAGCTGAGACCATGCCCTTCCACGGGTCAATACTACCAACATCGTGCTGCTTCGTGCCGACAGAAGTGGACTGCAATGTTGATCTACTTGTCCCTTCTGCGTCTGCTATATCTTGTTACTTTCTTCGAAGCAGCCATTGCCGAAAAACACAGGCTCCAAAAGTGGTTCGCACGCTATGAAAACGCCTTCAGCAATCTGACTCGGGGGAATTGCTCAACGGAATACCAAATCTACGTGAAGGATTCGATCGGCAATGCGACAATCTATCCCGACCTCGAAATTTGGCAAATTGACGATACTATCAGCCCTCTTCTCAATTGTCTCCTCGAGGAGACCCCAGAGCTTTACAAAACCATACTTGCTAGCTCCCAAGTACTGCTAGGCCTCATGCCCACTATCCTCGTGAACGTTGGGCCAAGCCTTCATGAGACAGCCATACTCCAGACGTATGGGAAGCGCCACATTTTAGGGGTTTTAGTTGCTCTGGGAAGCCCCTCTGTGCTCTTCGATAATACGGTTGGTCTTCGTGAGCTTGTGGCCAGCATTCTTAGTCTGAAAGACAGCATTCCAACGAGTCTTCTTTGGGGCCCAAATCATGTCACCATAATTCTAGAGTATATTATGGCTATCACTGCGATAGCGAACATAGGCGAGGTCTGCTACGAAATTGGAGTGAAATCAGCTTTGACAATATCGCAAGAAGAACAAGCCCTGCCTGCGATATGGATATGCATCGGTGCACTAATCCATATACTGGGAGGAGTCATACTGAGAGTTGCACAAAAGAAACGCCAGCCAGGAGGCTTCTGGGTGTCATACCTGAACTTCGATTTCCTTCGATGGCTGGAGAGGCAATTTTCGCCTCCAGTCAAGATAGAGCCGATTGAGTTTGAGCTGCGGCCGTGTTCAGTTTTTGAAATGGTTGTTTCATGGTTGATCGGAATACTTGCTACATTGAATATTATCTGGGGGACGGTGCTTTTCTCTAGCATTCTGTTTGCTCCGTTGGAAGAGGCTCTCTGGATTGTTTTGCGCATCATGCTCTCGGCCATCTTGTGTCAAATCGTTGTTGGTTTTGAAATTTGCGTTATACGGGAGCAAAAGTCGTCTGATCGAGAGCTAGCTAGGATGGTTGCCTGTGCCCTCTGACGATGGTCAGCATGAAAGCTCGTGATTGCCAAAATTCTCATTCAATTTGGTGGACCACGGTTTACTTTTTCAATGGGACAAGCATAGTAAATTATTCCAGATGCCACAGGTGCACTGGCTGACCCAAAATGATTGGTTCCTCCCGTATTGACACAGCAGCAAGCCTTGATGCAATAAGATGGCCGATCATCAATTTAGAGAGGCCTTCGGAGTATGATTGTAGCGATAAGCTCACTAAGATAGTTTATTTACCGAAATTGAAAAGGGCTATTCACAACATCAATGTACGGTGCTCAAGCACAATCGCTGTGGGTCATTTTGCTTCAGACCTTCCAAGGGAGCGCTTTTGTCTGCAAGGGGCTGCTTTGACGAATCGGCTGCCTTTGAATCCTCAGGTTGAACAATAGGGTCAAAGACTGTCGATTGGGATTGCGCACCCCAGCCCTCATTTTCATCGTGTGAGGCCTGAGTATCCGAGTCACGAAGCTTCTTGATAATGGAAGGCTTTAGGCCATATTCCGTTTTGCAGTAAGAATCGAAGTCAAAACGCTCAGTTCGGAATCCACTGTTCAGCTCGTCGTCCAAAGCATCCACATAGTCGTAAGCAGGTAATCCTGCAATTGCAAGTCGCTCATAAGAGTCCTGTACACCGAGCTTCCACTCCGGTACAGCCTTGGACGAGTTCCCAAATTTGTACTTATGAATGACGTTTCCTTGATCATCTAGCTCCTTCCAGCGTTTGTATTCCGAATTAGGAGCAAGAGGCTTGTACAAGGAGTGCTGTTTGCTGTCCTGTTTGTGGAGTGTCTTCATTCGCTCCACCCTGTAGTTCACGACAGGATGGATATGCTCGAAGGTTTCACCAGCGTATTTACCATTGTCATTCCTTGTGCCGTACTGTCCCGGGTACGCCATTTTTTCCCATTCAGATGATAGAAAAGACTATAGCTGTTGATCAGAATGCCTTCTCCCCAGCCATAGCGTCGGATACCCTTGTACTCTGGAGGATCCAGCATTTTTGTGGGGTGCATGATGGTTTCAATAGCGTTGGACACCCATTGCCTGAATGAATCCCTCTTCAAGGTGTTGACAGAGGCTTCCCAGTGCTCGTATTTCTTGTTCAGCGTTTGAAGGTATTCTTCGCGTGCTTTCATAGCCTGAATAACGAAGCGCTCATCAACGGAGAGGTGATTCTTGATCTGATCCAACATCCATGAGTAGGTAATATTAGACATCTCCTCCATGTCACCGACATTATCCAAGGTACCCATGTCTCCTCCGCCAATGTTAACGTGGTAACCAGGGAACCACACTTGTTTCAGCTCGGACTGAGTTTTGAATCTTTCCTCAGATTTCATTCGTCGTCGAGTTACTTTGTTCCACGCTCTGGCGACTTGGTTGACAGTTTTTGCGGCAGCGTTCACTTGAGCGTCGGTTGCCTGGCCACCTTTCTTGAGATTGATTGCCTCTTGTAGGACCTCCGAGTATCGTTTTTCGGCTTCTGCTTCTTCCTTTTTCCTGGCCTCCACATCCTCTCGCGTACAGGCTTTGTTCGGTAGGTACCAGACCGAAGGAGTAAATGATTGGCGGTGTTCGTCTAAGGCCAAGGCTTGGAAGGCGTGTCTAATATCTTGAAAGCTGTTAGTTTTCTGTTTCAATTTCGCGGGTATTGCAAGACAGAGGGCTTCGGTGTGATAAAAAGAAGCAATACACCAATGGAATGTACTTACTTGGTGACAATCCAACATTATGCCAGCCATCCTTACCCGTAGATGGTAGCTTAAACCCAAGTACCTGCGGCATGCCGATGGAGCCCACTGTGTCAAATACTCCCACAACTTTTACCTCCCTCGATCCTTCCTGTGCCCAGTCACCCTGCGGGGCATGTTCATAGCGAAACTCTCGGTTGCCCTCAGTGCCAGCACCTTGATTTTCATCGGCTTTTCCGAACATCCAATCGAACCATAGATCACTTCGATCGAAGCGCTTCCCCTTCTTAACCTTTTTGTATTGGCGCCATAGATCTGGAAAGCTATTCAGCTCAGATTTATGACAGATACCAACATCTGAGATCAATCCTGCGATGGTGCGAGCCGTATACGCGCCGCGCGAGAAACCAAAGCACATAATCTCGTCGCCGGGATGATAGTTTAAAACACAGAAGTTGTATGCCTCAATGACGTTTTGCTCAACACCTTCACCAAATGCACCCTCAACAACATCTTCCACCAAACCAGGGCTAGTTCCGACTCCAGAGTCATACCAGACAACCTGCTGCCACTGATTGCCATGCTCATCTGTGCCAGTGTGGTTTAGCGACCGACACAGACGGGTAACATTCGACGGGACGTTCTTCTTGCCAGACACAGCAGATTGCCAGGTGCCGTCGCAGCAAATAATAATGCGCTTGCGAGTGGGGGCGCGTTGCGCATCCTTTCTGTGACGAAGGACGCAGTCCTCGCCTGGGATGATCTCAGTGTCTGTAGGTGTCATGAGGAAAATAAGTATAGTATATTAAGAGGCTTGATGGTGCTGGAAACAGCAAGCGCAGTGGACGAGGATGAAGAATATGAAGCGAAGATTCCTTGATCGAGGGGAGGGGAGCCCTGAAAATACACCATTTTCCAGGGCTGCAGCTTTTCCCAGCTGAAGGAGCACCACTTCTCGGCAGGGGGGGGGGCCGTGTTGGTAACGTATACAGGAGCCACCTGAGCAACTATCGCCGCAAACTCTCCACTTGGCACGTCTTCATCACGAACTTGTGGAGCTTAGAGAAAGCTAGCCTGATGCGTCCAACCAACCAGCGGTGTGTAATGTGGATGCCTTGACGCTAGGACATTCAGCCCCTCCACTTGTGGATGCATCTTCACGATCCTGCTCGGCTCGCATCGACCTGTGGGCTTGTCACATGGCCAATGATCGTCAATGGATTGCAGATTTGAGGAGTGAGAAAGTTTCTCACTGTCGTACAGGGTGGCCCTACGGCACACTACCGAATGATTCGACTCCAAACAGACATGGGGTACACTGCAAATGTGCATCTACATATGCATGTGTAATAGATGTTGAAGATCTGAGAGCATGTATGTTAAAGTTAATATAACGCCAAGGAGTGATGCATAGGGAAAGGGAAGTGGTGAAAGTGATGTGATGACCCTGGGAAGAAGAAAGCGAAGCTATCTAGAATAGGATGGAAGGACGACCTAGATGCCTGAGGCACCTTGGCCTCAACACCAATAACTAACTAGCCCATGCCGACAAGGCTAGGACAGTGAATTTTTGAATCACTGACTCTGGGCCTCACATCAAACTAGAATTTCTCTTCCCAAACAGTAAACCTTGATTCAGCTATGATTCTACTAACCAGGGTGATAATTACTGAGAAAAAATTTGCACAATGCAGGAAAGAAGGAATGAAAAACTAGTAATGATGCATAAATTCAAATTACTGATTCAGTGTTGAACTTTATTCTCAACAAAAAGGAAAAGAGATGATTCAGTGATGGGCTAACTATGAATTAACTATCTATATGGCTGTCCTTTTTCTTCATTTCCTAGTACTTCAAGGTCTTATCAGGCTCTCTTGGCCCCTTTTGACATAGCTCTTATAGGTTTAAATTTCTTCGATCTTATTTCCTTCAGCAATGGCGAGCACTCGAAGATTATAAACGAAGATGGTCTCACTTTACCTGAGAGACCAAATCGTCTCGCGATGAGAAGGCAAGGGTTCACTAATTAGGATTCCAGTAATCGATCGGGATGCGGGCATGGTAGAGTGGCACGAACAAAATGACTCTGAGAATCCAACAAACTTCACGGTGAGGCAAAAGCCAACATTGGTTCATTTCGTCAGCAGTATCACTTTTGTGTCGTCTCTGGCCCCTAGTATGTTTTCCCGTACGTTGTGGAGTATGGCCAACGAATTTCATATCTCTGAGAAGCTTTTACTGTACTTTACTGTCTAAAAATACATGTTTGGCTATGTGGTAAGTCCTATCGACAGCTACATACAGTATGCTGCCCTTACGATCACAAGCCTTGGCTGTTTTCCCGGTCACTTCTGGGCCCATTCTTCCGCTCGTAAGGCCCGCGATGCATGCGCCACTTGGTCTCGGCTCGGGGAACACCATGTTGAGGCTTTTGTGTGTGATCGTTATCCTGGTACCCATTGCCTTATATAAATATGGAGAGGTGGTCCGCGAAAAGCTCCTGTTGATCTCCAGGGCTATAGATAGCCATCATGCTTCAGAATCGGGAAAACAGGTCAATTGCCTCTCAAGATTTCGCTGGCCTCCATGCATTATCTTCTTCCTAGACCGACCTTTATCAGTTACATTCTTTTTGATTTAAATAGAAATTTCTATCCTCAATTATCAATATCTTCCCAAGAACGAACTGCGAAATCAGATCGGAAAGCCAGAAGGTCATGGTATTTCTGGGTAGGGCTGCGGGGCAATCTGCAGGGTACATGGATGCGGCTAGCGTGTTAAAAGGCGCCTAGAGATGAGGCTCTCAAGAAACTGAAAATGAAAATAAACATTTGACATGGGTGAAATGTGGTTTCGAGCGCTGCTTTACGTAGATTCAACGTATCGCTTGAATTGACGGTTCGATATTGAGCCCCTGAATCACCTCTTCCCCATCAAATTGAACCCCAAAGTATTCCATGGGTAACAAAACGGGCTGCCAGGAGCCGCATGCAACTCTTGAGGACCTTAATAATGATCTTCGCTTTTGTTGATTTATTATCCCCTCAAACTCTATCTAAATATGGGCAGTGCAGCCAAACAACCCTGATATGCTATTTGAATTGGTAAGCAAGCAGTTCACCGACTTTGTCTCGGTCGCACCGCATGATCCCCAGAATACGAGCAAACGACGCAAAAATCTGAGGGGTTATCGGGCTTCGGGTCAATTCATCTATCAAAGCCCGAGCCAACTCTTCATCTCAGGGGGTTGGACCACCTGACATATCAATTTGGATTAATAAACGAAGAAAGATCCTTCCGTTTCGAAGTGGTTCCTTTGGCGGGGTATTCCCAGCAAAGTCAAGGATTGGAATGCAATTGTGGGTCTGTTTGTCAGAGATTCCAGCTTTGACTTGGCCCACTCTTTCACCGTCGGGGCTCGGATCAACCAAAGATGAAGACGTCCACTGCGACCACGTGTAATATATAAAGAGCATGCCCACCACGAGGTGGTATAAATAAATACAAACCCCATCATCGGAATTATTATCACTTATAAGCTCAACTCGTCAATCTTGCTCGCACCCAACATCAAACCAACCATCAACATGTCTTCCTTTTCTCTCTACGACGCAACCATCCCCACGGCCCAGAATGCCTTCAAATCCATGACCAACATTCTCCGCGAAGGCGAGAAGCACGCCAACGCTGCATCATTCCCTGCAGCTCGTCTGGCCGAAGACATGAACCCCTTGACCTACCAGGTCCACATCGCCGCACAATTGACCGAAAAGATGGTCGCACGGTTTACCGGCCGTGAACCTACCACCTTTGAAGACAATTTGTCCTCGTTCGCCGAGATGTACGAGCGAATTGAAATTGTCCAGAAGATCCTCGAAGCTGCCGATAAGGAAACTGTCAACCAGCGTGCCGACCATGTCCAGGCCACCCCTTGGGCCAATGAACATTGATCTCTCGAACACTGCGTACGCGACTGCTTTCACTCTCCCGAATCTGTACTTCCACTTGACAACCGCCTATGCGATTCTGCGGAAGGAGGGTGTCCCCATTGGAAAGAGGGATTATCTTATGAACTTTTTGGCTCCCCACTTGCCCAAGGCTGCTGGCGGAAACTGAGAGGCGGGATGTGAGCTAAAGTATAAAAATGTTAGAAATTTAATAGTCACAAAAGTCGGATATTAATTGAAGGAATTCAAAATTTGTGAACATGTTCAGAGTAGGGATAACGAGCCCGTGGGTATCATCCTAGGATTCTCAGGCCAATGGCGAGGAGCGAGAGCTATTATAGAACCTTACGATTCCAAGTTTGGATACTACTAAGAGGAGTTTGCGATAACCGGCTAGGTGTCGGGTTAGTTAACCAGTAGTTATTGTTACTACGTTTTACTAGTAGATGGCCACGTCGCCTGAAACAAGAGGCGGTAACTCGAGACTTGGCAGGCGTGTCGCTAAGTTTTTAAGTTCAGATCCTGGGAAGTATTTGGCATGATCGACTCAAATGCCTACATAGATACCCAACGGTTCGGAACCGACTGGGGCGATGACATACGAGGAGTATAAGCCACGACAATCCGCCAAATCCTAAAAGGATGGACGGCTGTGGCAGTGGATAACACTACAGCTAGTAAGGCTGGGGATGCCAAATAGGCATACGCCACGAAGGAAGCGATCAGCTAAGTTCCTCTAGAAGTTGGAGCTGGAAATAATTGGCCACTCGTAGGTCCTTGATTAAACAGAGTGTGGGGTGAGACAGGGGGCGTGCACAATGGCTTTGTACAGTGGGGACCTATCTCTGCCCCTCGGCCTATTGCGAAATCGGGGCTACCTAGTATGATGCATTCCTGCAGGGTCAGTAAACTACAATTAACCAATCAATAGTAATGAGAATATGCATGAACGGGAAATTTCCATTCCCTCGAACAAAGAGGGGCAGTTACAAATTTACTTAAAATTTACTTATCGGTTCTGTTTCCCGTGGTCATTTTATTCTCCTTCAAAAGCATTTCAATCAAGATGCTCCTTATGTTTTGGATTGGCTTGTTTGTTTCCGCCGTGGCAATTCAAGTGACAAGAGTCCTGCGTAACCGGAGAAATCGCCCCCCCTCTCCCGCCAGGTCCTCCACGAACTCCGATTATTGGCAACTTGAAAGACTTACCCGCTATCGACCAGCATTCTTGGATACATTGGCTTCAGCACAAGGAAAAATATGGTAAGAAGAATATCTGAAAATCATAATTTCATTTTAATGACATTGATACACAATAAGGACCTATTAGTTCAATCAATTTGTTGGGTGAAAATATCGTTTTTTCTCCATGATGTTCGACTAGCTGTGGAATTACTTGAAAAACGATCTATCATTCATTCTTCACGGACGAAGCCAACTTTTGCTGACATGTGAGTCCCCAGGCTACCATTCTATCCTCCAGAATAAATATTGACCAATCATAGGTCGGGGTGGGCGTATATTCTCGGTGCCATGGCCAATCCAGAACACGTTCGCAGAACTCGAAAACATCTCTACCAAGAGATCGGATCGAATAACTCTGTCGCCACTTTTAACGATGTTCAGGTATCTGAAGTCGCACATTTGCTACTCAGGCTTTTGAATAAGCCCGAAGATCTCCAGCAACACATCCGGAAGTGAGTTGGATCTGTAGAGTGGACAGATCATGTACCTCTAACAAACCATGATAGGGAAACAGGTGCAGTCGTGCTCAAGCTCAGCTATGGGTACACCATTGAACCCCATGATCGTGATCCACTTGTTGATCTAGTTGATAAAGCAATGGAAGACTTTAGTGTTGCAATGCTTCCGCTAACATGGCTGGTGGATTTCGTCCCCATTTGTAAGTCATTCAGACACATCGAGGAAGCTGATCCTACATGTCCCTTCTAACATGTGAGCAGTAAGGCATTTGCCTTCCTGGTTTCCTGGAGCCGGCTTCAAGAAAAAAGCCAAAGAATATAAAGCTAAGTCAACTGCGCTCAGCGATGTCCCATATGAATTTGTCAAAGAACAGATGAAGAAGGACGGTTCTGCCCCATCGTTTTTGGCAAATCTCCTCAAGAAAGAACCCCCCACCCCCGGATCTATGGATGAAACCATAATAAAATGGTCGGCTGCATCTGTGTATGCCGGAGGAGCCGATACAGTAGGCAAACATGGCTTCATACCGGGAAAATTTATTTACCATTCATTAGACAGTTGGCACGATATCGACCTTTTTTCTGGCAATGGCTCTATTTCCAGATGTACAGCGCAAGGCACAACAGGAGTTGGATGCAGTTCTTGGCGGCGATCGACTACCGCAATGCGAAGACCGGGATAATCTTCCTTACGTCAACGCGCTGGTGAAAGAAGTATTTCGATGGCACCCGGTGGCTCCCATGGGGGTGCCACACGTCTCGACAGAGGATGACATATGTGAGGGTTATTTCATCCCCAAAGGATCATCGATTCTCACAAATATTTGGTAAGACAACTTCTATTGATTCTCACAGGTGGTCTGGAGGGAGCCTGTCACTTACTTGAACATCAAGGGCATTCGCACACGACGAAGAAGTATACCCCGATCCTATGAATCTCAAGCCTGAGCGCTTCCTGGAAACCGATTCCCATGTTCCTGAGCGAGATCCTCGCTTCATTGTGTTTGGGTTTGGTCGCCGAGTTTGCCCCGGTCGCAACATTGCTGACGCGAATGTTTTCCTAATCATCGCACAAGTTCTATCCGTTTTCAATATTTCGAAACCCATGGTAGATGGCAAAGAGCAAGACATTTCACCAGATTTTATGCCGGGTGTACTGAGCCATCCTGCTCCGTACGATGTTGCCATTAAGCCGCGCAGTGAAAAGCATCGTGAGCAAGTCAAATCTCTGGAGCAGACTTATCCCTGGCAAAAGAGCCACGCAGACCTTCTCAAGGGTGTACCCGATCTAAATAATACCTAGTACCATCGATGGCTAGGTGATATTTGGTACGAACTTTCATGCTAGTCTTGCACTCCGCTATCATATTCCATGCCAGCTTCCAAGGTTACTACATGGAGCTATATAAATGAAGCTTGACTTTCATACGGCCATGCATTCTTTTATTAGGTACCAGCTGTTGGAGAATGCTCTAAGATATAGCTGATAAAAACCCGGAAATCATTGGAAATGTCCTGAAAGTCAAGGCGAAGTTTGATTCAGAGAGGGCGCAGTTTATTTCTCATGGCTCTGAAACTTTCCATGTGCCTCTAGGGAAATTAATAGCGATAATTGCATGACGCTATCGCTTTTCACCTATTTAAATCACCTATCAAAATCAATATCGTCCTCCTAGCGACTCTCAAGTTACCCTCAAAGATATCCCACGTGTGATGGATTACATTTAGAATTGCTTAATGTTTATTAGCTCGCACTAATTCAATTAACACTTGTAAAGTTGCAAGTGAGCTTTTAGTTGACGCCAAGTACAACCATTGACACCACCAGACGTTCCTGCTCTGACCAAGGGCTCGAGCTCTCGAAGAAAATGCGTTGCCGAGGTTTGCAACAGCCAGTAAATGCATTATTATGTGTATAAGTGTCGTCCTCTATGACGGGGAGAATTTGCCACCGAAAAGCCGCGATTATTTAGCCTTCTCCGTGGCGTGGGCGCGGCAAGGGCGGAACTATGGAATCAGGAACTGAGACAGTCGATCGCCTGCCAGTGCCAGATTAGCTCTGGGAGCCCCAGCACCTGGGCATACTCATACATAATTTTCAATGAGAACAACTTGAAATCGCCATGGAAAAATATATTTCCTCTTGAAATACCACTGCCTTTTTCGCGGACTGTAAAAATAAGCAGCCTGGTAGGGAACAATCGGGGCTCTTGGCTCGTTGATCGCTATATGAGCAGATTAGGCGAGACTCGGACTTTCCAGTGCGTAATTAGTATGTAGTCGGAGACAGTCGACTTGAGAGTGATATTTCAAAGCTTAGATGGCATTATTGCATGCTCAGCAGAGAAGCGAGATTTGGTAGAAATTTGGCCAGAGACTAAAGTTTTGTCCCTTCCAGCGCATCTTCTGCGGGGACCGAGACGAGCATATTTTCATGTTAACGCAAGATAAGTCATACGTATTAGCTAAATTTAAAGATGAGATTCTGCACGCAAAATCAGAATATAATAACAGCAAGGTCAGGCCACTCACAACTCCCTATGTTCCCTCCGCCGCCGAGACCTCCTCTTCTCGTTAATTTTACGGAAAATGGACTCGTGTTTGTCTCGGAGATGAGTGCCAAGTGCTTGGCAACCGAGGCTTATTGGATCCAGCCAAATGAACTCACCTGAAGATTTTCCATTGTGGAGCGTTGGCTTTCGCCATTGGCTTTCCGGTAGCCCTATGTACAACGAGGTGCCATGCGGGCGGGGCTTAAACTAGCTCTTACTTCGGTGCGCCTGAGGGATGAGCAACAGGTTATCTCATTGTTATTTTTTCATCGCTTGAATAGCACATGCCTCAAGTGTAGCCATGTCTATGAAAAAGTGATATTTGAACCCTGTTATTGAACAAAATGAGTTGAAGGAAGCCAAACTCAAGACCCTAGAAATTTTGACAAGCCCAGAGACCAGACCACCCTAAGCTATGGAGCGAAATATGATAGCCCCGCTTGTATCGCTTACAGATAAGTGAATGTAACACATTGACCAAGTAACCTCCGAAAGTACCCCGGACCTCATTTCCACTTTTGGGGTCAGCGAAACCCCACTCTGCGGTTACTTCCGACTTTCGCTTTCCGGTCCCTTTTATCAATCATATCTGATCTTTTCAAAAGTTTGGATCCTGAATTATCTATTTTATGTTGAAGAAATACTGGTTCGCACATTGCCGTCGTCCGTAATCCATCGAATCCCCCGTTCACAAGGCCGCCACAAGAACAATTAAGTCACCAATTCAATCGTTGACGAGACCCTTCCTATTTCGCACTATGGCGACCGACACCGTCCTCAAGGACCAAGAATTCATCGACCCAGAAAGACAGCGGATATTAGAAGGAGATGCTCGATTCAACCGACTCGGATGGAAACGCCTTACGGTGCTTTCTATCGTAGAGGCTATAGCTCTTGGAAGCTTAGGTCTCCCTTCTGCCTTTGCATCCCTTGGGATGGTCGCAGGATTAATCTTGACTGTGGCGCTTGGTTTCGTCGCAATTTATGCAGGATACAACATTGGCCAGACTAAGTTGAAATATCCACAAATTGGTCACTATGCCGACGTCGGCCAGTTATTGTTTGGCAAATGGGGATCTAAAATCTTCATTGGATGCTTCGTAACATTACTCGTCTTCGTCATTGGGTCTCACTGTTTAACCGGTGCTATTGCATTTCAAACTATCACTGAGAGCAATGTCTGCGCCTTAGTATTCAGTATCTCATCTGCAGCTATTTTGCTGTTTCTTGCGGTTCCTCCCTTCTTCGCCGAGATTGCAATACTGGGATATATCGATTTTGCCTCGATCATTATAGCCATCGGGGCTACCATGATAGCGACTGGGATTCGATACTCAGGTGGCTCGACTATTCCTGACCCAGACATTATTCCGTGGTCAGCGTGGCCTAAAGCCGGCCTCACGTTCTCAGGCGCCATCGTTGCGACAAACAATATTGTGTTTGCGTATTCCTTCGCTGGTTGTCTACCCTCGTTTATGGATGAAATGCACACACCAGAAGACTATATAAAGACTCTGTGGTGGATGGGAGGCATTCAGATCGTTGTATAGTCTCACTGGATCCATCATATACGCGTTTGTGGGCCAGGGAGTACAATCACCGGCTCTGCTATCGGCGGGACCACTTATGTCAAGAGTGGTCTTTGGAATTGCATTACCCGTCATTTTCATTTCAGGGTCTATTAACACCACAGTGGTCTGCCGGTACATCCATGGAAAATTCTACAGGGACTCGATGATTCGGTATATCAACTCCAAGAAAGGCTGGGCATCATGGCTGGGTCTAGTGTTTATCGTCACTCTTCTAGCCTGGGTCGTTGCCGAAGCAATTCCAATCTTCTCGGAGCTTCTTTCCATTATATCGGCACTTTTTGTCTCGGGATTATCTTTCTACCTTCCGCCAGTCATGTGGTACTTGCTTTTGAGAGAAGGCTCCTGGTACGAAAAGAAGAATCTGAAGCCTGCGATATTCAATGCTGTTGTCTTTATTGTGGGGATGATTATTTTTGGGTGTGGCACGTATGCCAGCATCGCTGAACTTGTAAGTTCAAATTTCCCATACAACGCGTGTTTGTGGCTAAATCGTCATTTAGACCACCAAGTTCCAGTCTGGCTCCGTTGGAAAGCCCTTTACATGTTCTTGAAAGTTACCAAATATGTGGAAACAAAATTAGTACATCACATGAAGAAATAACTGGGCCAATCTGACCTTCTCCAGAGAGTGCTGGATCTCGTGGCTTCACATGGTCAGCCCTGTGATTTAGATAAAGTTTTAAACAAGGATGTTGGACGCGTTCCTTGTTTATATTAGAAGGAGCTGGTATATGATGTCACAATGTATTCCTATGAACGATGAAAGTCCCGAAGCTCAATACGGGAGGTTGGCCATGACTACGCCCTACATTCCAACCCTTGCAATCCCCGTCGCTAACCGACCTTACGCGCTGGTTCGACGATCACCCCTTTCGATGATCCTATGCCCCACGATTAGCACGTCAAATCTAGTGTTGAAATAATTCTCCTTGCTAGAAAACCGATTAACTACCGTCTGGATACCCACTTTGTGCGAACCTCACGTAGCACTCCCATCCACTATACATTGTATCATGATGATCAAATTCCTGGTCCAATTGCATGATACGCACATACCCCTATTAAGCAGATCTTAATGCAAACCCCGGATCCTTGGCCATCGGTTCGTATCTTCCGAAATACAAAAGAACCAATTGGCTTCCCGCATCACTTCTTAAATTCCTTCCGTCACTTGATAGATACTTAGGCTTTTCATCCCTTCCTACAACAGAAATACCCCGGGGCATTACACAATGTGACCTAAGCAATGTACTGAAGGCCTTTTAGTTCATAAAGAAAGCTGAAGCTTTTTCCGGTGGGCTCAGGCTTTTGGAATATACTGAAAGCCTACGACACTCTCGACCTAATGGACCACTCAAAATCTTTATCTGCGAGCTCCGATACGCACGAGGACCAGGAAATTGCGCTATGCCACGAAAGTGAAATAAAAGAACTCGGGGAAGAGAATGGGCTGCCCCCGATGGATGGCGGATTTCATGCATGGATGTTTTTAGCGGCTTCAACGATGATAGAAGCTCTGACATGGGGTTCGTCCATGGTTCTCACAACTGGAATGAAATGTATATGCTAATAAAAGCAGGATTCGCATTTGCTTTTGGGGTATTTCAAAGCTATTATCGTGATAATGAACTATTTGAAGACTCGGCCATGGTGGCCGCCATCGGCACGTGTGCAACTGTAAGGCCTTGAAAGTTATGATTTGGCATGACCTAATACTGACACTCTAAAAGGGAGCAGCCTATCTATGTTGCCCGTGTGCAATTGTTTGTATGATACTTCTTCCTCGCCTGGCTCGATGGTTCTCGACAATAGGACTGGTGATAATGTGTTTCTCATTGGCCATGGGATCTTTTTCGTCGAATGTTACGCATCTCGTTCTTTCCCAGGGTATTGGATTCGGCGTCGGTGGCTGTATCGCTTATAGCCCATCGATTTTGTTTATGCCCGAATGGTTCGACAAGAAGCGAGGACTCGCTTTCGGAATTGTATGGGCTGGATCGGGGCTGTCCGGAATACTATTTCCAATTGTTCTAGAACGTCTTTTGGGACAATTCGGATTTCGCACAACGTTGAGAATTTTATCAGGAGTGCTCTTCGTCCTCCCACTTCCGTTTCTATACTTTCACAAGCCCCGGCTTCCAATTCAAAAAGGAGTAGCCCATCGTCGGCTGACTACACGATTTTTGTCCAACCGGGTGTTTGTCATTTACCAGGTGGTCAACATCTTCGAGGCGCTCGGATTTTTCCTGCCTGGTATCTATCTTCCATCATTCGCACGATATATCGGATTTTCGGACTTCCTCTCCTCGCTCACAGTCACGACTTTGAATTTGGCATCGATATTTGGCAGCATCTCGATGGGATTTTTGTCCGATCGCTGCACCGCGCTGACCTGTGTTTCAATATCCACTATTGGGACTGTGCTTTCTGTTTTTCTACTTTGGGGATTTTCTTCCCAGATTCCGCTTCTACTAGTATTTTGTGTCGCGTACGGGATTTTCGCGGGTAGTTTCTCGGCGATATGGTCGGCAATTATTCGCGAGGTTCAAAAAGTGGACAAATCTGCTGACGCGACTATTATATTCTCGGCTATCGCATTCGGTCGGGGAATTGGGAATGTTGTCAGTGGTCCATTCAGCGAAATGCTACTCAATGTAGATAACTGGAAAGGACATGCGCGGGGAGCATATGGTAGCGGATTTGGACTGATCATTGTATGTACAGGACTCACTTCCCTTATGGGGGTTCTATGTTGGATTGCGCGTGCATTCAAATGTATATAAATTTAGTCTCTAAGAATTCTCATCATTCTGTGAAGTGGACCTTCTTTGGCAATCTTACTAGTACATATGATACATGCTCAATTCGGCAGTGAGAATGGCATGATAGAATTAGACACCTGGACATACAAAGCAAAGCAAGAACCCGAAAATTCCTTAAGTGTTTGTACAGGGGTCTCACTCAGGCCCAGGACGGGAAAAAAGCCACCAGTGCCCCGGATGGGGTCGGCTTGGTCTTGTAATACGGAGTACTTGACGTACCGAAGTTAGAAGCTCCTATCATTGTGAAATCGCGATAGCTTCAACAACAGGTGCAATGGCAAACATAATTGCCTCGATGGCTGGAAAAAGAAGCTGTTGTCCAAAGAGGGCCGAACGAGGCGTAGACACTGATATTGCAGACGATCGCGTCCCACTTAATAGCCTCAATGCCCCACTGACAGTTTGCTCAAATTCTAGTAGAGCCGGATATACAGACTCGGAGATAACCCATAGCCCTTCTAGGCTTAAACTACGATTGGGAAACAGGTAGTACCTAGATTAAATCATTAAATCCTTTTCATTATGTCATCTTATAATTTTGGAACTTTTTCCATTGAGAAGACCGGTCAACCCCACTGACTGAACATGACGTCAATACCCCTCCGTTTGCATTATTCGATCCGGTTTTACTTTTTCTGTTGTTGAATCCGTGCATGGGGTGACTTATTTAAAAAAGAAGACTTGCTCTGAAAGACTACCGCTCCAATCATTCCCCAAAATCCGAATTACATTATCCAAGATGAGCGGCTTCAAGTTCCCCGTTGATCTCAGTCAATTCAAAAAGAATTTCGCGCTGGATCCCAGCAAAGCGACCCTCACCGCCGAACAGAAGCAAGACCTTCTAAACAACATCAACATTTTCAGAGATGCAATCATCGCTTTCACTGCGACTGGTGCCGCTCGAGGTGTATCAGGCCACACCGGAGGCCCCTTCGACACAGCACCGGAAGTCTGTATCCTACTCGCTCTGATCCAAAATAACAAAAACAGCTTCCTGGATACATTCTTCGACGAAGCCGGTCATCGAGTCGCAACTCAGTACCTCCTCGCAACACTCGAAGGCCACCTGAAGCCCGAACACCTCCTCAACTACCGCGATGCCAATTCAAAACTTCCCGGCCACCCTGAACTCGGTCTCACGCCCGGAGTCAAGTTCAGCTCCGGCCGACTAGGACACATGTGGGGAATGGTGAACGGTGTGGCAATGGCCAACCAAGATAAGAACGTCATCCTGCTCGGCTCTGATGGGTCCCAGCAGGAAGGTAATGACGCCGAAGCTGCGCGAATTGCAGTTGCTCGAAACCTGAAGGTCAAGGTCTTCGTTGACAACAACGATGTTACTATCGCCGGCCACCCTTCCCAATACCTGAAGGGCTATGATATCGCGAATACCCTGAAAGGCCACGGTCTTCACGTCGTGCGTGCCAGGGGAGAAGACGTGGATTCCCTATACAAGGCAATGTGCGAAGTGATCAATTACAACGGCCCCGCCGCTGTTGTCGTGGATAGAACCATGGCCGCTGGCATCGAGGGAATTGAAGGCGAGACTCACGCACACGATGTCATCACTGTCGATATCGCCCGCAAGTATCTTACCAAGCGCGGATACAGCAAGGAACAACTCGCCTTCTATGATGAGATTAAGGGCCGATCAAACCCGCACACTTATATCGGTTCCAGCAAGGACAAGGGTTCCAACCGGAACATCTTCGGTGATGCTGTCAACGGCATCCTCGATGGTCTGAGCAAGGAGGAAGCTGCCCGTCGCGTGATGGTCATCGACTCCGATTTAGCCGGCTCTACTGGACTGAAGGCCATTGGCTCCAAGCACCCCGAGTCCTTCGTTGCATCGGGTGTGATGGAGCGAGGAAACTTCTCCGCCGCCGCTGGATTCGGCTTTGGCAGCAATGGTGAGCGCCAGGGTGTCTTCTCTACATTCTCGGCTTTCTTGGAAATGTGTATTTCCGAAATCACCATGGCACGTCTCAACCACTGTACTGTGCTGTCGCATTTCTCACACAGTGGTGTCGACGAGATGGCCGATAACACCTGCCACTTCGGTCTCAACCACTTCTTCGCTGATAATGGCCTGATCGAGTCCGATGCTTGCTCGCTGTACTTCCCTGCAGATGGCGAGCAGATGAAGGCTGTCGTGAACAAGGTCTTCTGGGACAGAGGCATGCGATTCATCTTCTCCACCCGCTCTAAGGTTCCTTACATTCTGAAGGACGGTGTCGATGAGAAGCTGTATGGAGGTGGCTATGAGTTTGTTCCCGGAAAGGAAGAAGTTATCCGTACCGGTACGGCTGGTTATGTCGTCTCTTATGGTGACATGTTGTACCGATCGCTCGACGCTGTCGAGACCCTTCGCAAGGAGGGTCTGAATGTCGGTTTGATCAACAAGCCTACACTCAACGTTGTGGATAAGGAGACACTGAAGAGATATGGCGAGTCTCCTTTTGTCGTTGTTGTCGAGTCCATTTCTCAGAAGACTGGTCTTGGATCTCGTCTTGGAACGACTCTCTTGCAACATGGCTACAAACCCAAGTTCAGGGCGATCGGTGCGGTGAAGGATGGCTGTGGTGGATTGTTCGAGCAGATCAATTACCAGGGTCTGTCCCCCGAGAATATTCTTAAGGAGATCAAGGAAGTTGCGTCTGGAAAATAGATGCTGTCATGAGAAAAAGTTAGATATCTCATTTGTTATATCAATTTCTCAATTCGAAGTCATTAAATATCCAGTAAAATCGTCGTCACTCGTAGCCTCCAGTGGAACTGAACTACCAGTAAACTAAACTACTAGTAGTTCTTTAATATCCGAGTCCTAAGTCCTACTCCCGATCCTCAGGATGAAAAACCAAAGCCCGAACCTCAATACTTTCCCTCCCAACCTCATTCTCCGTCTCAGGATTAACAAAAGCAGTATGAGGAACCCGTCTCGCCCGCCCATCAACCTTCGAATCAAAGCACTTAATCAGCGTAACCAAATCCGGCGTCTGTCCATACCGATAATACCACTTGATATTAGGATCCGGTTTAACGGAATACGTCTCGCCCCGACGATCCGGGTAGATCAATCCAATAGGTACCAGGTCATCATCAGGAACGGTATGCGCGTCCGCAACGGCGAGTGGATCCTTCAGAATCGTTTTAATCGGTCGCCAGACGTTTATAATTTGATACCGTCCTTTTAGGAGCTCTTCTGCTTCTTCGGGGAGATGGTGCGAGACGCGGCCTTTTGAGGCGGAGTAGGATTGGTCGATGTGGACGCGTTGGACTGGGCCGCGGAGTTGGTTTCCGCCTGCGCGGCGGATTGTGTGGTCGAATATGAAGACTCGGGAGCCGCCGGTTCTGTGAGAGTGAATTGAAGATTAGAATGATGTTTCTTTTTTTTGGGATGCGTCGGGATCATATAAACGGGAACCTTGAGAATGGACATATCCATGCATGGAGGGGAAGAAAATGGAAACACATACGCATCCTTCAGCAACTGCTCTGTCTCAGGGTAATATTCTCGCTTGATCTTCTCATCATCAAGGAACTCCTTCTCCTTACTCTCATGATAGTAGAGCTGGAATCCCTGGCCATCTAGAGTATAGTCCAGCTCGTGACCACTAATATCATGGATAGTAGCCGCGAGTGGCTCAGACGGCCTATCATATGTCTCGGGCTTACCCACGTAGGCTGGGGCTGGAGGAGATCCGTCTTCGTTTGCCTTGAAGAAGTTCAAAGTCGTCTGGACATGGTGTGGCTTTTCTGAGACCGGAACTGCTGGCTTCTCTGCCAGACCTGGGCCATGGCCTGATGAAACTTGGACTGCTGCCGAGGCCATGCTGATAATGCGGTTGAGTAACTAGTTATTGATTTCTTAATGTATTAACTGTGAGAACGAATCTGATGGAGAATGAAGACGGGAATGATATGATTCTTTATACTTGTGTTCTTTTGCGGGGTGGGATACTTTCATTTGTCAGAGCAGCACGCAATCCTCGTCTCACATGGAGAAATGCTGATAAATGCACCACTTGTCGTTGAAAGAATGCCAGATGACGAGTGCAGCATGTGACGTCTGAGAGGAGGACCGGATAGATTAATAATTATTAAATGTTTGAACAGAAATTCGATTGCCGGGGTTAGACGATGATACCATCCGGGAACGTGTTATGGGGCTTGAGCCGGAGCAGAAGTACGTGAAGCCGGACGAAGGAGACGGACGAAGGTATTTCATTGATAAAAATAGAGCCTGATTGTTAAATCAAGGCAAAGCAGAACTGGTTCAAGCTCTAGTAGATAGCCCCCAGGCAGTGAAAAAAAAATCGAATTGTAAACTATCAACTCATGAAGAGAAAAACCAAGGGGTGTATGTCTCATTAACGTACAACAGGATCTCAAAGGAAATCATCTGGAGGTGTCCTGCCGTCAAGGGTCATAGCATTGTCATATTGCCCGCTTTGCATTGCACGCCCGAGAAAAAAAAGAGCAAATCGCAAGAATGACAAAGGAAAGAGATTTCAAATCTTACACCGACTCCAGTAAAACAAAGCGAAGGCAAAGAGAAAGATAAAGAAAAAACATAGTAGGAAAAATATTTGGTCTCCAAGAGAGACGGGTGTATCGAGCGACAATCCACAAGAGGATAAAGTTAGAGAAAAGAAGCTATTGTGACAACTTGGCATCATAGACAGAAGAATCGAAGGAAGAAGTTAGAGCTTTTGTTCAGTGCGGTCGTGTCATGAAAATACTCAAAACATGAGGGATCGTGTCTTCTGGCGACGGGCGTCAGTACCAATATCAGGTTGAGAGAAAGTGTGCTTGTGTCCCGATGGTTGGGGCGCGGAGATTGGGGCGCCTGCGCCCCGGTTCCTGCTGAAGATGGCGGTCCCATCGCAACACTTTGTCGCTTGCCAACAGGAGATGATGGTGCAACCGGGATACTGCTGGGTGGGGGGGAGACGATCGGTGGTCAGGCGTCGGGACTTCATGCTGCGCTCGCGTCGGAGCACAAGATCGGCCCATGGCTTGATAGCGCCGTTGCCGGAAGTGGCTCCCTTGCCTACAGCTTCTGACATGACTCGGAGCCAGCCGTCCTTATCAGCCGCGCTGTCCGCGTAGAAGTCGATAACTTCGCCGTTTCCAAAGCGAATTCGGAAGCCTTCTTCCACGAACATATATCCATCTTCTTCCTCTGCAAATGCAGACTTGCGACGGCCGCCTCCCTTGTGCTAGTTTCTTTCTGAACCAAAGAAGATCGGTCATCGATCAACTTGGCTGCCTTTGCGAGATTGATTGTCGCGCGAGGTTGGCGAGTGGTTTCGTGGTAGGCTGTCAGCTTCGAGCCTTGGAGTTTGAAGAAACGACGGCGCCAGAACTAGGAAATAGTTAGAAAATGGTTCATCAATTGGAAGCTTTTGGAAGCACTTACAGGACAATCACCACCCTGCTGAGAGAGAAATCCCTCAAAGCTTCGTGCAGTAACACTCTCAGCATCCCGCATTTCCCGAATGCAGGCGTTCATACTCTTGGGCATGTCATCATCCTTGCCGCCCTTAGGCTTTGGGACGAAGAGTAGCTGAAGCTCCAGTTTGCCAATCTTATAAGGTGGTCGACGTTGGGCAGTCATACTGGTTGCACTCTTCTTGCTCTTCACGCTGCTCGGGTGCTCGTCAACAGCCCATTCATTGAAGCAGGCAATGTCAACTGTATAAGGGCGACCGAAAGCCATCTTCTCATGGTCACTCAAAGCCACGTAAGCGCGGCCGAAGCTTCCATCGCGGGCGACGAGATTGCGCAGGCGGTCATAGACCGGAGCGTTGACATCGTTAGCTTTTTGTTGCTGAGACTGCATTTGCTGCTTCAGGTCAAGCTCCTTGCGACGGCGAGGAGAGGCGAAGACCCGGCTGAGAGCCGAAGCCTTCTGACGATTGGGGGAACTGGCAGACTCCTGAGGGTAGAGTTTGGCTTCGTCGACCTTCATCTGGAGAGTGAGCTGGAACTCAAGATCGTTCTGCACAATCAACTCAAACTCCTGGCCAATTGGGGCAGTCTTTCCAAGCTCAAGCCATGATGTGGTCACACAGTGGAGACCGTTGTCTAGAGTCAGGGCAAAGTATGATCGTTCGCCTAGGAAATGTTAGTGTGATTATTGAGTTGAAGGGGGTTGGGACTGGAAATGTTGTCTTACCACGAGGCATAGGTAGATCCAAATACTTAAGACCAACGACCTTGACAAACAAACGGCCACGCTCCTCGCCATCCTCAAAGGCCTCATTCAAGACCGGTTCGTTTTCCTCGATGGTCGCAGGAGGTTGCTGCACGTTACTTGATTGACCAGGAAGGGGAGGTACAGCTCCTACACCTGGAACGGGCTTCTTCTTAGGGATCGCGCCAGCCATCTTTATACTTGGACGGCGTGTGGAGCCATTCCAAGGGACTGTGGTCCAGGTCTGTTGGCTAGCCTTGCGAGGGGAAGATCCGGCAGAACGGGTGCCTCGGGGGTCATTGCTAGTCCGATCGACAGGAGTCGAGGGCTCGTCATCGTTGCGATTGTTAGCAATGACAACCTTGGTGTTTTGTCGCATGAGGTAGCCTCTCTGTGGACGGGATGTGTTAGCATGCGCTGTAAACTTGAAGAAACTTGAAAGTCCTGGGGATAGGGGAGCCAGTGAGGGTTCTTCCTTGGGGGCTGGCGTTGGGTTGGATTCAAGCTGGGAAATGGCGAGGGCAAACGCAACCTTTTGGGACTCGATGACACGGTCAAATTCCTTGTTCAGACCAGAGCCGAGACTCTCCTCCTGAATGCTGAAGGGGATGTCCAGTTGCATCAAGCTAGACTGACGTTGATTCAAAGTGGGGAGGGTGAGCTGAGGAGGGAGAGCGGTTGCTTTGTCCAAATCTTCTGTGTCAGACGTCTCAGATTCCTGGGGGGTCCTGCTTTGGCAGGTCTGGAACGGGAGGAGCGTGTTGACCACTTATTTTGCGACGTGTTGCGGCCATGGCATCGACATCGGCGGGGGTGAGCGACGGGCGAGTTTTGAGTCCTTGGCCGGGAGCCTTGATCGTGGCAATAGGCTCTGGGACCGATTCATCAGACGAACTGAATGCTTGATGTTCTTCTTCGTCATCCTGTGAAAATTCCGCATCCTCATCATCCTCGTCCTGAATGGGATGACGGATGACAGAGTCGGGTGTAGAGGGTTCGGAGAGCTCTTCCTCCTTGATCTCAGGAGTGACGGGCCGATTCAACGATTGACGGATGGAGGCCATGTCCAAGGCCTGCGACTCTCTAGGAGCAGGAGAATCATCCATTTCCTTCGAGAGGGGGTGAGCTGGAGCCTGGACATCTTCTCCTCCTGTCGGAGTTGTTTGTCCTGAGGCTCGATCTCCATCGTCAAACGAAGCAGCCTGAGCAACTTCGGCGGCAGAGCGGAGGGAGTAGTTGCTATCTTGATCATAGGTAGCTCGCTGGTCGCGCGATGATAAGCTGTGGTCAGAAGAGTTTTGATAGTAGTCGGGAATGGCGTATAGATCATCATCGTTGGCTTCTTCCTTGATGATTACACTGGAAGAGTCATCGTCGTCATATTCAGTTTCGAGAGAGGGAATAGGGACGTCGGGGTCATATTTGTCGAAATGATGAGCATCTTCAGAAATTTGAGAGTCCTCGTCCTCATAGGCATCGTCTTCAAAGCTGTCACCCTTGCGGATATCCCGCAGAATAGAGTCGCGCGAGATGCGTGGAGGAGAGAAAACATCGTCTTTGGATGGCTCGCTAGTGGGCTTGTCCAAAGATTCATTATTCTGCACGGGCTTGGACGATGAGTCCACATCCTCCTGGTCGCCGTTCACGTCCTCATTCTTCTTTTTATCATTCAACATCATGAGACGCAGTCGCTCCTCCAAAGACATGCCGCCGTTGATATCAGATTTAGTATACGAAGCTGCCGCCGGCGCTGAAGGCAATACCCGCTGGCCACCGCTACCCAATTCGAAGGCGGCCGCAAGTTTTTCAGGCGACGAAGGTCGAGAGCCAGACAACCGATTCACGGATGGCAGTGGTGGCAAGGGCCGGCGTTCGCCATTCGAGTCGAGTGACTCGACGCGTGAGTGTTGGCTGCCCACCTCGTCCCGGGAGGTAGGTCGACTGTCGTTCTGGTCTTCCGTGTGCTCGACGAACGACTCTTCCTCTCCGTTATTGCTGTCGGGGCTCATAAAACGCCAATCCTCTGGCAAGACAACAGGAGTCTTCTCAATATCTTCCAGGGATGCATCGAAGCTGTCGTCACGGTCCATGAAGGAGTCGTGCTCAAAGCTGCTCACATCATCCTCCTCCTCGGAGTCGTAGCTGGGTTCACGCGATTCAGACGCAACCGAGGATGGGTCGGGAGTGCGCATTTCGTATTCGTTAACTTGGGGCGGCGCAACGTCAAATGTTACGCTCTTAGCATGTCGGTGACCAGCGCTATCATATTCCGACCAAATGTCGTGTTGGGGGTCAAAGCCTTTGCCATAGCGGCTGCCCTTGGAAAGAGACGACTTTCCAGGTGATGGTTGTTCTTTGCTGGGGAGTGAGGTCTGGGTACTTGGTCGCCGAGATCACCAAGGTCATCATCCAGAAACTGGGATTTGGCGAGGTTCATTTGGCTCTCTCGGTTTGGCGACCGGTCGGCGGCAAGGGGTCGGTGAGGGACTGATACGTGAGCAGGGTCATATTCCTGGCCGTCGCGCAACATGGCGTGGTTCTTGACGCGAGATGCGCGCTTCAGGTTCTCGAGGGATGCTCGCCGGGCCGGGAGGAGGCAGCTCTCGGGATCGTACGGGGCATGGTTCTCGACACCCTTGGTTGGAGAAGGGGATTCGCGACCTTTCCAGAAGAGACGCGGGGAAGCATTGTTGTTGAGAGGTGAGGCATCATATGTCGAGTCGCCGGTCGTGATCTATCCAATATTATCAGCTTGCTGTTGCATGCCCCTGCGGCTGGCTTGAAGGCGCATTTACCTTGCCGGATTGGTTCCAAATGGGCGAGTTGCGCCGTTGCGCCATGGGACTCACTTCTGAGAGTGGCCGTTGGCCCAATCCGCCACTCATCCTGGGTGACGAAGTGGTTGTCGCGGGGATGGTTTGGGTGGTATGATCAACAATGAAGAGCAGAAAGATCCAAAGTCTGGGAGATATATCAGCCACAGGTCATTCCTCCAAGTCCAAGTCTAGTTCTGATAGACCTCGACAGTGGATCACAAGAGCGGTGGATGCTGAGTTGCGCGCGCGCGAGAGAAGAACCGGCCAACATACCTTTTGCGACAGGATACCAGGAGTCGCGTGGAAAAACAGCGAGGCCTGGTACAAGAAAGTAATAAGTCGTGTCGATCGTTAGAGGAATGTGCTGCGGTCTACCAACAAGCAACCAGCAAACAAGGGCCACCAGAAGTTGGAGGAGAAAGAAAGAATAAGGGAAGAAAGGAAAAGAAGGGATGAACGAAGGGATGATAGAGGGGATGATAGAGGGGATGATAGAGGGTGGAGGGGAGGAGAGAAGAGAAGAGGGGAAACAAGAACAATATCGGATCTTAACAAGAGATCGGGATGGGAAGTGGGCTTGTCAGTTAATCAATACTAGCAATCGTATTTAGCAAGGTCATGGTGGTACCCCAAACCAGTTGTTGCTTTGCTTCAGCCTGTTGACAGTTGATTGTTGGTCGTTGGCGGGTGTCGCCAGGGCAACTTACAGTGCTTGCTGACATAAGTGGGTTATGTCAGCTGCAGATCACCTGATTATGCCACACCGCCTTCTTCTTGTGGCCGGCACTATCAGGATCGGCACTAACCCAACCAGGACTAGCGTGCTCTCCCATCCAGGAAATCTGGTTTTCTTCTGGAATTCCTCCAATTCTGCCGATATCCATTGATCATTGATATTCTGGATATCATATCGACCAATCCACTCCGTCACGATGCCGTTGCCCATCCGGTCCTCCATATGTTTCTTGTGTCAAACAAGGACCGTCCTCCCTCCAGCATCCACCCTCCTTCCATCATGGCAGGCCACACGAACCATGGCCTCCGCGCGTTCGGAGCGCAAACCTAGTCGCATGAGTCTTTCGCCGAATGTCGCCAGGTCTTCGATCAACAAACCTCGCTCGGGGCGTGGTCGCGCTGGCCCGTTCAATGCAATGAATCAAACAGAAGCTCGTATTCGGGATGACCCTCGTCCTCGTTCCCAAGCCGCCCTCAAGCGTTCGAAACAAGAGGGTAAGGATGAGAAAAGGAAGGAAGCGCCACTCTATAAAGCTTTGAAAATGCAGACTACCCTTTCCCCGTCACCTACGGCCGTCGTACAGCCATCAAATCCAAAATCTCCAATCTCACCAGCTTCGATCATTTCCCTCTTCTCCCAGTTGTCCGACACTCCATCTTCTCTCAGGGTCTGCCTGGTCTCGCCGATGTGAGCCCAACTCCGATTCAACGAGTGGCCATCCCCCAACTCCTCGCCGCGATCCCGAAACATCAGCAGAAGAAGCTCGGTCCCGATGACCCCCAGTACGAACAATTTCTTCTCGCCGCCGAAACCGGTTCAGGCAAGACATTGGCGTACCTCCTCCCAGTTCTGGATGCCATTAAGCGCGCGGAAGCCCGAGACTTGGAAGAAGAGAAGATACTGGCGGAGGAAAAGGCCAAGGAGCGCGAGGAGAGGCTGAAGAACCGAACATACGAGCTTGAGCCCGAGGAACCCCCCATGACGGATTGCGGCCGGCCTAGAGCCATCATCCTCGTTCCCACATCCGAGCTGGTGACCCAGGTGGGATTCAAGCTCAAGGACTTTGCACACACCGTCAAGTTCCGTGCGGGAATGATCTCTTCCACTTTCACGCCGCGTCGTATCAAGAGCACCCTCTTCCATCCCGATGGCATCGACGTTCTTGTCTCAACCCCCCATCTTCTCGCCTCCATCGCCAAAACCAACCCCTATATACTCAGTCGCGTGAGCCATCTCGTCCTTGACGAGGCTGATTCCCTCATGGACCGATCTTTCATCCCAACCACCACCGAAGTCATCGACAAGGTCGCCCCGTCGCTGAAGAAACTCATCTTCTGCTCCGCCACCATCCCCCGCAGCCTGGACAACCAACTTCGCAAACGCTACCCCGACGTCAAGAGACTGACAACCCCGAATCTTCACGCCATCCCCCGTCGTGTGCAACTCGGCGTGGTAGACATCGAGAAGGAACCCTACCGTGGAAACCGTCAACTCGCCTGCGCCGACGTGATCTGGTCAATCGGCAAGGCCGGCGAAAGCGCCGATGGTGAGGACCACGGTCCTCTGGCCCAATTCATGGGCCCCCACATCAAGAAGATCCTCGTCTTCGTCAACGAGAGAGAAGAAGCCGACGAAGTGGCCGAGTTCCTCGCTTCCAAGGGCATCGACGCCGTCTCCTTATCCCGAGACTCCAGTTCCCGCAAACAAGCCGAGATCCTTGCCGAATTCACCGAAGTCGAGCAACCCCCAACCGCCGATGAGGTCTCGCTGGCAAAGAAGCAGGCCCGTGCTGAGGCAGCTATCCCCTTCGCAGCTCCCGAGAAGAAGGCCGAAATTGAGCGCCGTCTTCCCAACACCAAGGTTCTGGTCACTACTGACATTGCCTCCCGCGGTATCGATACCTTGGCCGTGAAGACTGTGATTCTCTTCCATGTGCCGCACACGACGGTGGACTTTATCCATCGCCTCGGTCGTCTTGGTCGTATGGGTAAGCGTGGTCGTGGTGTGGTTCTGGTTGGCAAGAAGGATCGCAAGGATGTTGTTCGCGAGGTTCGCGAGGGCATGTTCCGTGGACAGGCCTTGATTTGAGAATATCATGCATTTACCTGTATAAAATCTGTATCATATGTGGCGTTGATTGTGGTTTTCTTTTTCTTGTTTCTTTTGGACAATGTTTCGCACCTGGCTGGCAAAAGAATACCCCACCTGCACAAAATAATACATCTGGGAGTTGTATGATATGAATATTTACTATAGAACATCTTCATTTCACCTTTTGCTCTTATCCGTTTCTACTTGTAGGCCTATGATCAATTCAATTCATCTTGAATTGGACCTTGGGAGGTTTCGAAGAGTATCTGGAGGGTCTTAAGGAACTTGGGTTTGGTGCAATGACTGGAGTTTGCCTTGTATGAATATACGACCTCCCTGGTGTCCACTTGGTATTTTTGAAATTGCTGAATAGAATTCGCTGGAACTGGATCGGCTGCTGCTGCATGGTGATGTTGACAAATAGTTTAGTCTGACTCTATATTGCGGGGTTTACAGTGGGGCTTCTACAAACAACGCGTGCTAGTTATAACTTGAAAGCAACGAGGAATGCCACAAACCTAGGAAACTTGAACCTATTAGAGATCAGTACAAAGGGTTATTCAAAGATAACTTGAAAGCAAAGATCAACCGTGCAAGACATTTGTAAAACAAATGATGTATGCCACAACAAAAAACCTAGAGGGCCCCCGGGTGCCAGCTGAGGGTTTGCAGAGAAAAGAAGGGATTAGTAGTACTAGTAGGAATAGTATATATACTTCTCAGCAGTACTAGTAGTAGCACTGGTGCCTTCCATCTTGGAACTTGAATTTCAAGTTGAGCCTTGGAGGACCAGGGCTCGTGAAGTTCTTCTATGGATGGGGTCATGGTCCACCAGTGGTGGATATATATACTACTAGTATAAGGTACCTACTATACTTAAAGAAGCCTTCAAACTTGAAGCAGCCACCTGGGCAAAAGTGATCATTAGGCTAATCGATCAGGATGTCTTATACTATGCCTGTTTTTACACCAAATTTGGTATCTCCTTCCAAGGTCGATAAAAAAACACCAAACGGCATTAGATCCCCATCAATTATTTATTTTCCAACTTCAGCTTCAACAAATGACATCAGCCAGGTTGGAATGCCAAGAAATCACCTGGGCGGTGAGCAGAAGTAAACAATCCCTACGCGGACGGACGGTCATAGTTTCCAACTCCACACTAGGCAGATGTATGATCGAATCTGGGGTCATGATGGACTCCAAGTCCAGGGCTTCTATAAAGGTTCCGCGCCAGTGGACGAGCAGATACGCGCTGAATGGGGAATAATTATTGCAATCGGTCTCTGACATACAATGCTGATCCTTTAACATCCTCATTAGACCACATCGTGCTCACACGTTTGACATGGTGATGGTATGTCTCAAGGGTTGCCCTCGTTGGGCCATTCTCATCAGCGAACTACAAGAGAAATCGGACTCGAAATTCCTTGCAGTCCAAGAATCCGGAATCGATACACTAAAAGACCTTGAAATAATGTCTACGGAGCCACGTTGAGCCTCGGGCAATGTAACAGGACCTGATCTGGTATCAACAGTGACTTGCTGTCCCCAATCCACTAATGCATTGAAGGCTAGAAAGATACTTTCAATCCAGCGTTCTTGATGAGAGACAAATGAAATATTGGCCAGGGAGCAATAGCTGACCTATTCACTCGCTCTTGCATGTTTAGTAGTAGCTCCGTCTCTTTTACTCACATGCACCTTCTCACTTCACACATCCCTCACCCTTCACCTCTTTACTCACGCGCAGCCTCCTCTCCCTCACTTTCTCTTTCTACACCAAGTCTCTTCCCACTGTGATCCCGCCAACATCATGGCTGACCCCAACCCTCTGCAGTCTCTTGAGATCTGTACTAAGTGTAAGAAACCTGAGAGCAAGACAGACCCTCTCAAACTTTGCGTCAAGTGAAAAACAACCCCCTACTGCTCGCGCTTCTGCCAGAAATCGGACTGGAAATCACACAAGAAGTGCTGCGCCCAGAACGCCCATGAGCGAGCAACATGCAAAGCAAGTCTCGAATCCAAATTGGTATTGACAACAGCAACATTTACCGCCAGAGCAGCCCCAGTCAGCAGTGTTGAATCCACAGAGCAAACCGACATACCTCAACCCTCCTCCGCGATGTCGAATCCACCCGATGTCGCGATGGACCATCCTGAAGAAGGACCTGCGCTTGCTTTGCGAATCTCCACCCCCTTCCAAAGACTCAAGGGGAAAAATGGCCGGAAGACCGACCCAAAGAGGACGTCTACAAGCTATTGATCGACGCCTACCGCTTGCGCATCAATGATGACCTCAAGTTCCGCAACATCCAGCACGCGGATCCCATCTATGAAGACGCCCCCAACGAGGACACGATCCATGCTGAGACTAGCTTTGGGGGAACCCCCAATCTTTTCCTTTTTCTCCAAATGGCCGACCTGGTAGGTCTGATGCCAACATGGTGGGATGCAAGCGAGACCGCTTCTTGCATTGACCGCGCCAAGTATCTCACCTGGAGCAACATTGCGACCCAGGTCACAGCTGACGATGTCAAGGAGTATGATGGGGATAATTCCATGGTCCTGCGGTTGCGCATCTTCGCCGATCAGGTCATCGACATGCCGCCTATGGGATTTGACCTTATGAAGCTGCTGGATGTGGAAGTTATGCTGGAGAAATCGCACGAGTTCCTCAACTACATCCATCAACCAATGGATAGCGACACCGAGGTGGAAGCCTCCGACGAAGATGATGGCAACCCAGAAGTCGCCTTGGGTTAGGTGAATTCTTCGGAGATACCGCATCCTAGCATGCACTCAATTGCTTACACCTGAACTGCGAGTTCCAGTACGATCAACGACGATTTTCAAGGAGGAGAAAGATATTGAGATGTCCATTAGTGTTTCCTCAAATTTCATGTCATGAATACAAGTTCAAATTCAAGTCCATCCTAATCGTAATTCCTCCCCTCATTAACTAATCTCTTCCTAGTCTCCATAAGAGCCTTCCCCAAAAGATTCAACCCCCATTTATGCCGATTAGACCCAGCATTCCTCGCACCAAACCCAACCCCCCAAATCCGATCCATCGGACTAGCCTCAACCAACTCCCTCTCCCCTGTCGCAAGCAACATCTGCTTCAATTCCTCATTCTGCGAAAATTTCAAATAACTCCCCTCAACCACGATCGCAAAGCGATTCTCTTCCCATATTTCATCTGAGAAATTCGGGATTTTACGGCCTAGGTTGCGGATTTCGCGTGGGTGTGTTTGCCAGCCTGTGGCGAGTTGTTGGGTTATTTCATTAGTGGGACCGGCGAAGAGGAGGGCTTTGCGGTGCATCATGTATCTATAAGTAGTATGGTGTTAGTATATGCTTGTTGGAAAAGTAAGGGATATCTGTTCAGGGGAAAGGTAGAATTACTGTTCTGCGTTTGCGTAGTTGTATGTTTCTCCATCGGTTTCCCATTTAAATGAGGATGGCCACCACTGGCCTAAGAATCCTGTTTCTCCTTCTGGTTTCCAGAAGTAAACTGGATTACTGGTGTCTGGTGAAGTAGCTGTCATGGTTGATGTGTTGGTCGATGGCTTTGTATGGTACAGGATATTGATATTTGTTGTAGAAACAGATCTTGTTCACTGCTAGTGGGTGGCTAATCAATTTTGAATAAGAAAGGTTGAAGAGGAAGTAGAGTCCAAGGCTAATAGAGTTAGAATTAAGGCCTTGCTATATACAGAACGTTAGTAATGCACAGCCGAGCTAGATGATGCTTAACTATGAGTCACGCCTAGCCATGCGCTTCAACTGTTGGGTTTTGCAGAGCCGCCTATGCGATCGTCAGGCACTGCCCCTGTCTAGACCCCGATTCCCCACATGTCTATACGAGCATGCGTGCACAGGCATGGAATACGAGGTACACTCAACCGGGGAAATTTGCACAGCCCAAAAAGCATGCCGGTGCACGCTAGCCCAAATAAGATGCCGGCCGTTTGATAAATCAACCATAGCCCAGGGGGCTTTAACTTGTTCCCCTTGTACTCTTTGCGTGATTGTGTCGGGTTAGTCACCATAGATCATGTCTGTGGGTTTATAGAATCAGTAGAGGGGCGGGATGCTTTATTTCAAAATTGATTCATGTTGCTCGGAAATTCCCACTTCTGACACCGAGATAGTCACGAAGAGTCTATTCTATTAATCTATCGGCTCACTTATCTAAATTTTGTACCCGCATCACCGAGACCGAGAGTATAATCATAACCTTGAGTCTCGCTTCTGTGACTCAGGCTTATAAAGCCCTTGTAGTACAGGTATCCAACCATTCATAGCCTTCAACCGGTCACCCATAGACATTTCCACCCACCCTTCATCCAGCCGCGCCTCATCATCTTTCCAACTTTGCGCCGACTGACCAATCCAGGGACCAATAGCCGATGCTGTCTCTCCCACCTGCTCGAGGGGCAATTGATGTGACCCTTTCAGAATCTTTTGCTGCACTCGCGACTCCCGGACACCGCCATTTCCACCGACACCAGCCCCAGTCCGATTCAACATCTTATCGCGCACTTCAGGAGTGGCAATTGGACTGCTTTCTCCATGGAGATAGAGGACGGCGGGATGGATATGCTTGAGCATCTTCCAGGCTAGAATTGGCTCGTATCGATAAAATGGTGAGGTTGCATGCGGAGGACCGATGATGTCTGGGTAAAGGAGGTGATCATGGTGAGGTGAAGATGTTTCGTCGACATGGTATGTTCCCACGGGTTTGTAATCGAGAGGGTTTGGCCGCAGGTATTGCAGGACTTCTTGATATTTCGAGCTTGTCAAGGTGACGGCTGAATCACGCCCTGTGGTGCCTGACAACTCGCGGTATCCGTTATCAATCCAGCGATCGAGGACTCGTTTATCCCATCGTTTGTATGTTTTGCGTGCGGCTTGGATAGCTTCTGACTTGGAGTTCCAAGTGTCCTTTCGCTTGAGTGACATGATGGCTAAGATGGGGCCTTGGCCTGTAAAGATATCGGGTGAGATGACGGGTTCTATCAGAGTTAATGATGTAAAGAGGCGGGGGTGGAGCATGGAAAGAAGGACACTGGTAGAAAGAATTAGCATCCGGCTAGATGAGTTAGGAAATTTCAGAAACCCACAGCTGTCCGGCTCCCATACTGTGTCCCACGCCTACAATCGGCTGTGGCATTTGGTCACGGAAGGTATTGATCATGTGCAGGAGGTCGCGACTATGATCCATCCAAGAGGCTTTCAAAAATATCAGCTATCTGTGCGAAAGGAGGAAATGCAGAACCGAACACTCACGATCATTTCCAAGAGAACTTTCGTTGCGAAGACCGCTCGCACCGAGATTGACAACATCTGCGATCCAGATTGAGCGAATTCGATAACCATCCACTTGACTTCTAGTATACAAGTCCTCCCAGAGAGGCTCATATAACTCCTAAAGCAAATGTTAACTTCATTGTCTCTTTCGGGAGCCGGAAATAAGAACAAAGTAAGCAGAGCTTTAGTGAAAATACCTTTGGAAACCCGCACCCGTGCGCTCCGATTATTGTTATGTCGCCAGGCTGAGGGTTTGGGTTATCGATGGGAGTGTATTGTTTCAAGACAAGCTTTAACGAGGCGTCGCGCCTTCTTGTGGCATTCGGATATTCACGGATATGCTGCGCATCGACAACATGTTCCGTCACAGTAAATGGAAACAAAGAAATGTCGGTCATTCTCAGCCGATAAAATGCTAGTTGCCTTCTTGTGGATGTATAGTACCTAAGTAGCGGGCCCTCTCGCCATATTATATTTTTGAACTGGAGAAAAGTCTAGCTCAAATCTCTATCGCAAAAATAAACCCACCCCAGATGATTCTCAACTGACAGCACATACATGGCCCGGATAAGACCGAGCCGGATTCGCCGAACCCCCACTCCACGCACTAAGGGTACACAATTCAGTGCCTGGGTGCAAGAGGGACAACAGATTGGCGGATGAGGTGTCCACGATGGGGAGGCGTGGGGAGCTGATCGATAGTCCAACGTCTAGAAAGGTGTTCGTCGGCCCAACTTGCCGGCATATGGAAAAAAAGAGTGGGGATATTTTAGGCTATCATCCAATCTGCCGGGCGTTATTCGTAGACAACTTCAAAATCTGGCCAAATCCCGATCGTTAGAATTGCCGATAGGTGGTGGCTGGCTGAGGGCGCTAACTACTGGTATGGAGTTGAAGAATTCTTTCCATTCTCCGCGACACACGAAAGCTGGATTGCGTAGCAAGAAAGAGAGATCGTATCGTTCGAGGCGTTCAATCTCAGCTTCCTCTGGTTAAGCCGATGCGGCCCGACCCACCCACCCAAATGCCAGTTGACCAGAAATTGGTTAACTATGCTGCGTCACTTCAATGACGACAAATTCATGGGGGGACCTCGTGTCATTGGGCTATTTCTGGGTATATTCAGCAAGGTAGTGTCGCGCAGAAATATGAGCTGGAAAATTGCCACAGGGCTCGCAAGCACCAGCTTTTCTGTTTTGATGTGAGCAACCAATGATGCTCAATCGAGTTGATTCTCAGTTAATTTTTGAAGCTGGAGACGGGCTCCAACATTTGATCGATCAGGCGACGAATGGGAAGAATTCACCGCTCCAGCCTCCCCTTGGTATCCAACCTTACCAACGTTAGATGTCTCGTCAGTCGAGAATGGTCTGCAATTTGGAGGAAGAGCGTTAATAGATAATTTAAATACGCAGTTCTGAGGCTTTCCCTATCTATGTTCGGTCTCTTGGGCTTTTGATTGTTCTGAAGCACAAACCTGCCTAGAAAGCCCATGCAAATTAATGCCAGTATTTGCACAGATAAACGATAACTCTCTCATGATTTTGTTAGCTATGAAATTGCATTATTACTTATAACCGAGCTATGCAATTGTGAATAAAAATTGGCGATCTGAATACTACAAGTGTTGAGTTTTAAATGAGATACACTTCCAAGAAATGACCCAAATTAATATGAATTTAGGGTCGGTCGCAGAGCACTGACAATTTCGCTTGGAGATTATCTGCAGAGAACCGGCGGTGCTCCGACGGTGTTGAAGTTCTATCATAGCTCCGGGGGTTTGAATAATACCGGAGAATGAAGAGAAATTAAGCTTGTGGCATATTATTATTCCGTCCTAGTTGTGTTGTTATTTTCCCACGTTGCACCGTTCCTATCGTTGAATGGCCAAGTTAAAATCAGCAAATGCAAGATATTTGACCCCACGTGTATGCTGTTAGATCTAATACTGTCCCTTTTCAATCACCAGCCGCGCTTGCAATTTATACGAGAAGCCAAACTGTTTTTATCTCCTGCGTCCTGCTTCTCTTCACGCCGGTGGATTCCGATGCGCTGCGGCGCCGATCCCTCCTGCCTCCACCAATGAAACTTTCAACTGATTGCAAACCCCTCCCAGGGCTGGGAGGTCATTTGCTCTTATCTTTACATCGGCGAGCTCCTTGAAACAATTTGATTGCTTGTGGCATCGACCGGCCCAATAAGACCTTACGCCTCCAGGTTTATGTTACACTCGATGTTCCTGCAGAGTCATAATTACAGCTCGATCGACAGATGCCAATAACTCCAGACGCGGGGCTTCATCAACACAATAAAAAGGTCCTTTGAACCCAGGAAAGGTTGTGAAAGACAGCGCATCTACTTTTGAGCCGCTACATCGAAAAGAAGAAACACACTCCATACAGGACTGTCAAATCATGCCTTCCTTCTCCAATACTGTCCTCCTCACCCTAGGGGCAGTGAATGGGGCGCACGCCTGGGGTGTGTTGGGTCACGCAACAGTTGCTTATGTTGCTCAACACTATGTTTCGTCTGAAGCAGCATCATGGTGAGAAATAACGATTGCAATAACCTTTCATTTCGGAAATCATTCCTTTGAATTTTGGCTAACAGCTTTGAAGGGCACAAGGCGTTCTTGGCAACTCATCCAGCTCGTATTTAGCTGGCATCGCTTCGTGGGCTGACCAGTATCGCCTAACTAGCGCTGGAAAATGGTCGGCTCCTTTGCACTTTATAGATGCAGAGGATAACCCTCCTTCCAGTTGCAACGTGGACTATGACCGCGACTGTGGTAGCTCGGGCTGCTCAATTTCTGCGGTCGCAAACTACACTCAGCGTGTGAGCGATAGTAGCCTCTCCGACGACGACGTGGCAGAGGCTCTTCGTTTTCTTGTTCATTTCATTGGTGATATGACTCAACCACTCCACGACGAGGCATATGAAGTTGGAGGAAACAATATCAAGGTTACTTTCAACGGATACAGCGACAACCTTCATTCCGACTGGGATACGTACATTCCCGAGCAGTTAGTCGGTGGTGACTCGCTCTCAGACGCACAGTCATGGGCCACCACTCTGGTTAAGGAGATCGAGTCGGGAAATTATACGTCTCAAGCTGCGAGCTGGATCAAAGGAGATGACATCAGCGATCCCATTGCTGCAGCAACCAGCTGGGCTTCAGATGCCAACGCTCTTGTTTGCACTGTTGTCATGCCTAATGGCGCTGCTGCTTTGCAGACCGGTGATCTTTACCCCACCTACTACGATTCGGTCATTGACACGATCGAGTTGCAAATTGCTAAAGGCGGCTATCGATTGGGAAACTGGCTCAACAAGATCTATAGCTCGAAAATTGCTAAGCGGGATCTAGAGTCTTTTGCGAAGGTTGGCCGCGCCGCGACTTCACAGCCAGACCTTTCTGGGAGAAGCTTTTTGCCTGATCCTCGTCCGCTGAGCCGGGCTAAGCTCGCTAGAGCGGCAATGGATGGATCGTGCTGTAACTCGGGTAGACACAACCATTAGGTGCAAATTGGCGTGATGAATGCTCACCTCATTTCTTGCATACTGCTTTAGTGCGTTTCCAATTTCAGCTTGGCGGTTTTGCTGAAGAATATTGGCTAGAGATTGCGAGTGAAGCTGGAGCCTTCTATGGGATAGCCTCGATAACGTCTATATTTCCAATCCATCATCTCGCGACCGGCGGTTATTTGTTCACTAAAGACAATAAGTAAATTAAAGGCGTAATAAAATCAAATTTAAGGATTCTGTCAAGTCGAAAACCTCGATTTCGGCAAAGCCTCAAAAAATACCATCAACCCATTGGCGAAACGATTTCAGATATAGGACTAAAGCTGTAGACTATTCTGCAAGATCTGAGCGCTTTTCCAGTCCCTGGAACCCAGGCTGTCTTATATACACATTCATGATTTATCAACTCTTAATTGTTTCCATCGCGTTCGAGACTACCACCCGACCCACCGTGGATCTTCCTTTAGCGTCCCAGCCCGGGCACCAAAATCGAGGAGTACATTTGAGTGGTATTTGAATACTAGACGAAGCAAATAAATTCTAATGAACATTTGAACAATCAACGGAGAAATTTCTCATATTAAAATTACAGGGGAAATAATTTTAAAATAATTTTATCCAAGGATGACGGTGAACTATTCTTGTGGCCCGCATTGCATAATAGATACAAGCTTTCGGGTTCTTCGGGCCCGGCTTCTTGACCACGGTTCGACGGTCTCCACATATGATCCTATGATCTTGTGCAAAGTTCACCAACAATGTGATCGACCGTGGTCTCTCTTCTTTCCAAGGTTTGAACCGAACACAAGGAAACAAACCATGAGAGGGCCAGCCTGAGAAGGTGAAATGATGTCATTGCACATTGACAAACATATAAAAGAACTAGAATGCTGGTACAAGAACTTGGCAACACTATTACTGGTTTCAAGAAAGACGGCAAAACATCAAGTCATAATGTCGAACTTCTTCCGCAGGGCATCAGATGTTTTTAAGCATCAGCCGCGCAACGATTCAATCGACTCTGCCAATTCAGGAAAATCTCCCCCTACACAAGACGCACCCGACCCAAAGCCTGTATCAAGTAATCGCAGCTCTCAGAGCGATCCAGTTCCAGGTAATCTACTACTCTGCCTCGAATATCCAATCCCATTGACCTGTTACTAATCAAGCCACCCTTCCAGATAACGATGCGCGACGCAAAAGTCAACGGCACTGGGGATTTGGTCGCCAGAACGACCCGGAAGCCCTGAAAAAGCGTCGAGCGAGTCAGGACGAGAAGGACAGGCTCGACTTCGCGGCTGCAAGCAAATATTCAAGTGCCCGGCGGAGAAGCCAGGGTGCTGGTACTGGGTTTGAGGGTGGATGGCAGTGAAAGGACATTTCTTGTCACGTATCAATTTTCTTTGCGGTTTCGATATCACTACGTGGCGATCGGAGTCGATATATTTTTTTTTGATGTACTATTTCAAATCTATTTAGATAAATATTTTTTGCAATTTTTCATACATCTTCAGAAAATCAAACCGGCACTCGTGGCCCGTGCTTTGTTAAATATGAGCCTCAGGCTGCTATTTTTACTTTCTAGACATTATATATACAGCTTGAGGGAAGTCTGAATGAGGATTGAAAGCCCTTGTTGCAGAATTTGGCCCATTCTTTGATATTTCTAAGAGTCCCATGGTTCTTTCAGGAAATTAATCCATTGTTTGAGTCTCTTTGACTAGCATAGCGAATGAAATTTCTCCACTGCTCTTTCATTCGTGATGATGATTCTCTGCCTTCTGGTGAAACAAAGCACGTTGACTTCCAAGGGCTTCTTTGAGGCACTGTCTATAGGAGCTGCTTGATATAAACCGTCCCACAATTATGGGTCACAGCGAGAGTGTCTCCTTTGACACATCGACTACCTACTGCGCTCGAATTTGTCCTGAATACACACGATGCCAGTGCCAGGGGCTTATAGGTTTGAGGAGAGAGCGGTACACAGGCATGCTGTAGGAGCCTTGAATAAATGGAATGATTTATATTTGGCTGGATGGCCGCTACCCTCTGCAAGGGAGTTTCGTGGCATACTAGCAACATAGACACAGTTCTTTAATAGCGATGCCCAAGAGCTAGCAAGGGCTCTAAGTCGGCGCCCGGACAATGCTTCTAGGTTTGAAGGCCTCTCACATTGGATCCAAAAACGTTTGAGAGAAACGCGGTTAGCAATCAGAATGTTATCAAGAAGATATGTGAGTTATCACAGAATTGGCCGAACTCTTCGGCGCCTCGAGGGGGCAATGGATCGGGATCGTGTTGATTGTTAATAAGAAACTCGAAAAAGAGAATGGGACTATACGGTCTAGAGCTTGTTGGAATGATCGGGGTAAGGGATAGATTTTGATTATGTATCATTCGATATCAGTATATTTATCACGAGATATCTCACAGCTAGCAATGATCAGAAATCTTCCTTTCTCTGAAAAATCAACTTTTTTGGGTTTATTTTTATAATTAAGTAATAGCTTCCTTGAAGGCTCGCAAACCCCCTCTCGCTAGTGAATAATTGCATCTTCATTATATAATGCCGCATGTAAATCAGGAAACAAGTTAGCGTCCACTCCTTTGCGTACCAAGCGAACTGCCCGAACGCCACTCACTAAGCTCCTCGTATATCAAGTCAAAACTATGCATCTGCCTAAGGGATAAGCCTCTAGATACGTTTTTATTTCTTCTACATCACCGTAGCTAGTGGTTTTGTATTGTACACCACAAAATTTGCCGGTATAAAGATCTTTCTATCACAAAAGCAATAGTATTCTATGTTATGTGCTTTTTTAACGGGGGTTTTAAAGTTGACTCCAATCAGCCCGACTCCAAAAGTCCTCAGCGCTGACCAGATTGTCTTTCACACCATCAAGTTCACGAGAATCGACCATAACATCACCTTCTCCGACTGTTCCCCACATCCTTGGGGGCCCAGCAACTTCCCAAAACTTCACCATAAGACCCAATTCAGTTCCCCACATACCATGGAGTGCTTCAAAATGCTCAAAAGGAACCGATAAGACCTGAAGTCTCCCCTTGCCTGCTACCATAGCCCATTTGGAGAAATAGTCTTGGATTTTGTATTTTCCCGTCGTGACGTGAACATATCGACCTCCCTTGGGACCACTTGCCGACTTAGGGTATGGAAAATGAAGAAGACCACTGACGGTGATTCCAATGTTACTAACTGGGCCCAGTGAGGGGAGATAAGACGAGGAGCGAGCTGGGAGGGCAAGAATGTATTGTCCAGCTGGCTTCTGTTATTTCAACATGTTAGTTGACAGGCAAGGTTGGCAGATCTAAAGAGAAGGATAAATCATACCGAGTAAACGGGGGTAAAAGGCGGGTAGTTGAAATTAGACGCGTAGAATCCCGTCAAAAGGAAGATCGTCTTAGAGTTCAAGGCAATGTCATTCTTGATATATGCATCGACGGCCGCTTTGGCATCAAAATGCGGAACCTTCACTTTGCCATTCGTCAAGTCATTCGCAGCGGGTAGGGTGCTCCAGAAGTAAAGATCCAGAGTTTTTGTTTTAGCAGCTGCCCGGGCTAACTTCAAGCCTCGTTCGTACTCGATTTGCATGGCCTTCTCAGGGCCGATCCCTGTCGCAAATGGTTCGTAGAAATCTGTAACAGCGAAAATGGCGTGGGCACCAATGAAGGCATTAAGAAGACTATCTTCGTCATCCATATCGGCGGATACCATCTCGATTCCACGATCCAAAAGCGCTTTGGCCTTGTCGCTGTTGGTGTTTCGGGTAAGACCCCGAATTTTCCATCTCGGGATTTGTTGCGAGGGCGTCGATGACACCGGAACCTTGCATCCCGGTCGCGCCAGTGACGACGAGAAGCTTGACCATAGTATCGATGAATTGGGGTGACTTTGAATGTAGGGACCTTTTAAGGTAAGAAGTACTCAATGTAGATCGAAGTTTCTTTACGGAGTACAGCTGGGCATTCTTATTTATAACTTTCTCCAGAGAACACAAAGTCTTCCTGTAAAACTCCAATATATTGGATAACATAATCTGAAAAGAAATCTCGCTTTGTTCTTTCCAACCTCGAATGTGAGTGGCTACTCAGATTGTTGCTCATGGCGCAGGCTTGCATAGTACTGCGTACCGAAATGCCCGCAGTACCACAGTTGTCCGCAATTGACCGCCATGTCCGCACACCCCCGCAATGCCCGCAACCCTCGGCCAGTTGAAAGATGCATAATCTAAAGATTTCCGGTTCATAATCGCTCTTGTAACTGGAAATGGAGACCATATTTGTCACTAGTCCGATTCTAGGTGATATCTAGATGGAACGATCTGTTCTCTGCACCCATGGAATTTGGAGCAAGACTGTAGAATGGCTAAATACCGCGGTTCTCCGGTTCTGCGGCCTGCGGCTTAGAATAGCTATCTTACGAAGAAAATAGTCGATGACCGTTGCAGGGCAAAGAATGCAGCCACCATGGGGCAAAAGTCACTTGAGATTATGAATCAAGACTCTCGTCGCTACTATCTACTTCTGACCTCGGGAGGTAGTAGCTTGAAGAAATAGCCTCGATAGCCTGGAATGGGGTCCGAGCGCGACCGTGAAAAGATTGTATATAGAAGGGAGGAGCCAGCCCTGGAGGAAGGCTGTTCATACTAGTATTAAGAATCCCAACGTGCATCTGGACATAGAAAATACAGATTACTATTGTTTTCTTCAAGTTCAAGTTATCAACTTGAATCTCACAATACCCTTTAGCGCCGACATGGAAAATCAGAAATTGATTCTCGTTATTGGAGGAACAGGTGCCCAGGGCAGTTCTGTCGTCAAGGGTATGTTCTCCACCTGCCTACTTTGATCCCTTTTTCTTCTAACAGACTTATAGCACTTTCTAAAAGTGCCCGCTACAGTGTTTGAATTTTGACTCGAAACTCGTCCTCAAATCATGCTACCGAACTAGCTGCTCTGCCGAACGTGACACTACTTCAAGGCTCACAGGATAACCAAAAAGATCTTCACGCTGCATTCACTGGCGTCTACGGAGCATATGTCAACCTGAATGGGTTTTCAATCGGCGAAAAAAAGCGAGTTATTCTGCGGTGTCCGGGCATACGAAATTGCTCGGCACCAGGGTGTCAAGCATTTCGTTTTTGCAAACTCTGACTATGCCTTCCGAAAAGCTGGGTGGGACGAGAAGTACCGGGGACATAATGATTCAAAGGGCCGTGTTGGCGATCTTATTTTGAGTCATGGGCAATCTACCATGAAAACTTCACTTTTGACTACGGGACCGTACATGGATATGCTCTTTGATGGGATGTTTGTTCCTGAAGAGCAACCTGATGGTTCATTTGTCTGGGAAAATCCTACCGGTATGTTTTTCATTTGCCTGATTTACAGTTGAAGAACCGACAAATTAACTGGTCTGGATTAGCGGATGGCAAAATTCCACTCATTGCCCTCGATGATGTTGGAGCCTACAGCTTATGGATATTTGACAACCCCTCTGAGTCCGCTGGGCTCAACCTCGAGGTGGCGACGGATCAAGTCAGCTTCGCCGAGATTGCAAACACATTTACTAAGGTGACTGGAAAACAAGGGATACACAAAGTTGTACCTCTGGATGAGTATTTAATGAAGGCAGAACCGTACCCAGGAGCCTATTCGAACTGGACAGTCAAGCCTGATGTGCCTCGCGACGAGTCATTCATGACCTGGCGTGAGATTTTTGCGGCCTGGTGGCGCTATTGGGGCGAGGGAAAGGGAGCTACTCGCAATATGGCATTTCTTGATCATATTCATGGCTCTCGTATTCCTAGTCTGGAGGTATGGATGAGGCTGAAGAATTACGATGGTGGACCCCGATCTGTCTTGAAAGATCTTCATGAGTATCGAAAGAGCGGAGTGACCGAGGATTAGCTCAGTGGTCTTTTGTTGAGTCATTGAAGCACCTGAAGTTAACAATAATATTATATTGCGTTCATGGTTTTGAGCAGAGCATCATATTCGCGAGTGTCTCATACCAGCACAAAGAAATGGGAGGATACACTAAGAATATACTTGACACAGCATGCCTAGCCTAGTGGTACTTAAATACCACACAAAGAGCTTTAAAATCCATTCAAGTTGGAATAACACCCCTCGTCTGTGTATAATACTTTGTACACGAATTTCCATCATTCAATTACGAGATGGAGAGGTCCGCTGGAGCAGGGATTCTAAGTTACTCATAATTGGTTTATCGATGAAGGTGGCGAAGAGTAAAATGTGATGTTACCAGACCCACAGGTGAAGCAAATAGCGGAACTAATCAACAGTGCATTATTGAAGAATTAAAGTAAAGTATTGTCTATATGAGTCCCATCGAATCTTCTTTACTGCGATAAATACGCAACCATCCGCTGCCCACGTTCAAATATACGCTTCACTTGAGCCTTATCACTAAAGCCAACTGGGCCCATCACAGTCGAGTCGAAAACCTTTCGAGGCCCTATGGCATTAAGCAGCCAAGCAATGAAAGAATTTGTGCCTTTCCAGATATAACTGACTTCCTTTGTCCCGAGGACGCCAGGAACAACCTGCTTAGCCAAAACGGCTGGCGTGATAGAAACTCGGGAGCTTTGCTCAGTCCTCTCTTTAACCTTTACCTCGGCGTCGACATACAAACTATCGGGCCCAAAATTGATCATTTCTGCCGACCGAAGTCTGGTAGAGACTTCGCCCATGAAAAGTGTGACAACTCGAATACCAAGAGGGTCTAGTTCAAGCCGTAATGTATCCGAATAAGCAGCCACTGCAGCTTTCGTTGCATTGTATGCGGAAGCGAAAGGGAAGGGAATCCTTGCAAGTATCGAAGCCACGTTGACGATTGTTGGCTTGTAACTTGAATTGCGGGTTGTAGCAGCAATCAGGAGAGGGGTGAAAGTTGCCACTATATCAAATAGGCCGAATACATTTGTGTCGAACATGTTCCTGACTTTTTGGGGATCGGCTTCTATAGCGGGAGCCTCGTACACTACGTGTTGAGTTAGCAAATGCCGAAAAGGCGAACGCATGTAAGATGGGGGTGCATGATAAAAGGACTTACTAGAGCCAGCATTGTTGTATAGGATGTCAAGAGTCCCACCGGTGCGTTTGGTGATTTCATCTTTCAATGCCAGAATGCTTTCTGGAATGGTAACATCCAAGGCAAAAGTCTCAATGTCACTCTCTGAAAGATTGCTCATCGACTCGACGAAACGAGCAGTTGCAAATACTCTTAGTCCTTGGGCTGCAAACTCCAATGCCAAGGCATTTCCTGCCCCGCCTTCGGAGCATCTTCATAGAGTAAGCAGGGGATTTACAGGGTGAAAAAGTAGGATTGACATACCCAGTAATCAGGACGGATCGCTTTTGGGTTGGTGGAGTCATGGATGAGGATCGAGTGCTTTTCGGTAATAATTAGGAGATATGAATGGAAGGCATTTGGAATCGTTTATAATGTGAGGGTGATTAAACAAGGCGCCCTTGGGGAAGCGGGATTATTCAACAAGGGGCGAATCTGACGGAGGCGATGTCCGCAGAAAGCCCGCAAGCCCGCAAGTCCGCAATGACACCCGCATTCGTCGTCGGCTGACCAAACATCATCAACCCGAGACTCGTAATAATCAATTTTCAACATTTGTAAGAAATTATAGCCCTACAGGGATAGCCTCATGAATCAAGGACTGCCACAAGTAATTTTTGCCGATGGTGAGAATATCGGAAAAATGTTCATTAATCACGTAGAGCGAGCCTGCAAAGATTCCTAGTAGATAGAGTGATCAAACATTGATTGTTCGACAAAATGAATTTTCTAGCTTTTTGATTACAGCATATTATAGCATATGGCTAAATTGTTTAATGCGCGGCCTCATCATCAGGGGTAGAGTGTACCGTACCGATGTTTACTGAATGAGTGGCCCCTTGTTTCGTGCGTACATGCTACGTTCGGTGGGTTCTTTATAATAGATAGTACTTAGACTTGATCTTCTGGAAACCGACAGCGATTGATTCAACAATACCTACATCAAGCGAGAGTGCTGTCGATCCCCTATGCCTCTTTCTGCGGAAGAACAGCGGTATTCATATCGCATCCGCTGCTAACAGGGCCTCTTTTGCATCCAAAATGCTTTCATAAACACCTACCTTTATATTAGACGTTCATGTTTCAAGCCACTTTTTGAAGGGAACTCACCAGAAAGTGGCCAGCGGGTTCGTATATGCTGTAGTAGCCATCTCAAAAGAACTATTTGTTCTTTGATTTCTGCCGACGGGGTTCCTTTCCCCAGAGTCATAAGTGCCGAAACCGCTTGATACACAACACCTACCAGAAAAAATGTACATTGGCCATGCTGTAAATCCACCATATTAGATCCCTGCTGGAGTGTAGACGCAATTTGGCAAATCGTGTCGATGGCATCATGAGTCTCGACTAATGTATGCTGCAGAAGCTCTTCCTCAGATCGCACCTGTAACTGTGCCCAGTAATTCTCTTGAATGAGGAAGATACCACTGCCATGAAAAGGTAAGAACTTGTGTTTCCTTTTTTCTCTGGTGCTTTCAAGTGCTTACCTATAAGAAACCAGGCTCTGGCAGCAAAAGGCCAGCATGCGGACAGTAGCTTCAAGTTCACTGGCACGAACCAAGGCCCCGAGTGTGCGACATAGTTGGGCTGTGTCTGGTGATAAAATGCGCTCATCGCGATTGATGGAGACTACAGAAGAGGATCTGATCATGGCAAGAGCCTGGCTGATCAGGTACGTTGCCTGCGCTAGTCTGCCGAAATGCCCAACTTTAAATACGAGGCCTTGGCATATAGGGGTTGCTTCATCCGGCTGCGAGGTCTAGATGTACTTTAAAGTCAGTCAAGGCTTCCGTACGTTCGGAATTGCTTTAAGAATCATGTATCTGACCGCGTCATAGAACTGATCATCATCGACGGGGAGGAAATCCTGAAACGTGGGGTCTTCGGTCGCTAAGACTCGAGAAGGATTCGCGAAGTTCAAGAATCTGTATTCAAAATGTGTCAACGGGGGAAATGCCGCTGAGGACATCAAATTGCGTTTTTTGGAATGTCCGTTAAAGAATAATTTGAATTTGAAGTGACGGACCGATCGAGAGTTAAGATAGCCCACCAAGCCCTGCGCCTCTCCTCAATCTCCATCCAGGATCCTATACGATTATGCTGTCCGCCCATACGATCCTTGTTGATCTTGCCCAGACCCATAGCGATGCCATATCGGGCACAAGCGCCGACGGTCAAATAAGCGGCAGGGTAGATCGCATCACCGATCTCGAAGATCGCAATAAGTATAGCAGCTTGTAAGATTTCAACACACAAATCTTGGATACTCTCTACTTCGGAGTAGAATTTCTTGACTAATTGGTATAACGAGGACCTCCCAGGGCCCTCATCGTCATGTACTGGCAGGCAGCATAGCTTCATGCAAAGAGCTAGTAAAGCAGTCGGGCGTCGGGATGGGGATAATGGATTGAGAATAGCGGTTAAATAGCGCTTGCGACTGACGATAGGTAGCCATGCTGTCTGGAAAAACTTGCCAGCCGTCTGCCGAACCTGCTGATTTTTGCCGATGTGAAAGGCAACTTCGTCCGGAATGCTTACATCCAAGCGAGGGATTTCTAACCGAGCCTCGCGAAAGATATTGGGCGCGAGAAAACTAATGGCGGTGGTAACAGCAAATGGAGACGAAGAAGGCCATACAGGGCCGGACTGATGATGAGACCCGGTACCGCTGGATGCTACAAAAGGTCGCCCGTAAGGTGAATTAGGATCAATGGCATAATCAGATCCCTGTATACTGCGAGCAGGCGAGGCGGAGCGTTGGCCGCGTCTGCGGGGATAGCTGCATTTCAAGCCTTTGCGAATGCATAGCTGGCATGTTGGTAGATTCTTGTCACAGCGTCGTTTACTGCGGCGACAGGGGAAACAGGAAGCGAGGGCGGGAGAAGTCATAAGTTAGGAAGTCAACGATATTTGTTGTTGCTGGAGGTAAAGGCGGTGTTTGCGGAGGTTTGCGGGTGCGGGCGGGAAAATGCTGACGTGGTGTTCCCAGGATGCTTGACATATGCCCATTTCCAGCCTTGCTTAGTACATACGATCATAGGGTGTGGAGAAGAGGGCTTCCCGTCCGTTCAGCCGTACTTAAGCCACATACTAAACGCAGTCAATAACTATAGAGCCCTAGACCTTATATTAGCATCAGTTTCTGTGTTAGGGTGAGTATAGATGATATGGGTGAGAATTCTGGAGACTGGGGTGAGAGAGGTGAGGACGGGGTGAGAGTGGGTAAGAACAGGGTAAGAGGGGTGAGAATACCTACTGCGATGTGTAATGGTAGATAATAAAAGCCCGAGGGCGTAAGTCTAGTCTGCCATTCCTAAATCCTTTTTTACCTAGCTACTTAACCGAAGATACTCTCAGATGAAATACCAAAGAAGCTAGACAAGAGACAGGTATATACTACATTATATGGTTTTATCTACGAGTATTAGAGTATACTGGAATACGTAATTAATACTATCTACTATAAGTAGCTTACTCTAGCTATACTCTAAAGAACCTAACTGTCAGAGAAAGGGCGCTACCTCACGATCGGCCAGTCTGTACGGACCATACTGCCCCACGACAGTATGGTCCCCACAGCAGACTGCAACCTACAATAAGAAGAAACCCACGAACTAAACTATCGTACGAATAACCGCAAGTCCTGACTGATTCAGAGAAAACTGTAGTAGATTATAAGATAGTAACTGATATAAGAATAGGGAGATCGCATGATTACTATATAACTATAAGGGTATACTAGAGGGTATATCAGTAGGTTAGTGGAAGGATACAAATTGACCGTAATGTGTAGTGGGGGAATTGCTCCGGTGATATTAGGTGACGTTGTAGGCCTTAGGCCTTACTCTTATTTTGTATATAATGTGACGATGCTCGGATGCTCACAGAGATCAACGTACGGCGTAGCGTACGAAGTAAAGGAAACAGTAGCTGTTCGACGAAAGTAATAGCTTGAGGAGAAGAAGAAGGAAGCTGAGATAGAACTAAGTACATGTAGTTAAATAGGCGTGGATGCCTAAGTGGATGCCATCTACGTCAGGCATCCGCGAATGGTAACAACCCCAGTTCGTTACATATAAGCCTTTAGTGATAGTTATCTTACCACATACCCACCGGTCGGGTCAATGTTATCGTTCATTATTGTAGATTCGTTTCTCTGTCCTCGCAAGCGACAGCAGAATCTAGCAATGATGCGCCATGGGAGCCAACTGTAGGAATTCCAACATTCACACCATGGTTGAGGAGTAGCTTGTTAATATCTAACTTTTCAATAGTAGAAATGCTCACCATTTCGCTTTAAAAGTGTGCGGCGTTGGAAAAGCAGAACTAGCCAAGGCTCAAAGTTTATCCTTGGTATTCACGCTGTTATTTGCCTCGTCTTGTTTGTGTTGTTTGATCTATTTGTGCCCAATCAATATCTTGCGTGTGCCTCACTCAACAGGATTAGCGCGAAAGTGGTATTGAGCGAGGCTGAATGATATCTGCCCCGCATTTCTGAGCCCCTGAGACAGTTATCAGCAACATCCACACCGACTCCACCACAGCGGATTCCTTATACCGAGTCAAAGTATCTTAGAAGCAACAATAGTTCGCCCGATCGTGATGTCTAACCCAAAAGACTATACGGTTGGCTGGATTTGCGCCATCACCACCGAATATGTAGCCGCCCAAGCTTTCCTCGATGAAAAGCACGACGCACCAGAATATCTGGCTCCCAACAGCAAAAATGACTACACCTTGGGAAGAATCGGGAAGCATAACGTGGTTGTTGCGGTTCTACCTATGGGCGAATATGGGACATCCTCAGCAGCACGAGTTGCAGAGGATATGATGCATAGCTTTCCGAACATCCGAATTGGTCTGATGGTCGGCATTGGTGGCGGGGCGCCAAGTGAAAAGCATGATATCCGCCTTGGGGACATTGTGGTTAGCATTCCATCCAACGGACAAGGGGGGGGTGCTCCAGTATGACTTTGGAAGAATGATCCAGGATCGATGCTTCTCACCAACAGGGTTTTTGGACCAGCCACCCACGATTCTTCGCGCAGCAGTGAATGGCCTTCAAGCCCAGTACGAAAGTGAAGGGCACCATCTGGAAGCTGAAGTCAAAAGGGTCCTTGAGCGTAAACCTCGATTACAGAGAAAGTATAGGCGACCGGACCCTACGAGTGACCGGCTATACCAAAGCCATATTATACATTCTTCGGACATTTCATCCAGTTGTGGTCCCAGTTGTGGAGATGATCTAAATGACTTAGTGCTGCGAGATTCACGCTCTGAAGAAGACGATAACCCGATGATCCACTATGGGCTCATTGCATCGGCCAACCAGCTGATGAAGGATGCAATGATTCGAGATGAATTTGCCATGGAAAAGAATATTCTGTGCTTTGAAATGGAAGCAGCGGGCTTACTGAATCACTTTCCTTGCCTTGTGATTCGTGGCATCTGTGACTACGCGGACTCACACAAAAACAAAGACTGGCAAGGTTATGCAGCGATGGTGGCCGCGGCATACTCCAAGAATCTCCTCTACCGAATTCTTCCCCAACAGGTTGAGAAAGAGACAAGAATCCTGAATGCCCTGAAGCCGCTGTTTGCCACCATAGTCAAGGCCACGGACCATGTGGCTCAATTTACGGACCGTATTAACCAAAACATGGATTATGACAAGTTATCTATTGCACACGGAGCTGAGCTTGGGTCTTACATGGATCGGCATGAAGATGAATGTCTTTCAGGCACTAGGACTGAGCTCCTTGAAGAAATTGCGCAATGGGCTGAGTCTCCGCAAGGAAAACTTATATTTTGGTTGAATGGTATGGCGGGGACAGGGAAATCCACAATATCCCGAACAGTGGCAAAATCATTGAAAAATGACAAGTTGCTAGGAGCAAGCTTCTTCTTCAAGAGGGGCGAAGGAGATCGAGGCAATGCAATGAAATTTTTCCCAACAATTACTGAACAATTGGTCCGCAGGCTTCCGGAAATGATGCTATCTATCCAGAAAGTAATCCATGAAGACCCCAGAATCTCGGAGAACTCGCCGATGGACCAGTTTGATAAGCTTCTGCTTCGACCTCTCTTAGAATTGAGACTATCCGGTCATGCGATCCCTCCAATTGTGATAGTAATTGACGCATTGGACGAATGTGAAGGGGATAAGGATATACGATTAATAGTCCAACTGCTGTCACAACTGCATAGGCCAACTGCTGTTCGCATTCGGCTATTCTTGACAAGCAGGCCTGAATTGCCGATTCGTCTCGGCTTTTCAGAGATCGCCAATAATGTCTATCAGGATCTAGCTCTCCATGAGATCCCTGAAAGGGTGACAGAACACGACATAGATTTATTCCTGAGGGACCGATTTGCAAAGATCGGGCACGACAGAAAAGTTTCTCGAAACTGGCCCAGCGATGGCATAATCCAAGCCTTGGTTAAAATGGCAGTTCCATTGTTCATTTCCGCCGCTACAGTGTGTCTACAAATTGAAAAATCAAGACTGGAGCCTGTTATGCACCTTGAAAAACTACTAGAAGACCAATCTAGATATGTTACAAGAATGGACAAGACCTATCTGCCAATTCTCATGAGGTTTGTCGATGACCAAAACCACCATGACTGGGAGCAAGAACAACTATTGCGTGAGTTCCAGGATATTGTCGGTATCATCATCATACTTGCCGTTCCACTCTCTATCAACACGCTTTCTCAATTCATCGGGACAGGAAAGGACATTATCAACAATCTGTTGGATTCATTCCAATCTGTTCTCAGCGTACCCGATGACCATGATCGTCCAGTCAGGACTTTACATCTCTCTTTTCGAGATTTTCTCCTTAACACTACGAGTATATTTCGTGTGGAAAAGTCAAAGAAACACAGTGAAATTTGCGCATACTGTCTCAAAACCATGCAAAGGCACCTGAAAAACAATATCTGCAATCTAGATAACCCAGGGACTTCTAGGGCAGAAATTGACCCTCAATCCATCCGCCAGTGTTTGCCTGAAGAATTGCAATACTCTTGTCGTTTTTGGGCGTATCATCTGACTCAAGGCAAAGAATCCCTCAACAGAATGGGTGAGGTATTCTCGTTCCTTCAAAAGCACTTCCTGCACTGGTTGGAGGCGATGATTCTGTTAGGTCTTATGTCAGACGTGGTAGAGACTCTTAACGTCCTGCAGACGGTTATCTCAGTGAGTGCGGTAGACAATCATATGATTTAGACTAACCGACGCAGGGCGACTCTCATCCGGCAATTTGTGATTTCCTACGTGATGCAAGGCGCTTTGTTCTCAAAAATCGTCAGATAACTGATGAGGTGCCTTTGCAGCTTTATTATTCGGGATTGCTATTTACACCACTAACGGCAATCATTCGCAGAGAGTTCAAAAAAGACTTCCCTACTTTTATAGAGCAGTTAACGCAGATTGAAAAAAGGTGGAGTCCAGAATTACAGGCTCTAGAGGGCCATTCATCTGCGGTTATCTCGGTAAATTTCTCGCCCGACAGCCAGCTGTTGGCGTCTGGCTCCGATGATAAGACCATCCGGCTTTGGAATATGGCGACTGGCACCTTACAACAGACTCTTCAGGGCCATTCAGATGGTGTCACAACAGTAGCCTTCTCACCCGACTGCCAGGTACTGGCATCTGGCTCCTTTGATAGCACTATCCGGCTCTGGGATACATTGACTGGTACCTTGCAGCAGACTCTCCGGGCCCATTCAGATTTAATTTCCTCGGTAACCTTCTCACCTAATGGCCGACTGTTGGCATCTGCTTCCTTTGATACAACAGTCCGACTCTGGGATACCATAACTGGTGCCCTAGAATATACTATTAACGCTCACTCATATTGGGTTCGGTGGGCTGCCTTCTCTCCTGATAGCCGGCTGCTAGCATCTGGCTCTGAGGATCTGACTATCTGTCTCTGGAATATAGTTACTGGTACTTTACAGGACACTCTCAAAGGTCATTCCCGTCCAGTTCGGTCAGTGGCCTTCTCTCCTGATGGCCAACTTCTAGCTTCTGGCTCTGAAGATAAGACTATCTGTCTCTGGGATATAGCTACTGGTACCTTACGGAATACTCTCAAATGCTACTCTAGTCTGGTTCGGTCGGTGGTATTCTCACCCAGTGGCCAGATTCTGGCGTCTGGTTTTGATGATAAGACTGTCCGGCTTTGGAATACTACGACTGGTATCCCAGAATATACTTTTAAAGGCCATTCAGGTCCAGTTACCTCAGTGGCCTTTTCTCCTGATGGCCAGCTGCTGGCGTCTGGTTCCGATGATAAGACCATCCGGCTTTGGGATATGGCGACTGGTAATTCACAACAGTCTACTGAGGATCATTATTCACATTCTGTCAATTCGGTAGCCTTCTCACCAGACAGCCAATTGCTGGCGTCTGGATCCTTTGATATGAAAGTCAGGCTCTGGGACACAGCGACTGGGTGTCTGCTGCTAAGTCTCAAGGGGCATTCTCATAAGGTTTCCTCAGTTGCCTTCTCACCAGATGGTCAGCTGTTAGCATCTGGTTCCTTTGATAGGACCGTCCGGCTCTGGGATACGAAAACTGGTGTATTACGGCACACTCTCAAGATTCATTCGGTTTGGGTTCTGTCAGTAGCATTCTCACCTGATGGCTGGCTTCTAGCATCTGGATCTGAGGATCGGACTATCTGTCTCTGGGATATAGTTACTGGTACTTTACAGGACACTCTCAAAGGTCATTCTCGTCCGGTACGATCAGTAGCCTTCTCTCCTAATGGCCGACTGTTAGCGTCTGGCTCTGTGGATGCAACTGTCCGGCTCTGGGATACTGCGACTGGTACTCTGAAAAATACTTTGAGAGGCCATTCAGATTCAGTTACCTCAGTGGCCTTTTCTCCTGATGGCCAGCTGCTGGCGTCTGGCTCCGATGATAAGACCGTCCGATTTTGGGATACAGCTACCGGCACCTTACAGCGGGCTTCTAATGTAGAAGATGGTTTCACCAGCCTCGAATTTTCTGAAGATGGTTCATACCTAAAGACGAATCTGGGGCCTCTTGATATTCAGTTTATGTGTGGCGGTCATCCTTCAAATACACCTCATATGAATTTGAGCATCTTCATCAAACAGAGGCAGTGGATAACATTAAACGGCAAAAGGCTACTGTGGCTTCCCAATGAGGCTCGGCCCACCTGTTCCGCGGTAGATGGTGGTATGCTTGCCCTAGGACATGTATCAGGGCGGATTTCCTTCATACGAGTTCATTTGGCATCTTCGAAGCATGAGAAGATCGTACGAACGCAGCTCAATGAGGGTGACAACGTGAATGTTCAAGGTGGAGCGCATGAAAATGCGCTACACGCCGCTTCATTGAAAGGAAGTGAAAAGGTGGTGCAGGTGCTACTTGATCGGGGAGCCAACGTCGACACGCAAGGTGGACAGTACGGTAGCGCTCTCCAGGCCGCATCATTCCGGGGCCACGAGAAAGTGGTGCAAATGCTACTTGATCGGGGAGCCAACGTCGATACGCAAGGTGGACAGTACGGTAGCGCTCTCCAGGCCGCATCATTCCGGGGCCACGAGAAAGTGGTGCAAATGCTACTTGATCGGGGAGCCAATGTCGACACGCAAGGTGGACAGTACAGTAGCGCTCTCCAGGCTGCATCATTCCGGGGCCACGAGAAAGTGGTGCAAATGCTACGTGATCGGGGAGCCAACGTCGACACACAAGTTGGACAGTACGGAAACACACTTCAAGTAGCATTCTCTGGAGGCCATAATGAGAGTGAGCGGACGTTGCTTTGGCGAGACACTTACGAGGCTATGGCGGAGCAGAGAGACAGGCAAACATATCAACCAGGGAAGCCACGAGACATATTTGAAGCCTTCAGTATTCTTCAACGCTGCGGACGTCAGAGGCTACCGAAGCACATAATTTCGCTTATTCTGGATTTTGCTAGATATTGGTTGCTTTCCAAGGTCACTAGGAAGGACCTCATCAGTATCGTCGCAAGGGACTGCAAAGACAAGCCACCATATCTGACGTCTGAACCTATTCAAAGCTTTAATACTCACGTTCGGGAGATCAAAGTCATCATTTGGAGTCACGACCAAGGCTTCAGCTCTTATCCCGAGGATCATGGGACGTTTAAAAACAGTTGGACATGGTTTGAGCTTGAAATTGAAAGGCCACCAAAGAGCCTACGCTTTGAAGATCCTGTAGCGACAAATATGCACGCATGCAAAGAGTTCCAATGTCATATGAAAGTCTTTAGTGGTGAAGGATCTGACGAGGCCAATGGCTTGATAAAAACACTCCAAACTGGTGATAGAGTGTCAATCATTCCGATGGCCCGTTTCCCTGGTTGGAGAAACTACGTGCGAGAAGCCTCCATTGAGGTATATAGTACATGTCTACGGTAGTCATTTGCAGCATCAACGACAGAATGGCAAATCAGAATTTGATCGAAATAATTGAAGCAAAATTAGAAGCAGAATCCACGGTTTCTCCCTCCTATACTTGGCTCTTACGATAGAGGCTTATACTCAGATTTCTCATGCTTTTGGATGATGATAGTATGGAAATAAGTCAACAAATGCTCCCAGATGCTGTGATCTCATATCCAATTGACTAATTTTGTAAGTGGTTTTCTTGCTGTTTCCCTTTGGCTGTGTGTCAAAGCAGCATCATCCTGCTCACCCGGGGGGATATTTACGGGAGAATTGTTTGAGCAGAAGCCACATTAGCAGCAGAAATCCCGGCGTGATAATCATTTAACCCCTGCATCTGAGATAGGAGACACTGGTATCAAGCTAAAGCAAATTCTATGACATTTAAATCTTTCGCAAACATTTCTTACTGTCCCTTAACGCCGTTTGCTTTTGTATTAGCGGAATGCCCAATATCTCTCACCTAGAGGCTGACTCGTTGAGCCCCAACCCATTGAAACTTAGATTGTGAAAGAGAAAATCTTTGAAATCAAATAGTGTTGTGGGAGAACTGCTACTGTTACGTTATGTAGTGACCCGAAAAATCTGGCCGCGGTTCAGTTTCGCCTCATGTAGATGCTTTCGATCAACCTCGGATAAAAACCGACAAACACATCTCTTGTCGAAACTGTTTCTCATTTAATATGTTCTCCTATTCTTTGTTTGGTGTCAGTTTTACGATTCCCTTCCGACGCATGCACCGCTACTAGGTGTTGGTGTGGTATCGCTACGATTGACCCGTCTGCATACCAGACTGCCATCACACATTTCCCTCTTCAATGGTTGGAATCAAGAACATCAAGATTCAAATCATTAAAATGGACTTGCTGAGAAGGAAATAATGGAATAGCGGATCGGAAATTTCATGGAATGGAAATGGAACCCGTTAAAGCAACTCATTTAAATCCGATTCAGTTACGCAAGTACCTCCTTACGCCTAGGTTACATCACGTGATGAGTACAATATAATATAACTAGCAGTCAGCAATCTGATAAGGTTCTATAGGGCTAGATTGTATTGCTGTTTTGGATGGTTAGCTAAATGATCAAAGCTGGATGTCTCAACGATTACCTACAGTGAATCCGCATCGCAATTTTTATGATATATCAGTTGTAGGATCGAAGAACATGGCAATCATTAGACCTAGTCCTGTTATGACGGCCTTTGCTAGGCTACTTCCCGGCTAAGAAAGACAAACCGGACTGTAAGGAATAGAGATGAATAGAATTCATGTAGTGTTGACGAAAAGTATTAAAGCCGAGGAAAACGGAATAGAGGGAAGCTCTCGTAACTGCTATGGTACAAATGGGAGACGGTTGTGGGTAACGCCAGGCAACATCCAGTGCGTTACACCTGGGCACCGGACAGGGAATTAGGAAATATATCTCAGGCTGTACATATCTTCTTACCTATCTTATCAATTGAACTTTCGTACTACCACAGAGCTTCCATGGAGACCAAAAAGAACCTATCAGAGCCTAGGGTAGATTACCTCACTCATAGTTTAAGGCTACGCAAATATTTCTTGCTACACAGGTTATTTTGCTGGAAATCCAGTTTTACTATTCAGGTTTGTCTTGCACTAACTTGCCACATGAAAATAGAGACGCGTGTTCTCAAACCATCGCGACATTCTACCACGACTTAGCATAATTCAGAAAGCGACGAAAGTCAGGTTATTCAACCTTCCAAGTTATGCAAAATGCCCCAAAACTAGGCGCTCGAGCTAGTTCTAAAAAAGGTAGCCTAACTTAAGTTAATTCACTTTGGACTAGTGAAGTGCTTCAGCTATAGGAGAGTTTTCAAATTGTATTTATTCGCATCGGAGCACGCCACTCGTTTCTGCACCTCTTATTCGGTCAGAATCTTCACTGCATCCTGGGAAAAGAGAGAACCAAGACTAGACCAGACGATCGTAGTGGCCATGGTGAATCTATTTGCCGTCATCAGCTCCGATAAGGATCAGTTCGGATCGCCAAGAAAAAGCAAAAGCAGTGGCGGTTCAGAAAGTTTAGCCGAGGGGCTGAAGGAGTTGAGCGGCGAGGGCACTAAACCCAACGAATCCAAAAAAAGGGTAAACACGGAGATACAACAGCGGGGATTCGCATGTGGTGACCGACCACCTACCTAACTGACTGGTCAAGTTATATCGCTTGCTGGTTCATTACTTGGCGATTGTCTAGTTATTTAACTATTGAAAGATGGGAATGCTCGATGGCAGTCTGCGCACTGCAGACAAAGGGAGAGAAGCAAGAGAGACAACACCACACCCGCAGGGTGCACGTATCGTAGAGAGTATATAATCACCACTATACTAGTCTACTAGTATGCAATCAGACACAAAAAATGTCCTATTGGCTGCTGCATTATAAATAAAAGATGTTCCTGTGCCCTCCAGCGACCCAAGTGTCAAGCCTAACCGCTGCGTGTAAACGTAAGTGTTCCCCGAAAACAACTCCTGCCACGAGTTCTGGAGCAGTTTCGTCCTCCAGTGTGTTATGATCCAAAAATCAGATTAAACAGCAAGCAATGTCCTATATATCATCTTTATGAAATAAACTTGGTTCTTCATGTAGACAATGCGGGAACTAATTCCAATGATGCAGTTTGATTCCTGATCTGCACCCTCATATCACACCAGGATTGTTAGTACAGTCCACTGTATTGGGATAAACTATTAGACCATATAACTGGTGGTTATTGTAAGATACACAAGTACCGCAGAGACATGGAGGAGCAGTGACTGAGCAATCTCTCATTCGTTAAGTCACAATACCTCGCGACTAAGTAGAGTACTTTACTATTTAACTGCCAATAGGCGTGTCATCAACTCGATATATAATCTTTGAAGCGCTGATCTTTCCTTCCTTCAACTGGAGCAGTCCATCCTCAACCGACTTCAAGCCATTTGGGAGCAACACATAAGGCTGACCGAGGATCTTTCCTTGGGAAAGCCATCGACTCACAAGTCGGAATAGGGCGTAGGCGAAGTCCACATCTTCGGCACAGTCATGATTCCAGAAAGGTGTTGGTTGCCCATGCACAGTGCCAAAGAATGTTATCCCAATAGAAATACCAGACGGAATAGATGTATAATCCAAGCGAGGCAGATAGACAGCGATTCGACTGCCTTGGGGCTCCAAAACGTTCACCAAGTGATTCCAGCTGTCACCATTGTTGATTGCGTCGACAGCGTGAAAGCATTTTTTCCCATCAAGAGCGGCCTTAAGATCATTGACAACATCACCCTTTCTGTAGTCCACAAAGTCTGTCACTATACCAAGTGACTCAATGTACTCTCCACCGGACCCACAGACAGCGATAAGCTTGTCGAATCGTCCCAAACTCGCCAACTTAAGGGTGAAACTGCCAATGGAAGAGGCCCCACCATAGACGATAAGCGGCGGCTGGATTTGAGCGTTGTCCGGGGAAGTAGGAAATGGAATTTTCAGCCGTTGGTATAAACCCAAAGCTGCCGTACAAAGTGAAAACGGAATGGTACAAGCTTCTAATTATCCCTGGATTAGAAACACCAAAGAGACGTGGCGAATTCATGACGAACCTTCAAATGATATGTTCGGTGGGATCAAGAAGCAAGTATTCACAGGGGCTGTGGCATACTCTGCGTACGTCCCGTTTTCCGTTTGCATCGGATGAGCTGCGGCAACGCGGTCCCCCTTTCGGAATTCATAGACATTGGTGCCGACCGCTTCGACCACGCCTGACATTTCATTGCCCTGATTGATTTCAACACCGGGAATCAGATGGTCAGGGGCCTTCCAGTCGCGTGGATTGCTCGCACAGAAAATGACTTTGACTAAAACTTCATCCGGACCGGGCTGGGGAATTGGAACGCGAACAAGTTCGCATCGGAGAGGGTGGGCCTTAACAACCACCGAATTCATTTTGAGGTAGAAGTCTGGAAAAACGAAGTGGGGCGCAAAGAATCATGAAAAAAAAGTGCTTCTGATGTACGGTACTTATATCTGAGCCGAACTTGCGAAGGGGATTGAGGCATGGGGTTGACCCCGCTAAGGTGGCCATCCGACCCGCGGGCCAAAGGGAAGCACTGATGTCAGAATAAATCGGAAAGATAGGGCGGCAGTCGGACTTGGGTTGCTTGGACAATTGGGTGACTAGTCAAATTAGTCTGTGATCAAAGTTATAATTCCGATTATGCTGGAGACGAGACCGCTATTCCGCATTTTGAGATGCCCGGGCATTTTCCAATGAGTTATACAGTCAATCAACATCTTTCATTTCGACCTTCTTGCGCAGTTCGCAGCTACTCACTTCTTTGTCCAGGTTCTTTCGAAGCTTTTGCGCCCGTTCTTTGAATGATTGCCCTTGTGCGGTGGTCAGCCGCCGGATGAAGTACCCCGGATAGATTCAGCGTAGATGTTAAGGTTGCTATCGAGTCTCTATCCGATTGGCTGCAGTTCGGGTAGATGCTTCCCCAATCAACACCGGATAGAATACTTGATTGCCAACTACCTGCGTTACAATCCACGCGTCTATCGGCATGTTTGCCGATCGAGGGAATCTTTTATAAAGGTCCAAGTCCATCTTTCAGCTGAGTTAAAAATCTAAATTCTAATCTGCCAACATGGCGCACATCATCCACCCAAACAAGCAGAAACTAATAGATCGCGCGCGCGAATTTTTCGCGGAGGTTGAAGATCTGTAAGAGAATGTATCTGTGTTGGTCCATGATTATTTTTCTGACGCCTAGGACATAGGACTCCCGGTAAAGAACTGGAGGAAAGACTGAACCGCGATTATGGACCAGGGAATCCTTACTACGACGAGTTCTGTACTTTGATAAGACAAGGTCTGGCCAATGAGGAAGGTTGGGTCGCTACAGATGAAATCGACGGCTCAAAGTATCGTCGCACTCGGATTTGTACACCGACCGAAATGAATCGCTACTTCAGCATCACCACAGTATATATGGAGAGCGAAGAAGTGTACCGTGGACAATATCACCTTCACCCATACGGAGAGATAAATTGTGTTGTTCAAGTGGATGATACAGCCGAATTAAAGAGGAATGTCCGGCTGGCAAGGAGCGGGTTGGACATCACCAGGCCCAGGGACCCATCACTATCCGGAAGTCCGCGGGGGCGCCCTCGTGGCTTTATTTTTCTTGCCAGCAGGTCGTATTTCGTACAAAAGAGCACAACCAGGGGATGCACAACCCGTCGCTATTTAAGCAGCAGCCGGGCTTTTTCGGCCTCGTTGTTCTTTGATTCCGTGATATTCAAGGAGGACGGCCGGGGCGACATCGCGATTTCGATGAGGGTGCTACAGGGCTTAGGACCTAAGCTTTTGTTGTGGGGTGAGAAAGTTTGAATTTGGGGCCGGTGTTCCGATGATGTGGGGATGTATTACAAATCAGACTATATATCTTGAGTTTGTGGCGAATAAATCAATCAATCACCTTTTTGCCTCAGCGTTGTCACCCGGTGGATAATCTGGTCAGCTATCGATCCGAAAGTTGCCTTCTCGGCATAAGGCCATCGAACCTGTAATATGCCTCGTCGAAAAGTTTCGGAGCAAAATCGAAGACGTATCACGAAAGCCTGCTTGTATTGCCAGACTAGCAAACAAAAATGTGACGGTTTACTTCCCTGTGGCCAATGCACCAGGCGGGATCGAGCAACTGCTTGCAACTACTCTCCATATGAACGATCTTATGGCCGTCAACGAAGTCGCCAAAAAAAACGATCTCTAGAAGCGGCAGACCCTCCTGGACTCAGCAAAAATGAGATCGATCTGGATCCTGGCGTGACGCGTATTGCCATACCGAAATTACCTCACGACTTCTACGACACCAAGGGAAAGCCAGGTATGCGCAAAATTCACTTGTGTAGCCCATTTGAATACATGGCTTGTCTAATACTTCCATGTTTTTAGTATATTTGGGGAACTGTGCTGCGCTTTCCTTTCTCCAAAACATCCAAGACATGATCCAGAACGAAGAAGATTTATCGAACCTGACAGCCGATGTTGCTTCTCTCTCGCGTCTCGAGGAGCTGCCCGCCAGCATGAGCGAGAACGTGTTAGATTTTCAAGATGCAGATGGCGACGACTTGGAATCACTGATAGATGTGTTTTTCACATCGGTATTTTCCATACTACCAATACTCCTCCCGAAGAGATTATTAATACTTCGAGCAGACTTGTGGAATATTGGATATTTTCAACCGATCATATGTGGAAGGCTTACTCAGGTGTTGGACAGAGAGGATCCTGCCAGTGACGAGTGGCTGTGCAGCAGTCCTGTATCTCGTGCTTGCGTACGCTGCGCAAGCTCGTTGTGATTCTACAACAGACCTGCATCGTTCTGAAGTTTATTTCAATCGTGGTCGTCAAATCGCACTGCTTGACCTAACCAATGACCCCAAAATGGAAACAGTACAAGCTTTCCTTTTGATCAGCTTGTACATGCTTGGTTGTTCCCGACGCAATGGAGCTCATTTAAATTTAGGAATTGCAATCAGCGCAGCAAGATCGCTCGGATACCATCATTCTGCGTCCAAGACCGACAATGATCGAGACGAGCAGATAAAGTGCGTATACGAATGTTGACATTGGTCAAGAAAGTCATGCTAAAGAAACAAACATTACATAGCCGACGTATATGGAGGACATTGTGCTACCATGACCTGTTTTTCTGTGCAATGATGGGACGAACGCCGTCAACCACGGCAGCCGAGTCAACAGATATGAATGGACCGAGACCTGACTCATATCACCCTGACTTTTGCCAACAGCTTGGGCTGTTAGAATCAGCGCGAGCATTTTCGATAATGAAACGGACAGTAATTGAAATATACACAAAGCAGTCGGTACCTTTGGGTTTGCTTCAGTATATTGCGAGAGAGCTAGAGGAAATGCGTAGCAACGTTCCTGCCGAAATTCGTCGGCTGGCTTTTCAACAGTCTTCCGACCACTCGTGCCCTCACCATCATCAAAACGCCCTCAGAAATGCCAGTGTTGCCTGCAATTATTCTTTCAGCATGATGCTACTTACCCGGCCATTCCTTATTGCCTGTCTCCGCGGCAAACATTGTGAGCGGTCGGCGAGCGATGCAACTGCGAGTGAGCCCGATTTTAAAGAATCGCAAACATACCCAGATATCGTTCGAGGCGCTCTGAGTTGTATTGAAGCCGCCATCAAAACAGTTCAGTTGCTTCATGAACTTCTTGTAGCAGGCATGCTCTTCAATAATATGCCTCTTGTGATGTAAGTAGCCGACCAAATCACACTAACCGTCGTTTAGCTAACTTGGGGACAGAGCATGGGTATTTGTTTCAGCATTGACGACCTGTGCCGCCTACTTTGGGCAGCTTGGGGACACAAGAGATTGTGAGCTTGCAATCCACCGGGCCAGTCAGCTTTTACAACACTTTACGAAGAACAGCCCACAGGCCAAACAGTATGACATTATACTAAAGCAATTATCGAAGGCCGCCATGATCTTTAATAATGGCTTGAATCAGCGTAGACCTGCTGACAGGAGCATCATGATGTCAGACATATTTGGACTCGATCCGCAAGATCGACATGAGATTGCAGGCACTAATGATTTATCTACTGCTGTTAATCAGTACACGGAGGACCACGAGAGAACTTTCTCACGCCCGGAAAGTGCTGCGATGATTGCCACGTCTCCGCTTGCCGAGCATGAAGGACATGACACTGGCTATTTAGCGAGGATTCTAGGTTCTCTGCCTTCAAACGACATTTCATCCCTGTCTGGGGGCGGGAACAGCACCGGTTACATCGTTTCCGACGATCGCTCTACACCCAATTGTTACGATTTTGATGAATTTGCCGGAACCCAGCCATCTCTGGACCTTCTAAATACCGCCAGTATTTGGGAAATCAATTGGGATGGAGTGCTTCTTTAACTTATTGCGAGACGATGTACAGCCAACCTCTCTCAATGTCTCTCTGGTGGATAGTACAATGTGAATATTTCCCCATATTTGGCCATTTTCAGCCCTCTAAAAGTTCAGATAGCGTTCCAAGTTTGGGAAATAGCCCAAGAGGCGCGTTGTCCGGATAGAATGCTTCTGCCTTTCCGATTCCATTTCTGGTCAACACCAAGGGGATAAACCATTCTCGTTGCCGAAGCTTATGTTGGCTCTAGTAACTTATACATTTCAGAATGTTGAGGGATTCTTTCCCCCTTATTCCTTTACTCTTACGCTCGGCTAGACTCAGGGCTGTGCGAGATTCAATAGTAGCCAATTCGATCTCTGAAGATAGATGTGTCTGTCTAACCTTGAACTAGATTACTCCGGGAAGTCAACGGGAAAGCTTGATTGGAGGACATTTATTGTGTTCGTTGCTCTTCGTAAGTTTGCTGGCAGACCTTGGCCACCGGAAATCTCCTAACAACAATTTTGGGAAGAATCCGCCGCTCCTTTCGTCGCCCTTCTTCTATCACCACCAGAAAAGGTACAGCGAGCCGATGGTAAAAGGGTGAAGACAGCCGAAAGAACTAGTACGGTTCAGGAGGTGAAAGAAGTTTTGAAGGTCCTTACCCGGAAAGACTTCCTCCTCGTGTAAGTATTCCAGTGCCATTTTGGTGGTAATAACTAACCAAGACTTGATAGCGTTCCGTTCTTCTTCTACGCCACATTTCTACTCTCCTATGCCGGATCATATCTATTTCTTTACTTCAGTGTTCGTGCCCGAGCGCTCGCTTCACTTGTCTCGGCACTTGCACAAATAACGGCCAATATTTTCTTTGGCAGTTTTCTCGACTGGCGACGGTTTACACTAAATCAAAGGGCACGGTATTCATATATCTTTATCATGGCGCTCTTCGGCGGAACCTGGATATGGGGTACAGTTGTTCAACACGGGTATGAAATTAATACACCCGCGCTCGACTGGGTTGATCATGGGTTTGGTCGAGGCTGGGCATTCTATCTTATGATGCAAGTAAACTTGTATGCATCCTCTCTTCTTAATTCTGGTTAGCAATTGGGCTAATTTTGAGATATAGTGCTTTGGCATACAACTACGGATATTGGCTCGCGGGCTATATTGCCAAGGACCCTGCTGAAATTGTTCGCTTGACATCAACTGTCCGTGCTGTCGAAGCTGCTGGGGGAGCTGTTGCATCTGGAATTAGCTCAACACATGCGCCAGTAAGTCACTTATCAATTCGAGTCGTATTTTCTTCTAATTGGGTGACAATAGCTTATTGCCGCATTGAGTGTTAACTTTGGATTGTGGGGTCTCGCCGTGATACCGACATATTTTGTCGCTCGAAAGGTTGGCCTTGCCAGGGAGGAAGCCGTTGTTGAGGCAGTGACAATCCCTTCGGATTAGGGGCGGAGGAGCAAATGAAAATATTGTCAAATTGAGTGAATTCTCAAGCAATATACCACTGAAAAGCCTTGCTTCTGCACCAGGGCCATTTGTTCAGGCCCTCGAGTTACATCAAACGGAAGAAAATCTTGTGTCAATTGCACCACAGCCGCATCCATTCGTCTGCTATGTATGGGCTCCTCAGCTGGACTTCATCTATTCCAACGATCAAACTGGAATCTGCTTCCCCAACTTTCTCCAAAAGTCACATCTATTCTTCAGTTGGTCAATGTGAATATTTTCAAATCCATCATCGACAACAACGAATTCTTCTCCAGTCTTCTGCAATAATGGAACACCCGGCTCGGTAGAACCTGTCAATTTATGCGCATTCGGATCCCCAGTTTGGAAGAAACTGGCAAAGGCACCCGCATAACCTTTATAAACGACAGGATTGGTCGTCTGCACTGCATTTATCCGATTCCACTGTATCACTATTAGCCCTTTATCCTCTTTCCAGGGGCATTTAACTCACATATATTGTATCACTCCCGTGAGTCGCTGGCGAAATCGTGTATTCCCCGAGATACCCTTTCTTCTCCGCACTAGAACCAACCCAGTACGCCGGACAAGCAAGCACAACATCACGATAAATCAATCCAGCCCGCACGAATGTGGTATTATACTCATCAATTGTTTCTGTACTGCCGGCTGCCGGATAATAAAAATCTTCAACAAGACGAATCTGGCTCTTCGAGAACCGAGGCAAGAAGCCCGTCAACCAATACCGAAACCCCTCGGTGGAGGAGTTAAACCCATTCACACTTTCAGCGGACTTCAACCCCGTCGGAACAAAATTCTCTCCTTCGTGGCTATTGTACATCCCCCAAACAAACTCTGTTTCCACTTCTCTGGCCCCACTAACAGCCTCACTCAGCGTATCCACCAAAAACTCCCCGTCAATAACGGGAGCCCACGTATAGGAACTCGTCGTCCAAGTGCTCCGCGCATCAATAACAAGACTCGCATCCCGAATCACCTGTGCATCAAGTCTCTTCAAGCAATCTACCACACCGTCGGTCTCTGCCTTGGCACAGCCAGTCAAGCTCACAAAGTCATCAAACACACTCTCCGCCTCGGCATCGTCAAACTTATACGTCTTCGGCCAGAACGGCGAGCTGGCCAAGGCCTTGCTGAACAGTTTTGGCTGCTCACCACGTCCATTGGCAAGAACCTGCGCAACAACTGAGCCGGCCCCTGCAGATTGGCCCCAGATGGTAACATTCTTCGCATCACCGCCAAAGAGATGAATGTATTTCTGTACCCATTTGAGGACATATTGTTGATCCAGTAGACCGGGATTTAGGTCCGAGGTTTTAGACTCCTTGATCGCTTTGCCAGGGAGAAATCCAAAGGCATTGACACGGTAATTCGGATATATAACCACATAATCATTCGATGTACTTGTGTTCAAAACCGGGAATGACGATGGAGGCATCGTGAATGCTGCACTGCCTTGGATAAATGCGCCCCCGTAGAACACGACGAGAACGGGTCGTTTCGCCTTTGCCTTTCCATTTTCTGTATTCCATGGCCGTGAAAATAAACCCAGATATAGACAGTCTTCGGAACCGTTAACTGTCCGCTGGGGACACATGTCAAAGTCTTGGTCGGTGTTGTAGGTCCCGTCTGTTATGGTAGCTGGGGGCTGTGGTGATCGAAAGCGATTTTCACCTGTCGGTGGTGATGCGTAGGGAATTTTCCGGAAATAGCTAAGGTTATAGGTGTTATCATATTTACCCTGGAAGCTTCCGTAGTCGAGGTTGACGAGGGGGTTTTCATATGCTGCTGCTGCACTGTTTGTGAATGCCAGCGCTCCGCCGAGCAGAAAGAGAATCTTCATCTTTGGAAAGGCCTGAGATGTTTGCAGCCTGTATTTAGTTGAGTTGTTTGACGTTACCTGAATTATGGGCCTGCATTTTGAAAGAGATATTCCGAGTCTATATAGCCCGTTCCTGTGGGAGGGGTATGCGCTGCATGCAGATCCACCGGGGCATGGATGCCATTTGGCCGAGAGCCTTTCTCAGCAACATTATATGTAGGGCAATTCATCAGGCACTATTCTGCATATGGTTCAGTGACGAAGTCTCTGGAAAATAGACCGCGAGCCTCCTCATTGGTGCAGTTATTATAGGCGGATCCGGGGAAATGCGGGGAAGTCGAGGGACTTCGGTGTCGATAAGCCCGAGTGCAGTATGGCACATAGGGCATAAAGACATTTTTAAACGCATCCAACCAAAAGTCTTTAATTTTGACTTTTCTACTCAACAATAGTAGATCGCGATGGGAGAAGAAGCCTGCTAACGAAAAACCTTGCCATGGACTTGACGCATCGAATTGAAACCATAGGTGTGTCCGCCGAGCTTCGCAAGTAGGAATTGAGAGCAGTCAAAGCATTCTGATTTTCCAACAGAATTTGACATTGTGCTAGATTATTCAAAAATGTCTCAATATATGGAACAGTTGCAGGAAAATTCATTATCAAGGTAGAGAAATTGGATTCTGGTCTGTAAGTTGGATAATCAAGATGCGATACATTGAACAATTTATTGCTATACTTGTTCCAGCGACGGATGACAGTTCTGGTCGGTACTCTGGGGGTAGCCAAAGTATCTTGGTTCCGTTGTATGTGATCCAAAGATAATCCTTGGAGAAACTATATCCGCTCGGTCCAGACTCGGAACAGTGGACTGTGAAAGGCTCAATCGTTGGATCCAATACAGGACAACCAAAATCCAATACACCCCATGAAGTGTTTATATGATTGGGTGTTTCATCGAACCGGAGGAAAAGAGGTTTTGGATCGACTTGACAGCTAAAGAGGCACGTTCCTGTATGCAAATTCCAAACTCTGATCATGTTTCCCCAATAATCGTCATCGAAGCCACAACACACAATTTGGATTCCGTCTGGCGACCAGTCGATTGTACTCCCCATATAGTCTGGGTTGTATTCGTTGCCCCAGCTGTCTAGACTTATATTTTCCCAATAATCATCATTCTCGCTCATAATGTCGTCCCGCGTGAGAGTGAGTTTGCACTGTGCAGTCATTGGATCCCAAATCCTGATCGCTGTGTCGTGTGATTTGGATGCGACCTGAGTTCCATCTGGCGACCAGACAACAAGAACGGGACTTTGACGATCCCTGTGGGTGGGGCTATCTTCGTTGAGTGTGAAAAGAAGTTTTCCTGTGCTTGAATCCCAGATATGGGCTGTGTTGTTCTGTGACCCAGTTGCAATCTTCTTTCCGTCTGGGGACCAGGTATGTGACTCAATTTTGCGCATCTCTCCCCCCAGGACCAACTGGCACCGGCCAGTGGCGGGATCCCAGATTCTAAGAACCTTGTCAACTGATATTGATGAGAGTTGGTTACCATCTGGTGACCATTTGACCGGGTTCTTATCATAACAGTTACTATCTGGTAGTGAGATGTCTCCATGTCTTTCGAGCGTGAGAATGCATTTGCCGTCAGTCGCATCCCAAATCTTGATTTTCATATCACTGGATGTTGATGCGAGTTTCCTTCCGTCTGGTGACCAATTCATATAATCAGGCGGTTGAGTATGTCCGTCAATAATTGAATAGTCGTGGCTAGTTGCCGGATCCCAGATTTTGACCGTACCATCACTGGACGCTGATGCAAGTCGTGCTCCATCTGCAGACAAGGCGATTGAACAAATATCCTCGCAAAGCCCCTTTATTTTGGAAACAGTGTTACCTTTGGCCATATCCCACACAATGATCTCCTCGAAAGAAGCTAATACGAGTCTTCTTCCAGCTTTGGACCAGTGAACTGAAAACGGATAGTCCTTCTTGGGCCCATTGACTCGGAATAATAATTTGAGTTGATTCGCAGCCAAGTCCCAAGCTTCAAAGGTGCCATATCTAAGTGTTATTCCAAGCGTGCTCCCCTCTGGTAACCAAAAAATCGAAGTTACTGCCGTATTAAAATCCCCAAGACTGAAAATACATTGCCTGGTTGCTGAGTCCCAGACCTTGATACTCCCAGAGTACGATGCTGATGCTAGTCGTTCGCTTTCTGTCGGGGACCAGGAAATCCAGAGAATCTCTTCATCCTCATTGTGTCCTTTCAGAGTAGAAACGCATTGACATGAAACCATATCCCAAACCTTTATCGACATATCTGCGGATGCTAACGCAATCCTTTCACCATTTTTTGACCAGCTAGTTGAGCGAAGAGAACCACTGAGTCCTTCGAGAGTGAAGAAGCACTTGCCTCGAGCCGAATCCCAAATCTTGGCTGTCTTATCGCTGGATAATGAGGCGAGTCGCCCGCTCTGATCTGGTGACCAAACTACCTCCATGACAGATTCGGTATGCCCACTCAAAGTATAAAGACATTGACCAGTATTCGAATTCCAGATCTTGATCGTATAATCATCGGACCATGATGCGAGTTGAACGCTCTGATCTGGCGACCAAGCGACTCCGCAAACAGTCTTGGTATGCCCCGTCAAGGTATGAAGACATTGGCCCGTATCCGAATCCCAGATTTTAATCAAAGCATCATCCCAGGACCAGGACCAGGATGCGAGTCGCCCGCTGTCATCCTGTGGCCAGGCAACTGAGGCAAAATATGATTTGTGCCCTTCGAGATTGTGGATGCATGGGGTCCATTCTTCCTCCGTCAAGGGTAGGTTCAAAACCAAATCCCGCACCTCTCTCTGGTAGCAGATCCGCGTTAAACTTTTCATGGGGCTGAATATAATACAAGAGCTGTATACTTGTAAAGGACTGTTCTCGATTGCTACCCGATGATAGCGAGCAAATCTTGAGGCGTCTTGAACTCGGTTCAATATGGCTGGTGATGCTCCTCTGCTCTGTAAATCGACTTGGGCATTAGAATGTACATGTGTGGAGACGGTTTACCGGGGGTATCTATTACCTGTAGCAACCTCTCAAGCTTTAACATACCCGCTATACCAGAAGATATGGTCCCCATAATTCCAAGAGCTTCCAGCCAGTTGAGCAAACTCTCTTGTAGAAAACGGTCCAGGATGCCTCCTTCATCGAGGCTTGTATCATCGGAATTTCCGGGTACGCCATCCTGAAAGTGGTCAACCCAATAAATGCATGCATACCGCACAGCCACCAGTGGACTCGGATCAGGCTCAAGGTCTCTCAGTTCCTCGACTGACAATCCAGGAGAGCCGACACTGTAGATATTGCGCTTGAGATTGTGAAATATAAGATTTAGAGAGCGAGTGAATGTGGCGTGATGCTCAACTTCTAATCCTTGGGGGGACACATCCTTGGATAATCTCAAGAAATCCTGTGCAGACTGGTGAACGAAGCGAACAACATCATCGCGAATCGTCAGGAATGATCCACAGCGTGCAATGATCTCTGATACATCTTCAGGATCATACCCATTGTCTTCCTCTTCAAGTCCTAGGAATCCTTTGAGCTCATGCAGCGTGGGTGGTCTGTACATCGTCGAGATGATAGCCAAAACTCGCAAACAAATCTCTGCATCCACCTCATTTGAATCTCGAATATAGTCAATCATCCGATCATACAAATCGTTCAGCCCAGGAGGGAATGCTTCGAGTCTCTCGAGTGTATTCAGTCGAGATATCTTGGAGAGTTCTTCGCAAACCAAAGCCACCCAAAGAAAGGTTCCTTGCGAGTTTTGCGATAGATAGTCATTGACAGTCTCGTGGATATTTTGATTGTACCTCTTCATTTTTGCCAGTTTCTCAACTTTGTGCCGAATGAAAACTTCCACAGCTTCAGAGACGGATGCCTCATTTAACTCCAACGATATGGGCGATGTTTGAGTCGTCGTCTCCAACTGCTCTTCAATTTCAAGCCAGTTTCGACTAGAAATGATCCATTTTACTTGTTTCGGTGAAGAGGACTCTCGGGTGATTAAGCCAAGAAGTAGATTGAGATCCGTCGTGCATTCGTCAAGCGCATCGACTATGAAGTAAGTAGTTTGCAAAGTCGGGTCCTTGAGAATTTGAGTAAAAATGTCCGAGACAGCATAGAAAGCATTTTTATCTTCGAATAGCGCCTTTCCGGTCTTATCGTATCGACTCCGCACATGTGAAATAAGAGAGGGCTGCTTCTCAACAAGTAGATAGATCAAGCCTCGAAGAACAGCCGTGGCACTGTTGATTCGCACATCGGAGGCCTGACAGAAGAAGAAAGAGATATTTGAAACATCGCCAACTGAAGATGTCAGTTCTTCAATGATCCCGCATAGAAGCATTGTTTTCCCTTTCCCTGGATCACCCCTGATCCATAGGAGCCGGTTGTCTTGGCTGTTTTGCCATTGCTTAAAACCTTCATCGCTGAGAATCCAGCGGAACGAGTCTTTCAAAAGCCCGCCCTTGGCTCGCTCGATGCGATTTCTGTCATCTCGCGGATCCGTCGTCCGCAGGTCTCTTAGACATGCTTCATCTGCTGGTTGCTCTGTTTACCCCATCCATTAGCTGTACATTCTTATACACCTGGCGCCGCATTTCACACTCACGGAGCTGTATAGTGAGATTGCCTGAGTTTCCACCTAATTGGACTCCAGTATTTTGGTTTCCAAATGACACGGCCAATGTCATGGTGACCGTTTGCCAGGTGCCTACTGGCAGGTGGGTTGTGAATCGTAATTCTTCTCTAAGCGCCCAATTTAATCCACTAGTATACCCCGCCATCAGCTGACTGGAATGGCCCCCAATAAAGTGCCTATACTACCAATAACCAGATCCAAGTCAATGTGAAAGTGTGCATTCATTACAGATATGTTCGTGACCATAAAATGCGCGAAAAAAAAAAGAAAAAAGAACCATCATCCCCAGACTCCCATGCAAACAGAAGAGAGATACAACAAAAAAATGATCTCAGTAAAGTGTTATCCCCCAATGCACCAACCAAACAAACACCATGTGCAATGTGATGCCCCCCAAATAAATAGTACAGATAACGAAATTGAAAAAGATAATTCCGAGTCCCCCAAAACTCCCAGTCCAGTACAGTGGTAAACGTAACTTGCATTCTCTCGTAGACCCCATTCTGTCGACGTCCATCCCATACCCACGCAGTAGTTATAGGTGGGTAAGCACGAGTACGACACAACACGACACTCACTGAGCCTATTCTCACATAGTCATGCGAAGTTCCCGAGTTCGGTGACGACTAGCCCTCATACTACGACGAGAACCAGACCCCGAACCAGGCGGGTCATTATTTTCCGTCTCAGTGCGATCCGAGAGCTCGGGTGTAGGCGTGATGCCGAAACTAAGACCACGACGCTGGTCTTTTCGGGCTGTACTCGCCTCCTCGTTCGAGAGGAAGCGGTGGATGGTGCGGTGGTCCATGACACGCTCTTCGCCATCGGGTCCTTTGTCTGTCTGTGGCCACTGGTATCCGTAAAGTTTGGAGTGGCGCTCACAGCGAGGACATTCGCGACGGGTTTGGTAGGAGTTACATTGGACGAACCACGAATCGCATGTTTGGCATTCGACCCAGCGGTCGTATTTTTGTCCTAGCAGTTTTGGTGTTCGGGTGTAGTCGCCGGGCGTTCGGACTAGGGGGGGGCTTCGGTCTCAACCGAGGCAATTACTTTCCACTTCTTGCGTTCGTAACGCTTCCTTTTTGGGGCGGTTTCGGAGGCATCGTCTATTTTTATGTTAGCAAAGTTCCGTAATTCTGGCATCACTTGGTTGCTGTGCGGAAAAAGGGGCAGAGCCATTGGGCGAGGTTTACTAACCTGTGAGATGATCGGGCTCGTTGATCTCTGGGATAAGTTCGACCTCGGTCTTTATAGTCTCAAGGAGGACTGGTCCCTCGACCTTGGTGAGATCGTCCACTGAGGTGGGCTGGCTGGAGGTCGATGACCGATGGGATTCGCCAGTGACAGAGCTAGATGATTCACGCCCTGGTAGTGCAGGAGGCTGTGTGCTGGTAGTCTCACTGGGGTGTATGGGAGCGAGAGCTGCCTTGACAGCGCCCGCGAGGTCAGGGTTCTTCAAATCCGACAACTCGGGGCCCTCCATGGATGAGAGCAAAGCATCTGTCGACGGGGCTTCGGGGGTGGATTCCACCACATCGGAGACAACCACTTCTTGTCGAAGACCCGAAACCGGTCGACCGACCGCAATGGCAGAAGGTATTTGATGGATATCGATTTCAGGGCCAGGGGTGAGCGGGGTGTCGGTTTCTGGGGTCGCAGTAGAGTCCACTGGTAGTTCGGAGAGCGAGATCTCCTCTCGCAGTTTAGAAGTCTGGCGCGAGAATTTGGCGCGTTTGCGCGGGGTTGAACAGATGGAAGGCAGATCTTCTGAATCCACATCAGAGTCTCGCCTGCGCTTCTTTCTTGGGGAGTGATTTTCTTCGGGGCCCGCTTCGTCGACAGACACGGGGGTCGACTCCTTGCTGGTCGCATCGGAGTCGGCATGATGCGCCCAGCCGTTGCGGACCATGCGCTCACAGGTTAGGCAAAGGCATTCACAGTTATCAATACCAAAGTAGTCTTCGCCGTAGGAGACGGTGATCTCTTCGCCCTCGTGGATCTCGCGTGTGGTCATAATAGCCATGCCCTCGGTGCCTCGAGTCACGAGACGGCCATTGGCGTCGCAGTCGTGGTTGGCAAAGCGGGCCGGGCCCAGGAAGAAAGAAGCGGTTTTGCGACGGCTGGACATGACGACGCTGAAATCCTTCCGGGTCAGACCCAAATCGGTCTCTTCCTCCTTTGTCATGGAGACGAGGGTACCACTGAGGTACCTAATCTCCTGGCCGGCCTTGATGAACTTGCGGGCGCACAGGGCAGCCTCCGCCTGAGTGATGAGATAGCGGTTGGTGGTGGTGACTTCGAACGGGGAGTCCGGGTGGTACATCTGGATATATTTGCGCAAATGACGGCGAAACCACTCCTTCTCGCGAGGGCTAGGAAGATTGGCTGAGTATTTCCTCAATCCTGGCAACTCCAACAGTTTGCGCTCGGCCCCGGCGATGTCCTTGGCGACAACGACATCGTGAAGGAGAATGCCACCCACTTCGTCGTCGTGAATGCCGCGAGCGGAGGTGTACTTGTTGCGGTTCTTGCGAATATTGGTCCAAAAGTAAGCCTGGCAGAATTGAAGATTAGTCTGAGTGTTCTGGGGGGGGGTTCAATCGCGGGCCAGGGGCGTACATGATCGACCAGCGCATCCGTCGCGACGTCGTCGTAACTGGCGAGTTTCGCCAGGGTCAGGCGTTCACGGGCCTCCGGGACGGACGGACTGGATCGCGCCCTCTTGGGCGGCATTGTGGGTGTTACAGAAGGCGAGACGACCAAAGATAGGAGAGAAATGCGGACATGAACCGGAGGGTGGGTTTGCGCGGGATGCGGAGTTGGGAAGTTCACGCCGGAGTCGGTGGGAAGGGAAAGATTCACTAGAAAAGGAGGGTGGTGAATGAAAGGAAAGATGAAAGGCAAGCAAATCAGGCCAACATAGTGAATGGGTGAAGGGAAGACCAAAACCCCCAATTGCTCACGAGAGGAGGAGGAGAGGAGAGGAAGAGGAAGAAGCGGAAGGGGAGGTTGACTCGCGTTGCCGGAGGAGAACAGCGCCGCCCTCCACTCTTCTCCCTTCTCTCTTTTCCCTACAATCACACTCAGTTCCCACTCCCACTTCCATTTCCACTTACTCTTTAACTCACAGGCTAAATATACATCATCCATCATCTTCTGCAAGGCCACCTTGGCCCCTTTGACCCCCAAAGTTCTGTGTTCTCTCACAGCCTCTCACCTCAGCCGCAGCCGCAGCCCATGGGGGCGAGAATAGCACAAGCAATGCCATTAGACATGGTATATTTCTGTTTGAATGGCTCTACAAACCTGGATCTACGGATTCGCTTCACCCTTTCTTGTAACTGACGCGATTCTAACTACTGACCTCTCTGGCTACTATATACCGGATACTATATCCCGGCATATCAGGCAGAGTATAGTATAACAACTTTTCTACGTCCCATACCACAGGCTACACAATCTTCTAAGGTTTGCTTCACCATGACATCGTCTGCCCTGTATGGACGGAAGTGAGCCGATGGATGCAGCCCTGAGTGCCAGCGTGCGACGGCATACTGTGAAGCGTGTCAGTGTGCAAGTGGCATCTTATAGCCACAGGAAAATGGGTCGGAATAGATCTAGCAAATGCAACTGGGTGTATTGAGTATATTCATCGATCACTATATAGTAAAATCACAAAATCCAACAGTAATTAATTTACAAAAAGGAGAACAAAAGACAAAAATCGATGCTGGTGAGTCCAGTGTATACTTCGTCGGATCGGAGAAACCCCTTCCGGGCGGAAGTGGAAATTGAAGATGAACTTCCCCGACGTCGACATTCAAGTTAACATTAGATCAACTCCCCAGCACAACCATGATTCAACTAAAGGTACACTCCCTACCATTCGCCCACAATCAATTCCTCCCAGCCTATCCGCTAACCCTCCCACCCTCACAGACATTACTCAACTGCATCGACAACTCCGGCGCCTCAGTCGTCGAGTGCGTGAACGTCCTGAAAAAGAAGCGGGCCGCGACAATCGGTCAGTCCACCCTCATACCGCTCTCCCATCTCTCGCAAACCCCCTGCAATAAACCACAATTCAATTACTAACCCCTTCACCCCAGGTGACCGCATAGTCGTCGTCGTCCAGAAACAAAGGGCCGCCGGCTCCGAGGGCTCCGGCACCGCCCTAGCCAACAAGGTCCGTCGCGGAGATATTCGACACGCCGTCATCGTGCGCGTCAAGAAAGAGCTGCAGCGCGTTGATGGAACCGTCGTTCGATTCGGTGATAATGCCTGTGTGTTGGTGAACAAGTCTGGTGATCCCATCGGGACAAGAATGACCGGTAAGTTGATTCGCGAGCGAGGCGCCGAAGCGCAGAATCAATGGTGAACTGGGCCAATGCTAATTACTTTTTCTTCTCTAGGAGTCGTTGGTCAGGAATTGCGCGATAAGCAGTGGTCTAAGATCTTGTCGCTTGCACCTGTGAACGTGTAATACCACCACCATCACCGTCAACGCCATCACCACAACAACAACAACAACAACCACAACAACCCTCCACTGTGATATACCTCTTTATTCGGGAAAAGCGTGTGTAGTTTAGAGCAGCATTTGCATTTTTTTTTCAATGTATCATAACTAAGTTCCAATCAAGTTTCAACTTTTTTTTCAACCTCTCTTCGAGTGTAATGATTGAAACCACCTCTATAAACAGAACTGTATGATTTTCCGAGTTTGTATAGCCGCGCTCTCGCAGAACCTAACTCCGTAGAGATGCATAAAAAAAGGGAAATTCCAAGTCGCAAGAGTTGAACAGGAAAAAGAAGACGTAAAAAAGGGTATCCGGATATTTCGCGCCGTGTGTCGTAAAAGGGATATTCACATGAAGACGTTACCGCATGCACAGCATACGTAGTAGAGTTTCTTCACGGGGTCGAGTCGAGTCAGTAAAAGGATCTCAAGAAAACACGGTAGGAAGAAGGGCAAAGGGAACTAGGAACAGGAACATACCATTCCGGTTTCAGCGGAACGCTGTTGAGACTGGAAGAAGACCGCCTCGTTCTCACCGCAGCTCGGGCAGAGCTTGTTCGCTCGGGGAAGCTAGAGCGAGGAAAGAAGAAGACAGTCAGTACATTGTTGAAGTGTTCAGGGTTCTTCAAATCAAGTTCGGGTCGGAGGTGTGTTGAGTGGAGTCCATGATATTCCAACAGACTCAGAGTGTTTCCTCGCAGACAGCGCAGGCGATCGGGACACCGCAGAAAAGGCAAAGACCAGACAAGACAGCAGGGAGACAAACCGTGGGGTCGGAACCGACGTCCGTAGTGACACCAGCGGTGTCGCCAACCTGGCTGTTCAGTTTGTTCTGGTAGACGCAGTAGGATGTCGCGTCCTCGCCGACGTGACAGGTGCGGCAGGTGAATTTAAGAGTGTTGGTTTCGCGGTCCTCCTTGGGGTAGAGCAGGTTGGAGCTGGGGTGGTATTAGCGTATGATCTCGGATTATGCGGACAAAGGCGAGGATGAGGAATGGACAAGGACTTACCACTCGCGGCAGAAACGGAAGTGGATCTGGTCGGAGGGTTTGGTGTCACCACCGGCGGATGGAGATGGACTGGCGGACATAGCGAGTGGAATGGGCGTATGTTACGACAAACGAGAGAGCGCTGAGGAGGAAGAGGAAGACGAAGATGAAGTTGAAGTTGACTTGAAGCTGTGGCGGAAATGTTTGTCCTGTTTGTCCTGTTTGCACCGATTCTCCCCCGCAATTCGGGCCCGCGTTGAGCTGAAGAGGAACGAGTGAAAGTGAACTTGAACTTCATCTTAACCCTACACTTACACTAGTACGAGTAATAGTTATATTCCCTCACCCTCACATAATGGTATCCTTTGTTCCTTTTCCTTTCTTCTCTTCTCTTCCCCCCTTCTTCTTCTTCTTCTTCCTTTTCCTCCCATCAATCATCACTCACTAACTTCCACCCACACAGTCTGAATCAGGTCTTCCCGCCAGCTGGGAGGTTCGCCATTCCAACTCCAAGAACCTGCCCTACTACTTCAACCCCGAGACCAAGGAATCCCGCTGGGAACCTCCATCCGGCACCGATACCGAGAAGCTCAAGAACTATATGGCAGTCAACCACACCCCCACAGCTCGCCCCGATGCTGCTGGTCAGGCGGAAGGCAAGATCCGCTGTAGCCACCTGCTGGTCAAGCACAGCGGCAGTCGTCGCCCCAGCAGCTGGCGCGAAGCGGAGATTACCCGATCAAAGGAGGAAGCCATTGAGATTCTGAAGGGTTATGAGCAGAGAATTCAGGAAGGCGAGAGTCTGGGAGATATTGCTGTCTCAGAGTCGGATTGCAGCAGCGCTCGTAAGAAGGGCGATCTGTACGTTTTGGACCCCCAATCGCATGTGGAATGGATGCAGCAGATGTGGAAGCTTGTCAGATAATATGGACGGCTGCTAACGAGACTTTTAGCGGCTTCTTCGGTCACGGTGAGATGCAGAAGGAGTTTGAGGATGCTGCGTTTGCTTTAGAGCCCGGCCAGGTTAGCAGTGTTGTTGAGACAGCCTCGGGTGTTCACCTTATTCAACGGTATGTATGCAGTCGAGAATCCTGTCGACAATTGACCTGCGCCTGATCCTCATGTACTAACTTGAACCGATACAACAGGGTCCAGTGATCTACACCGCGATCTACTAAGGGTATAAGGGACTTGGTCTTTTCCAATTTTTTGTTCTTTTGTCGCCAATTCTTCCACCTTGGTTTTTTTACCGACCGATTGGTCTTTTCGATGGGAATATGGAACAATGCAACCAAAAGCTGGTACACTTTTCAATGGGATTTTGAAGGAAGTTGCCGTGGCAGCCCATTTGATATCGTTTTAGAGCAAATGAAGGTGAGAAAACAAAAGACAAATAGCCTCGTTTAGTGGTCTGTCTCGAAATGAGATCAACCGCATTGTCAATGAAACATGATGATTCCAAGCAAACGGACCAAAACTAAAGCTGTCAAAATATTTGTAGGTGTAAGCCAGTGTAAACTTGGAAAGAGGAACCTTCCATGTCGCTGCCTACCATTCACTTCACATCACCATCTTCCTCTCTTCTCTCCCTCTACCCTTCTACCTTCTACCTTCTACCTTCTACCTTCTACCTTCTACCTTCTACCTTCTACCTTCTACCTTCTACCTTCTACCCTCTACCTCTATCCCACTCTCCTCCATCATTATCTTCTCTTTCTTCTCCTTTCTCTTCAGATCTACCCCAACCATCTACAATTCACACACTCCCAACCACCAAAATGGAGGACGAAATAAGAAACCGTCACGAAATGAAACTCCTCGCCCAAGAAGGCAAACCCTCCATCACAAACTACACCTACAACCCCACCAACTTCACCCTCCCAGCCTACCTCCAAGTCCCAATGGAATTGAACCTCGCCCAATCCAACCTCCACCAAGCCGCCTACAACGCAATCCGAGGAATGAAAGAAATCATGCACTTCCGCGACTACCGCTTCAGCTTCCTCTGCCCCCAAACCCCCAAATCAGACTGGACAATCCACTGCATGTCAATGCAACGACTCAGAGAGTGGCAGAAATATACCTACCCACCACCACCAACCAATCCAGGACTAGTACGTAACGACTTCACTCTTGCCCCACGGCCCAGATTGCCCAAGGAGGCAATTTGCATCCGTCTTGACTCGAAGTATTATGGCCGTTTTGTGTCGTCGTATGTCAACTTTTTGGATGACTTTTTTCATGGAGCTTGGACTGAGTACATGAAGTGGAAGCATGAGGTTGAGAGCCTTGCTGCTCATGTGCTTAGCGAGTTTGTTTATCATGAGTGGCGGTATTGGTGGGATACGGAGTTTTGCATTAATATGCGTAAGTGGGAAGGTTGTTGTGCCTTGTTGCCCATGCCCCTGTGGGAGGATGTTATCGATGAACTTTATCTCATGATTGTCGATCGGGTCGAGGAGCCTGATCAGATTGCCTCGTCCCTCTGGCGTATTGGCGGCCGTTACGGCCAAGAAAGTCTCGTCAAGATCGAGTCTCGGTCTGGTGCGTCTCTCTTTATGGGGCTGGATGTGGTCAATGACGTGGATACTGAGGTCAATGTTTACCTTGCCCCGGATGCTAGCCATCCTACCCGAGGAGTGGATGAGGGGGATGAGGAGATTCATGTTTGTCTGGATGTCCGAACTATCGACTTTGCTCTCCGGGTCTAGGTTGAATTGGGTGGGCAGTGGGGTGGAAGGGAAGTATGCTGAAGGGGAGGGGTATGGGATTTAGGGGAAAGGGAAATCTACGGATAGAAAAGTTGTCACATTTTGAATTTAGATCCTGGTAAGCGTTTCCAATACCATACATTCAATCCAATGAAAGCTTCACTTCAAACACTGCAATCTATCTATACTAGTAGTTCTCATTGGATTGGATGTATGGTATTGGAAATGCCTATTGGTATCTACTATGACCTAAAATATCGAGTACTCAACCTTGGGACACCGACTACCCCAGCTCTGCTCCTCGCCACCTGCTCAGTAGATGAGGAAATCTCAGACGTACAGTGCCATACTAGTATCATGATGAAATAGTTCAAAAATCTAACCTTGAAAGACTTTTCTTCAATTTCATGTCTTAGAATCTGCTAATCTCTTTCCTTGGCTTGCTACGATAGATATAATGTCACGTGGGACATGAACCCTAGGTTAAATCATCCAACCCAAGAAATACTACTTCACCAGTGTAAATTATTGTCAGCTGGATCAAGTTGATCATGGGCATAAAATTGAAGAATTGTCGATTCTTTGTCCCATTGTCTTTTGTCAATTCCATTATCGCCGGGGAACAATGTCCTAAGTCAGCCCGTCGTCAAAGAAAGTCCCGGTCATGGGAAGCCACTAGTACTATATAGATAAGCCTAGCAAACACTTGAAGTACCTGTAATTCAAGTTGTTAATAGTTGATTCCTAAAAGCTAACATCATCACTAGTATACTATCAAGGCCCAATCCCAATCCAAAATGTGCCTCATCTGGACCCGAACATACACCCTCTGCGGCTGCACGCGCGAGATAACAACCACCCACTGCCCACCAGAAGCCAAATCCAAATGCCCGGGCCAGAAACTCATCTTCTTAAAGAACGGCTCGATAACATGCAAAGGATGCTGGAGAAAGGGAGATAATCGAATGCTAATCTCGAGTTCGGATGGAGATGACGAGCACGAGCACGAGCATGAGTACTATTCAGCCGATGACCCTGAGACTCCGCGTCCAGTAGATAGCGATGGATCTGAGTCCAATGAAATTTGGCACGAGGCAGTAGATAGTAGAAGTACTGACATACTAACGTCAACAGATGAGTCCGATTCCGAGTCCGACAACGAAAACGACCTCTTCATGGACGCATTTGAATACATCGCCGATGACGAATGTTCGTCTCCGGGTCCAGACTCGACCAGCGACGCCGTTCCTTGATTTGAAACACCCCGAGTGGCTGGATATTGTGGATGGTGTCGATGCGGGCAAAGTATGTCAGCCTGTCGAAATAGTTTATCCTCATTATCGTGCGCGTACGGGTCCCGGGGAGCGAGTTTTAGTTCATGGTAAGTTCGAGTCTTTGTTATTCTAGATTAATTGTGACAAGGCAAATCACTAACTGTGCTGCTTTTTAGTGCCTACGGGTGAATGTAGTGTGTTTGGGTTCGTGAATAATAACGACATAGACTCGGATATAAGTCCACGCGAAACTTCTGCAACTTTGAATGAAGATAGCGAAGGAAGTCGGATTTTTTCGGAATAAAGTCGGGAGAAAATGGGACCAGGGAAGCCTCTCGAATTGATAAAATACTACTAGTAGGGTACGCCTTGATTTCCAGAAAGTAGGAACGTGTCAATAATCTATCTCATGTATGCCATCATGCTATCCGACTAGTAAAATCATAAATGCAGCTGTACTGTTTCAAAGGAAAGAATTGATAACAATAACAGTGATGTCGAAACACCCAGTTTTACATGCTCGTGTTAAGGCGTTCCAAACGGGACGTAATGGCATCAATGACGGCCGACCTATTATTTGGATTAGCAAAAGTATTTATCAATGAGATTTCGGAAAACTTACTCTCGCTCAACCATCCTCATCGCATCTGCAATCTTAGCCCGCTGCAAACGTTGCGGGACTCTGGGCTGAGACCCGCCAGGGGAAGACGGGCTGCCAGGCTCGGTGGGTGAGGGAGCCTTGGCTACGATGGACTTGGTCTCGCTGATGAGACTGGTAGCCAATTGTTTGACCTAGACGTTGTGTCAGTAAATAGGCCCAGATACAGGGGGGAAAGCGGGGCCATCTCTTACCATCTCCAAGCGTTGCGCCAGTGCCTGATCTTGTTCATCACCCTTCGGCTCCTCCTGTTCGCTGAAAGACTCCGACAAAACATTGACCTCATTAACCCAAGCCTTCTCCCTCTCGCTCAGAGGACGACCACCGGAATTGAGAAGCTTCTTCCGCAGCGCATCATATCGCTGCGCAAGTTCCGCTTGCCGATCCTTCGCCGCATCCAATCTCTTATCGAGGGCTTCTCCATTTCGAGCGCCCTCCTTGCGATTCCCATCTTCGCCAATCTCACTGGTCGTGCCCTTGATACGCTCCGCAACTTCGGAGAGCTGCTTCAGTTGGTCCTTCATTTCGCCTTGCAGGCGCTCACAACGACGGAAGAGGTCGGAGGCCGCTCGCTCGAGCGCATTGGTGTGAGCTGAGAGTACGCGATGGGCAGAAGTCACGAGGTCCAGCGTAGCGGGAGACAGGCGTACCTGATCCTTGAGCGTGTTTCGCTGGCGGTGCGGGACGTGCTTTTCGACGAAGGAATCCAATGGAGACTGTGCATAGAGGACGGCGGGAACTTGGTACGGCGCACGCCGGGGAAGTAGGGCAGGGGATCCGGGTATAGGGGGAATTTTGCTGGAGACCAAAGTCTATAGACGCAGAGAGGGCGTCTGCCGGGACGTCCATCGCAGCTGCGTACGGGTTGGAGGGGTTGTAAGTGAGAAGAAGATAGCCAAGGTCATAGTCGTAGAAGACCACGGATGTAGCGAGGTGCTCGTTCTTGACGATCAAATCGGCGTCCGAGACTTGGAGAATTTGCTCTCTCTTAGCCACATCTGAGTCAAATAGAACCTGCATTCGGAAGCTTGATCCAGAGATGTCCTCTGACTGTAATTCAGCCTCTAGTCTTTGGACAAATGAGGACATGGAGAAGAAGGCCACTGTGGTCGTATTTGTGACGAAGAAGGAGTAGCGGGAGTGAACGTCCCGGGTAAAAGTAGGCCAGGTAGCCGCTGCAGCGTCGCTATCCTTAATAGTATCGAGCGATTCGAGCAGCACCAGATCGGCAGGCTCTGAGAGAGGAGTGCGGAAGGCATTCCTGCGGGCCTTGGGCAACCACTGACCCTCCACGCCATCCAATTCTAGACAAATATGAACACGACCATTTCCGCTAGTCAGACAGATGACAGTGCCCGAAAGCTGATCACGCTCGCTTGATTCCACTGCCAGTTCCTCGTCTTCGCCCATCATTAGGTCTTCGGCGTTGAGTCTGGCAGCAATGACCATAATATCGCAGAGATCCAAGTCATCTAATTCATCTCCCGTCTCGAAACGGAAGGGACCTTGCAAACGTGGAATAGCACTTGGGTTACCGGGTCGAGTGAAGACATCCGCTCCCTGGATTGTATCCGATTCGGAGGGGGGATCTAACGGCTCCTGGTCATCAATCTCCCGTAACCATTCATACTGCTGTCGGCAAGCAGTAAGCTCCTCTTCCAAATCCTCCGGTGCCTCTTCGAGGGATGCCAGTTTGGGAATTATAGCGGAAGATAGCGATGGGATCGTTGCGGACGGGGCCTGCCACTTCGAAGGCAGTAGAGGGCACAACGCATAGAGGTCACCGGGCTTCATTGCTACCCAGAGAGTCATCGGAGCCCAAGCATCCTCCCTCTCACTTCCATTGCCGGCAAAGCAAGACGAGGCGACTTCCATATCATATATGTCGGCGGAGAAACCCTTGTTCTTTCCGAAGCCAGTAGGCGCAAAGTCCTGGTCCGAAGAGCTCCCATCGACCAATTTTTGCAAATCAATCGCGAGAGTTGGCTGATCGAATGACCAGTGGTTGTTTCTGTCCAACTCCCACACCCGTACGGCGGCATCGGCGGTAACTGTCACAATACAACCACCGAGGTTGGTGTGCAGGCCCAGCGGGTGCCACAACGCGGAGACGACAGGTGCTTCGGGGATAACATGGGTGGTAGGACCAAGTTGGTAGGTCTTTAAACGGATAGGCGAAGTATCTTTAGACGAGAGATGAGAAGAGTCGGGCAGCACCGCGATGTGAACTGTATGCTCGGTCACGATGGCGAGAAAAGGCGCCATTCGGCGATGGGAGGATTTGATGGATAAGACCGTAGACGGGAACCGCCAGAACCTGCACCTCGTCAGCTATATCTGAATATTATTTTTGAGACGCTCCCTCGCACAACACTTACCCTATAAGATGGGATCTCGCCGTCCTTTGCCGGATCCTTCGTCTGTCCAGTCGAGGTTTTCTTCTGTCTCGCCTGCTGCTGCCATTGATCCTTCACCCGGGCCAAATTCGACCACCGAATCTCATTTTCGATCACGGCGAAGACCTCATTCCCTCTCTTTGCAATCGTCCTGGTCGCGCCGCTAGCTGTAGCAGACTTGGGGGTAGGTTGGGTGTCTTGCGCGGGGGTTGCGAGAGAATTGCTGGTAAAGAGGCTCGCACCGGGCGACGGCCGGCATAGCCAAGCCGGCGCGTAACTGTTGACCTTTGGCATAGAGAGATGCGATAGGTGATATCAAAGACAGGAGGAGTAGGGGATGTTGTTATCTTGTTGTTGGGAGAGAGATCAAATCATGGCCCAGAGAAGAGAAGCTGGGAGGTTGTTGGTTGTTGACGGGGGAATTCTTGCGCCGCGCCAAGGAAAACCCAAGGGAGCTCCGAGCTTCAACTTCTCCTCCGCCCTTTCCTTCCTTCACAACGTCACTTCAACAACTACCTCATTATACAACTTCTACCCACACGATGAGTGTCTTGGAAGTTAACACCGTGGACCGACTGGATCGACCCAGTGCGTATTATGCGGGAAAGGTGTGTATTACAGCTCTGATCCCATGGCCTGATGATGATGCGACCGTGCTAACTGGAATGTTGGATACAGAATAAGAGACGCAGAGACGACCGGGAGGAGCGAGAGCCAGAGCCTAACAACAAGTTGCAAGGCGCAACTACTCTCTATGTCGGAAACCTGTATGCGCCTACGATCGAGTGGTGAATGTAGTGTGGAGATTGGAGATGGTTTCAGTTTAACTAACCGAGACCCTTCCTAGGTCCTTCTATACCACCGAAGAACAGATTCATGAGCTTTTTGCCAAGTGAGCATAACTAGCACAACGCCCTTTCTTATCCAACATGAGTCCGGTCATCCTAACCTAATCTCTGTACAGATGCGGCGAGATCAAGCGATTGGTGATGGGCCTCGACCGGTTTAACAAAACTCCCTGCGGATTCTGCTTCGTCGAATATTATACTCACCAGGATGCCCTGGATTGCATGAAATATGTTGGTGGCACCAAGCTGGATGAGCGCATCATTCGAGCAGATCTAGACCCTGGCTTCGAAGAAGGACGGCAGTATGGGTATGTGGAGTGGATCTTGGTAGCAGATGCAAAGGCGCCAACTAACTCTCTAACAGACGTGGTAAATCGGGTGGCCAAGTCCGGGACGAATACCGTGAGGAATACGACCCCGGCCGTGGTGGATATGGCCGCGCATATGATGAACAACGTCAACGAGAGGAGGATGAATACGGTGCGGGGAGGTAGGTCTGGTCTTGAACAGATCTTGAACAGGTTGCGACTCAATGGTCCCGGAAAATGGCGTTATTCCCTCGGCATGATATCAATTAGAGAACAAACAGGATTCTTTCTATTTCACCCGATCCCTTCTATGTTTTTATTTACAATTCTTACCCCCATATTTGATATGATGATGCTCTATTGTCCCAGCTTCTTTCTTCGGAGAACCGCGGCCTGCACCTGGCGCAGCCACCACGCATGGATTCTCGCATCTCCGGTCAGCTCGGGGTGGAAGCTGGTTCCAAACACATTGCCTTGCTGCACCGCCACGATGTCACCGAGTTCCTTGTCAGGACTAAGGTCTCGGCCCTGGGTAGCGATCACCGAAGCCGGCCGAGACAAGGTGGCCAGCACCTCGACGTGATCAGCCGTGGCAGCCTCGGCGGCCGGCCCCTTAGCTTGACGCGAAGGGGCAACGACCGTCTCTTCCAAACTGATCTCCTCGGTTTGGATGCCCTTGTGATGGGGCAGAATCCGCTCAACAATAGGCGCACGAATGAAGACCGTTGGGAAGGGTGCTGCACCGGCACCCAGAAATGGTAGCTCCAGTGGAGCCTGGAAGCTTTCTGTCTGTCGACCAAAATGGTTGCGATTGACGCGGACATCGAGACCACCAATGAGCTCCTGGCCACCCTTCTTCGTCTTGTTCGCCGATTCAGCCAACAATATCAGCCCAGCGCATGTGCCCCAGACCGGCTTGCGATGCACCCTATAGTTGCCACATTAGCATTTGTCGAACAGCCTTACAGCCTTTTGGTTTCTTTTTTCAAGGAATTGGGCCAGGACTCACTTCACAAAGTCTCTCAATGGCTCCAGCAGATTCGATCTGGCTGCCACTAGGGACATGGTGGTGCTCTCTCCACCAGGCAAGACCAATCCGTCACACTTCGCGAGTTCCTGTGGGGTGCGGACTTCAATAAACTCCCATCCAGCCAGGGACTCCTGCTCGGAGGCCTTTTTCAACAGCTGGACATGCTCAAAGAAGGCACCCTGTAGGGCGAGAACTCCCACTGTAACCGGCATGATTGTAGATGTTATGGAAAAGAACGAACTCAAAGTGGCGTGGGTTCTCCATTTGCCATGACTCTTTTCGAGGCACGTGATGCCTATCTTTCCCGGGGAATTGCTTATCTCCACGTGATTACCGCGCCTTCCCCGATCGGGCCATATGCAGCAAACACCACCACCACCTCGTGGGACGATTCATTGCATCTGACATCTTTGTCTACTGGATGTTCAATTTTTATGTGCTCGAGTGTCTCCAAATTGCACTGCTCGCTCCAGTTGTATAGAAGAATTCTGGGGGAATCCGGCCCTGACAATGTTGACCGGTGCACAACCACTTTATATATCCCCCGCTATCATGGAAACAAACCAGATCGACCATGCCAATATACTTCAAGATGGCCCCAGAACAAGTAATGTCGATCCCGCATTAAAGGGATTTCCAACATTGGCACGCTGGTATATCGATGTTCGAGACTGGGAGGCCAATGGTCTAGATCTCCCACTGATAGAGACCTTACGACCAGCCGAGCAACAAGCCGTGAAGAGATACCACTTCGCCGCAGACCGACGCATGTCATTGTCATCCAACCTGCTGAAGTACTTATACGTCCATCATGCATGCGGTGTACCATGGAAGGACATACTCATCAGCCGGACCGAGATGCCGCAAAACCGACCATACTACGAATCCAAAACTCCCACCCGGGTCGAATTCAACGTCAGCCACCAAGCATCGTTAACCATACTGGCCGGAACCATTGCGCCCTCAAATGAGTTACTACAAGGACAGCCCGATGGTGAAGACGCCCCAGGCCCCTCCCCCCCAACTCGGCATCGACATAACATGCATCAACGAGCGCCGCAACAAAAACCCAACAACACTCCACGACTTCAAAGAATTTGTCACAATATTCAGCGATGTCTTCTCACCCACCGAACTCGCCACAATGACGAACCCAAAACAAGCACTCCTCCAAGCCAGACGTCTAGGCTACGCAAACAACGTCCTCCCCGAATGCACCAATCCCGACGGCACGGAATTTCACAACTTAGACTCAATAATCACCTACGGCCTCCGACTCTTTTACTCATACTGGGCTTTGAAAGAAGCTTATCTAAAAATGACCGGCGAAGCCCTCCTCGCGCCTTGGGTGAAAACACTCGAATTTAAAAATGTTTTTCCTCCTGAACCTATTCAACTTTCGTCCTCCGCAAATTCAAATTCAGGCTGCCAGTGGGGTCCTATTTACCCACACGTCGTGGTAACCCGCGACGGAACCGAACTTCAAAATGTCCGTCTACAGCTTCAAGCTTTCGAAACGGATTTCATCATCGCGACTGCGGCTCTAGGACCACAGATCGGTCCTATTCCTGACTCCGCACGAAACGAGGCCTTGCACCATTTAGGGAGTTTCAGTACCGCTGATGCGAGCGGCAGCCAGAAGGAAGTTGAATTTGAACATATTCCTCTTTCGACTAGGAGGGTTGTTGGTGACGAGGATCCTTGGACTGGTGGGACGGGAGTTATTACAGATCCTTGGCTGCCTATTCAGGAGGTTGATGTTGAGTTGGATATAAGGGCTTGTGCGGAGGGACGTTGTTTGCATGGTTTTTCTGGTGTTGGTGGTGAATGATTTCCCCTGAGTGTTACTGTTCGAGAAGGTTTGGGTCGATGAGATGTTGAACAGGCATGGATCTTTTTTTTTTTTTTTTTTTTTTTGTTCATTGCACTTTGGATGGTGTGCTTGTTAGTTACTTGGACAGCGATGAAATGATTTAGGGTTGATGGTTTGTTTTTTTTGTTAGCGCTTTCGAAGCATTGCGTTATGATAATGGATTAGTAGGTATTACTCTGTACTATGCATTATGGGTTACAATCACCGCCGACTGGGCAATCTTCAGCCTTCCAAGTTTCTAAAATTGAAGTAGTAGCCCGAGGAACTAGCATTTCAGTGCCACGGGGAGCGGAGAAGAGTGCCCAGGTAAGAGTCAACCTTGGAAATTTCAAGTTCTATTACTAGCCCTGGAGTACTAGTACTAGCATGTATCTCATGGAGCACCGTACCCATACTACCTACCTCAATAAATTTCAAGGGCGAGGTCAACAACCCACCTGGGCAAGGCTGGAAGCCCTTTCAACTTGAATTTCAAATTTCTCTTTTCTATTGATCTAGCAACCTTCAAGTCAAAAACACAAACAGAAAAAAAGTCAAAAGTCAAAAGCGAACAAAAGCAGGTCATGTCATCTTTTCACGCTAAGGTTGGTATATACATCTGGAAACGAGTCAAGTGTCTATGAAGTAAGACTAGTAGTAGGAGACCGTTGCGGACTCGGACTCGGACTCGTACCCAGCGAATGGAAACAAAAAGGCCGAAAAAAAGGGTGGGTTTGGGGAGTGGGAAGGTGTGCTTCTATATGACGTCTTAGAATCCGTGCAAGTGGGAACTCGAAGGGATTTGGAGGTAAGGTCTGGTATGGATATGTACCAATTAGGAAAGAGGAGGGGAGAGTGGGAGAGATGTACAATTAGGGCAGATGCAAGAGGATGCTGTCCTGGGTTAGGACGTGGGGATCAGGACGAATAGGGTCGTCAGCTCCAACGCCACCCCAAGGGGAAGGTTCCAAGGGCGAGTCGAGAGAGAGATTGTTTATATTCCACGGCCGGACAAGGGACACGGAGTATGAGACAAAGACTGTTGGAAGGAAGAGAGGTAGAGGTAAAAAACTCCTCAAATCTCAATGGCAGTGGAAACGCCATTGGCACGAGAAGTCTCAACCTTGGAAGTCTCGGCAAATTCAAGAATAGTCTTGAGCATGTCCTCACGGGTCGAAGTAGTGAGACGATCCACGTCGGCGGGGGTGAGGTTCTTAGTCTCAATAGGAGGCAGAACCCTAACCTTAATACTACCCGCATTAAACCGCAACGCGCGCGGGGACATCACATGCGAATAATTCTCCGTAACAACGGGGACAATAGGCACACCCGCCTTAACAGCGAGATGGAAAGCGCCCTTCTTAAACGGTAATAGAGTCGGTTCATCCGAGTACGATCTCGTACCCTCTGGAAAAATAAAAACACTCTGTCGATGAACACGCATCTCATCAACCGCGCCATCAAAAGCTTTCATAGCAGTCTCGCGATTACCGCGATCAATAAAGACAGTGCGGGACAGGGTCATGAACCATCCTAAAAAGGGGATGTTGCGCAGAGACTTCTTTGCCGTCACGCTGCAGTAGGGAGGGAAGATAGCGCCCAGCATTAGGACGTCTAGTTCTGTTTGGTGATTTCCGATGAAGACGGCCGGACGGGTTGTTAGGTGTTCTTGGCCCTCGATGATGTCGAATGTTACGCCGGTCGTTAGGCGCATGACCCATTTGAAACTGCGGGCTGTGGCATATTGCGAGATGCGGCCGTAGCCGATTAGGCGGAGGATTATCGAGGCGAGGACGCCGTATGTTGCGCAGAGGAGGAGGGAGCCGTAGGCTGCTAGACAGCGTGCGGCGAAGGCTGCGCGGGGCACTTTTTGGCCTAATGCGAAGAGGGAGAGCGTCACTACTACGAAGGAGCTTATGCCTTGGAGAATATAGGTGCTGATCGACATGGCTGGCGTGGGAAACTGTTGGGAACGGGGGTTAGTTCATATGTTGGATTTGTTGGAGGTGTTTTGGGAGAAGATGGGCTTTGTTGGTTGCTTTGGCTAGGGGAGGAAGAGAGGAAGAAAGTAAGGAGGCAATTCTCACATGTAATTAGATCTGAGGGCCAGCAGAGGGAATGTCGAGAGAGATGAGGGACATCGTGGGGGGAACTGCGGAGGTGAAGACGGCTTTTTTTGCCCACGCCGACTCACCGCCAGCTGACCGCGGCAGATGACGGCATCACGCAGGATCTACGCTTGTGCTTGTGCTGGTGTTGGTGTTGGTATAGCTACACTTAAAATCTACGAGTACCGCTGTGCTGGTAATAATGCTCTGCTCGGCTGTTCATTGACGAGGTCTCGTCTTACTCTCATAATGTACAAAGAAACACCGTGCCATATGCCAGATGTCTAGACCTGGAAAACCCAAAATGAACTCCCCAGTGATGCTGTGCAAGAAAAGCGCAGAAAAGCAGAAAAAAAAAGTGGGAGAACTAGACCCATGATAACCAGCCCCGAGAACGCCGAGCTTGCAAGACGGGGATCCCAAGCAAAACGCAAAGAGAGAAAAAGCAGACCCGGTACGCATTACGGGTTCTATGCCATGTCTTCGTCCTCCATGTCATCGTCATCCAGCGCCTCCATCGCATCCTTGATGAACTGTGCAGCCTGGGCAAAATAATGTTAGATTAATTCGGATATGATAAATACTTAGTTTCAAGGGAGGAGGAACATACCTTCGGGTCCAAGTTCAAGGCCGTCGTAAAGTGCTTGATAGCATTGGCCTTGTCGTGGAGCATCTTGTACAGCTTACCGAGAAGGTAGTGCACGTTGGCCTCGTCGGGAGCCATATCCTTGAGGATCTTCAGGTCTGTCAGGGCAAACTTGTATTCTTGGAGTTTCATCAGTACCCGCGCCTTACGGAAGCGGGCCAATATGGAGTGTGGGGCGAGAGAGCAGGCGCGCTCGTAGTGGACTAGGGCTTTTTTCGGGTCGTTCATCTTTTCGAGGACTAGGCCGATGCAGCAGATGAGGACTGCGTTGGTCGGGTTGATGGTCGCGGCGTTGCGGAAGTGTTGCTCGGCATATTCCAGTTTGCCCATCTTATCGTAGACGGTTCCCAGTCCGTACCAGGCATTGTAATGCCGGTTGTCGGCGTTAATTCCATGCCGGTAAGCATCTAGTGCCTTGTCGTACTCTTCGTTGGAAACGTATTCGTGGCCCTGGAGGGTGAATGCATAGGCGAATTCGGGATCCAGCATAGTGGCTCGTTTAAAGCATTTTAGCGCTTGGTCATGATCTCGTTGGTGGGAGAAGGTGTTGCCAATGGCACACCAGGCTTGAGGGGACAGACGGTCCGCTTCCAGGAGTTGATGAGATAGGTATGCCAATTCGACATCACTCTTCAAGTGCCACAGTACTGTCGAGTAAATCTCCATATCTTGGAGTCGTGTCGGTGCCAACGCTTGGACGCGTGAGAAATACTTGGCAGCCTCGGTGTACATAGCTTGCTCGAAGTATGCACGACCAAGCTGAGCAAGTACCCAGGGAGTCTCGCGTTGGCCCTGTGAAAGAGTATTGAAGTGCGAGACAGCTTCGGGGCATTTGTAACGACTCAATGAGAAGTATCCTGATGCCAATTTTGTGAAGAGACCAAGAAGCCAGTTCAGGGCCTCAAGTTCTTTCGTTCTCTCCGCTGTCTTTGGCAGGGGTGGAGGTCCAGAGTTAGCAGGCACATATGTTGCACGCGGCTCCTTTCCATCATAGTCGGATGATTCCATCGGCTTTCGGTTGCCACTAACAACACGGCCGACCGTCCCCGTACGTCCTTTTGTTGTTGTTTGGCCTCTGATCTTTTTCACCTCACGGCCATCTCGCCCGGCCAGGGTGGCGCTTGAAAGTTTGCTGGTAGTAGGTTTGATTTGATTGAAGAGCCTGACACTCCGCCGCTGCGGGGCACCAGGTTCGACAGGCTGTTGAGATACAGGGTGAGCCACTTGACCAGATACGGTGCGCTTGCGATCTCCGAAACGTGGTGCAGGTGGTGGTTCTCGATCTCCCGGGCCAAGTGGCGGATCCTCCGGCTCAGTTCGTGGCCTGGGTCTTGGTCGAATTCCAGTCGGACGCATCTTCGGAGGCGGGTGACCAGGGTGATCTGAGCTCATGGTTTGAACTGGGCGATTTTTCCTCGCCGGGGCCAACGGAGGCTCCCATGCGGAATCCGGATCAGTAACACCGTTCGCAATGCGGAACTCTTCTGAGCCCGATCCGCTGCTTTGGTTCCCCGGAGTTTCCATGCCTTCATGAATGACATGGGCCGGTACTGACGCGACAGTGACAGAGCTTCCGTTGAGTTTCTCCCAGAGAGCAGAGCTTCCATAAGTGGTATCGGATTCGGTGCGGGAATTAGGGACCATGAAAGGATCTGAAGTCGCATTTCCGGTCGTTTGGGTGGGGAAGTTACCTCCCGTGGGAGACAGTAGATCTGAAGGGTTATCCTCGGCACCGGGGGCGGAATTAATGATGGCGAGAAGTTCGGGACTGAGCTGGAAGATATTTGGGACTCGGATATTAACGCCTGGTCAAAAGTCAGTATATACGACAATGCCAAATCTCAGAGACGCAAGGCGAACCAGTAGAACATAGCCCGAGAAAAGCATCCCACATGAATGGGTTGAGTTTTAATGAATCCACATAGCAATCAACCGCCTTGTTCAAGTCCTTCTGCGCTTGCCACAGCTTTCCTAGTAGACAGTAAACCGCTGCTGCATCTGGAAGATGTTGCCGTTGTGTTTCGCTGTGTTTGTCTAAATTTGCGGTCAGTGCCATAATCAAAGGAAAGTAAGACTGCCAAGATGCCCCTTCCAAGAGGATGTGTTCTGGCGGAGGACCTACTCCAGTGATTCTTCGAGGCCCAGAGAGCTTTGCAGCGCTCTAGGGCGGTTGCGCCATCCAGATATTTCCCTACATCCAAACAAGCTTGCGCATAGACATAAGCACATCCGGCATGCATGCCTCGCGAGCCCGAGGCCTGACTGAATTCTAGGGCGGCCTTGATTTCTCCATTATGCAGGTGACAGAGGGAAAGTAGGTATTGCGCTTCGAAGGATCGGGGTTCATAGGCGTGGAGGCGTTCCGCGAGGAAGAGGGCGTTTCGGATGAGGTTATTATCGAGGTGATAGTAGATAATGTGTCGCAGCTGACTGGCGACATGGCCCGTCGAGAGGGCCATGCTGAAGGGGTTTGCACGCGGGGGGATGTTAACGCGTGATTCTCACCACGCGGAGAGATGGGGCGGGGAGCAGAGCAGGACAGAGCAGTGCAATGGTGAGTTGGGAAAGGTCGAAGAAGGTCAAAAGAGGTTGTAAGAGGAGGTGTTATTCTTTCTTTGAGTGGTGACCTTGGTCAAATCGAATCAACGTGCCTAAGAGACCGAGACGGAAGCGGCGACATCGCATCCGGTTGTGAATGTTGCGAATGTTAGTGTTGCTGAATGCTAGTCTCAGTGCAGCCAAGTACTCTTTCTGCCGGGCGGTGAGGGTCGTGGTGGGCAACAATCGCAGCTTCCACCTTACAGTAGGTACATACTCTGTACTCTACTTCTCCACTCTGCACTCTGCACTGCACTGCACTCTGCCGACATCCAGGTGTCCTGTGCCGTACGATCTTGTACATATGCAGGTGGTCTGAATTGGTACCTCACACACAACAGTATCGGATATCGGAAATAATCTCATTCCTCCGACCTACTCCAGATCTACCTCTATATCTACCTCCATTCACCTCTCCACACACACCACCGCTACAATGGCTCAAGTAAGCTCCAAGCTCCAAACTCCCACTACACCCAGCCTAGCCACCCACTAACAATCCCCCAGAAAGCCGCGAAAAGCCTCGCAGCCCGCAACACCGCCCTCCTAACCCGCACCCACCTAATAACCATCTCAATCCACACAATCTACCTAGTCCTCCACTTCCTAATCAACCGACCCCGCTCACTAAAACCCTACATCCTCCTCGGTCTACCAACCCTAATAATCGAATACTACCTGGACCGAATCGGACGGCCCCGCTACAGCGAGGATGGAACAAGCCTCAAGACCGCGGGCGAGGATCTCAATGCTACCGGTTTAACCGAGTATATGTGGGACGTGCTTTACTGGACGCAGGGGTGTATTGTGGCTGTTTGTATCTTTAATGATCGTGCTTGGTGGTTGTGGGTTGTCGTTCCGATTTATTCGGTTTATTTGGCTTATACGACTGTTATGGGGGTTAAGAGGGGTTTTGCGGGGATGGGTGGTGGTGGTGGTGCGGAGGGAGAGGGGGGTGAGGTGCCCTTGAGTAAGACTCAGGCGAAGAGGGAGAAGAGGGGAGATCGGATGAAGCGTGGGAGGGCTTAATTGGGTGTAGTTGGGTGCTGCTTTGCGATGAGTTGGGTTGAGTTGAGTTGAGACTGGTGGGATTAGTGATGGGAGAGCATTAGGGTCATATTTTGTACTACTAGTAGTTAGTACCTCTTATGCTCGGGATGTAAAATATAGTATTTTCAGCGATGCAGTGGCTACTGCATTGGCCATTGCTATGGCTACACAAAACTAGAGACAGCATCATGGTTGACGAACGAATTACATTATGTACCCAGCTCCAGCCTACCGCGCTGCGTCAAGTAAAACTGCCGACCCAGCCAAGATAAAAATATAGAAACCCGAACTTTGGAGAAAAAGGAAAAGGGAAAGAAAGAAAGAAAGGCTGAAGCTTGGAAAAGAAACTAAACATCAATGTGCATCTTATAGGTCATGAACATATTGCCGTCGTGACAAACTATATGGGGAATAAAATCGTCAATAGCCCCAGTTTTGGCAGAACCTCCAACGCTGGAGTGGCATATTGGAACAGGAATGGGGATGGAAAAGGAACCAGATGATTGCTAAGACAGGGCGAGGAAGGGCAAGAAACGGAACGAAGAAGAAAAAGCATCAAAGTACCACCCGTGAACAGCCTGTCCAACCATATCGTATGCGTGGGGCGGAAACAAATCAAATCAGAGCTTAGCGGGAATCCGATTGATTCACAGCTCATCTTTGCTAGAGGAAGCCGCAGCCTTAATGCTGCTGGTGGTATCCTCAACATGGGAGGCGACGGTCTCGGCTGCCTCTGACGCGGCGCTGCTGGCGCTGGAAGCAAGACCAGCCACCTGGGACTGGGCATGCTGGACAGCTTCGGCAATGCGGCTAGTCGCACTTTCAACGGCACCCGGTTCTTCGCCGTAGATTGCAGCGCTGGCCTTGGACTGGATGTCCTCAATGGCATCCTTGGCGACGTCAATATAGCCAGACTCCTTTCCATGGACAGCTTCACTAACGTGGCTGGACGCGGCGGAGTAGGCATTGACTGCAGCCTTGACGGCATCGCTCAACTGATCATTGGCCTTTTCCACTGCCTCCTCCACACTAGGGACATTGGTAGCATAGGCCTCGGCGACAGAGGAGGCGGATCCGTAATCTTCACCCGCATAGCTAGACGCAGAGGACACTGCAGCTGCTGGGTAGGGGGTCTCGTATGCAACGCGAAGCTTGCTCAAGACGCTTTCTGTGAAAGAAGGCTGCTTACCTACAAGCAGCTCGGAGATAACGTCCTTGACAGCGTCGAATTGGGGGACGTGGTTGTGCACCGCCTGCTGGAAGTATGGCTCCGGCGTGCCATAGATCTGTTCACTAGCCTTGGACACGAGGCCCTCCCAGTTCTCAGATGCCTGGCTGGAAAGAGACTCCAGAGCCCCAGAAGTTGTACCATACAGGGCGGAGCTGGCAGAAGCGGACGCAAGAGAGAGCGAGGAAGAGGCGGCGGAAATAGCCGCGTTATATCGGGAAGAAGCATCATCAATGATACCCTGGGCCTTGCCGTCATCAGCAGAGGAGATGATAGAGCTTGCAGAAGCGACTACCGCGGCGAGACTGGCAGAAGCCAGGGAAGAAGCCTGTGAATACTGGGATCCAGCTCCATCGATAATATCCTGGAAACTCAAAGGAGCAGGGGTGGGAGCCGGAGTGCCATAGACAGCTTCGGACGCCGTTGAAACGAAAGCAGTGTAGTGATCGTGAGCCAGACCGACAGCTTCATAGTAGCGGCGCTGGGCATCCAGAACAAATGGCTGAACACCGTTGGAGGTGGAGGTAGGCTCTACTTGACGGACCTGGGCGAGCTGTTGGGAAGCGAGACTGAGACCTTCACTGAGTCGCGAGGATGCAACGGATGAGATCTGAGCAAGGGGACCAGATGGCGTGGGAGTAGCTTGAACACCGCCTAGCCTTGACTCGAACTCCTTTGTAGCATATTGCACTGCCCCAGAATAGGCGGACTCAATGGAAGAGAGAATCTGTTCGTGCGCAGGAGCGCTGGATTGAGTCATCTGTCCGATCACCTGGGACTTGGCAATTTCGTAGAGGACCTTTGCCTGGGAAGTCGAATCGGCCAGAGCAGAGCTCGCGTCTTCATAGACACCACTAGCTTTGCTGGCGAAGTTGTGGAAAACATCCTGATCGTCCTGGTCGATGATAGGCTCTTGTCGGGTATTGGCATTCGCGGCAGCAACACCAAAGGCAGGCTTTCCAGACGCTTGCAGATTCTCATAATCATCATTCAAGGTGGACGCATCATCTTCTACTTCAATCTCCTCTTCATCGGATGCCGAAGCAGGCTTGGAGTCAGCGGCCACGTCCTCCTGATCATCTTCGATCGAGGCATCCGACTCGGACTCAGCAGCCGATTCATGTGTCTCAGGAATGTCCTCAACAGCCTCATCACTGTTGGCATTCTCAGTTTCCTCGGTCTCCTCAGGCTCCTCCTCCTGTGGCTTGGGCAGGGGTGGAGGGGACTCGGTTCTGGTCTCAAAGTTGTCGCCGACCTCCCGAGCGGCAATTTTCCAATGACCAACATCCTTTAGCCTGATGAGTTCTTTGGCAGTATCCTCGGCAACATACATGCCGTTCTCTACGATCTCAGAGGCCACGGCCTTCGCGTTGGCGACCGATGGGTGATTCATGCCGACCTTTCGAATCTCATTGCGCCAGTCGTCGATCTGGGCCTTAAGAGCGTGGTATCTGGCCCAATCCTTATAGGTCACATTGTCCGTCCATGCCCACCGCATACCAATCTCTTGGAGACCGAGATCACGAATGTTATCGAGGACATCAAGTGTGGAATCAACTGCAGCGGAAACCCTGCGCAGGAGTTCCTCTTCAAAAGACACCGACCACTCGCGGAGGGTGTGGGCACGATTTCTGACAGAGATCGCAGAGGTACGGATATCACTAACAAGCTGGTCACGGGCGACCTGTTCCTCTTCAGGGGCATCCATCTCCGGTAGTGAAGCCGTAAGGTCATTAATCCGTTGCTGGATGGAGGAGACCTTCTCCGACGCCACAGTCTGGAGAGCCGTGGAGAGACTTTGGCCGTGACTGTTCGCACTGCTAGCAATGAGAGCCGACACGATTTCCTCGATACGTTCTTCCATATCCTCCACTCCCCTGTCGGCAGCGAGCGCAAACTTTTCCTGCCATCTTTCGAGATCGGAGTCGATCCGCTTCCGGGCTTCCCGGGCAACTTCCTCTGGCGAGAGAGTGGGCTGCAGAGTCGGGGTTTCCTTCGTGGTGGTCGTCGTGGCAGTTGAAGTTGTGGTTGTAGACACGCTGTTGGAGGGGCGAAGCGGTACGTGGGAGCTGGGAATGGTCGAAGAGACGGTTTTCTCAGAAGAAGCGCTATCCACATCTTCAACGACCGCCCGGAGGCGTTTACCATCACGATAGCTGGCCAGGCGCTGGCCAATCTTGACGAGCTGAGGCTCAACCTGCTCAGAGTAGAGCCCGGTGAGGTGTGGCCACAGAGAGCTATTTGCGAAGTAGACCACAGATGACCAAGTATACTGGGCACCAGGGACGACGTGGGTGATCAATACATCCTGACCAGCAGTGTAGGTCTTGCCGATGAAGGGCTGGGAACGAGTATAGAAGGGCACAAAATGATTCCAGTAGACGGTGGTCGCAGTACTGCTGGCTTTTTGATAGTAGGGAGATACTACGGCGACACCTTGTTGAACATACGGATCCACCTCTGCTGCATAAAGTTGATACACTTTGTGCTGGGCGGCTTGTAGGCGCGGCGTGACCTGGGCGTTCCATTGCGCGGCGCCATAGACTTGAACCTGCTGCCATGCGGGGTCTCCATATTTTTCGTAACCGGACTTGGCGACCTTGGAAACAGGCGCATAAACCTGCTCGTTGAAAATCTCCACGTAGGGGCGGGCCTGGTCAACATATGGTGCCGCGTATGTGTCGTAATATGGTGTGACATAAGGATCCACGTGCGACCGAGCAATCAGATAAGGCTTGCAGACTTGCGGCGATGAGTCGGTTAAGTCGGCGAGACGCGACGGGCATCGTAGAAAGGGGGTGAGTAGAGTATACCATATACATAAGCTAGAGGCAGACAACAGAGTCAGTGGGGGGACCTTGAGCAGGAGAACGCAGGCAAATCGAGACCAGATAACCTACCGTACAATCAATCCAACTGTCCACCGAATCGGACTTCTCGATTTCACCGAGGAGGGACGAGGTGAGGCTCTCCCTTCCTGCTTGATCACAGTATTTGGCACATGGCCATTCTCTTGGACCACCATCCTGGCTGTTATGGTCTGGGCGAGTCTTGGATCGAGACAACACGTCCCGAGAGAAAAGTTGCGAGGATGGACCGCGGACTTGCGAGCTTGCGAGTCGAGTCACGCCAGTCAAAAGAGTTCGAGAGACTGAAAGAGGCGGAGATGAAGAATTTATTGATTCATCGGGTCGTCAGATCAGCCGTGGTCTCTGGGAGGCGAGTCGGTAGCTGGTGGAAGTGGAAGAGGGAGCTCTTGACGGAACTGGGAATGCTCGCGTCGGCTTGGCGCTAGTCAAGATTCACGGGCCGCGGTCAGATCGCAGAGCTCAATCCGAGGCTGGGTAAGAAGCAGGTTTGACTCCCGACCTCGTCAATTTAAGAGACGAATGGAATCAAGGAGATTGAGTGTAGGCCAAGTGGGAGTTTGCGCCTCATACGCAGCAAGGGGAAAGGAAGCTGGGGTCAAGTATTGGAGTGAATGGCAGATGGAGGTACTCACAGATACAAAGCAGTAGGAGCTGAACAGTGAGGTCATCGCTGTCGCACGGGTCAGTGTATTACAATACTGTTCATTGTTAGGGGCCTACCTGGAGTGTGTAGTATTGTAATACCAATACCTTAAGCTGAGTCATCCGTGGTCCGCGGTGGCAGGCCCGACTCGGTGGCGGTGGCAGCGGCAGCGGCAGCCACAGAAGGAACAAAGCGAACAAGAACAAGAACAACTACAACTACAACTACAACTACACTCCTGAGAGCCGCGGCAACTTATCCCTCGAACCTCCCTCTCACCACCACTACCACCGCCACCACCACCGTGCATGGCCGAGAGGATATGATGCCCATTTGAACAAGGTCGTCTTGACCACTCCATCCCACTCGACTCGATTCGACGCGACTACACACACTATGGATTTCCCGGATCCAGCTCCCCTCGCTTCGGGCGCAACGCCCTTCCCCGACTTGATGAATGATCCGGCTTTAGATGAGAGGGAGAGGGGACTGGAGGACATGGATACCTGTCGGATCTGCCATGGAGAAGGTACTCTGGAGGAGCCGCTATTCTACCCTTGCAAGTGCAGTGGAAGTATTAAGTTCGTCCATCAAAGCTGCCTGGTGGAATGGCTTGCACATTCACAGAAGAAGCACTGTGAGCTTTGCAAAACACCATTTCGCTTTACCAAACTATACGACCCGAACATGCCCCAGAGCCTTCCAACACCGCTTTTCATCAAGCAGGCGGTCATACAGTCTTTCCACACACTCATCACTTGGTTGCGCTTCGTCTTGGTGGCCTTCGTCTGGCTAGGTTGGCTACCGTGGTCGATGCGAGCAATCTGGCGAGCATTGTTCTGGCTAGCAGACGGTCACTGGTCGGCCACTGGAGCAGCCGCCCAACAGCGGGCAGCACACACTGCTCAATCAGCTGGTTCGCAGTTATTGTTCAATGACACTGCGGCAGTTGCGACTGCGCTCAACTCAGCAGCTTCAGCGGCTTCCAGTGCTATCTCGTCCGCCGCAACAGCAGTACCCCCCACCGGGGATCCAGTGATGCTTACGCTCATCAAGAAAGTCATCCCCAGTCTCTTTATTCCCGCATTAACCGGTGGCACCGGCCAAAATGGCTCAAATTCGAACAGTACAGCGGTTTCGCCAAAGGCCCGATATCCGTCTTGGCTTTCCGATGTGAAATTCCTGAACACATTGACACCCTATCCGACAATCAATAACATGATCATCGATACCCTAGAAGGGCAGCTCATCACTCTGTTGGTTGTGATCGCATTTATACTTCTTTTCCTGATCCGAGAATGGGTAGTACAGCAACAGCCAATGGCAAACATTGCAGAGGGGGAACGTGAAGCAGCTTTACGGCTTATCGCCAATGACCGGCCCGATGAGCAACAGCGACAGCAGATACCGCCACTCGACTTCCCTCCCGCTCGCCCGAATGCTGAATTTGAGGGCCTCCAAAACGATCATCCCCAGGAAGCCAATGACGATATTCCACCTCGATTTGGAAATCATTCACCCGCCCCATCTTTAACAGACTCTGATGATGGACGACCCATTCTCGAACGGAATCCTGGACCGCACAACCGATTTGCATTTGAGGACGAGTTTGCCGAAAACGCTCAAGCTCACGATCAGCGGCGCCAGAGGATGGCCTTATACGAAAATGTCCTAGCAAACTGGGATGGCGAGCGAGATGAATTACTGCGAGCCCTTCAAGAACAAGAACATGCAGACCGACCGCGCGGCATCCCAGAGATCCTTCAAGAATTTGCCAGAAATGAAGTACGCGATCAAGAGTATCAAAATGCTCCCAATGCGGAAGATGCTATGTCAGTACACAATAATCTCCCAGCGCCAACTGGCCCTATCGCCGAATTGCCGGCCCAACCTGAAGATCCCCCCACCAATCGGAATCCAACAAGTGAAACCTCTGCAAATGACCAAACCGCGCCGACTATTGGCCAACTGGAAAACCATCAACCACCAACTGGAATTTCCGAGAGGCTCGTGGACTGGTTCTGGGGTGATGTTACCCTTGACGACACTGACGTTGCCGAGGCGGTGCCAGAAGATGACGAGCAAATTGTTCAGGACCCTGCTTTGGAAGATCCATTCGTACCTGTTATCAACAACAGAGCCCAGGATCAAGTGGATGATGGACCTCTAGGCGGAGGCGCCCCGGCGGATGATGCTGGCCTTGATCCCAATGACATGGATGCCATTGAAGGCGATGACTTTGAGGGAATCATGGATCTCATTGGTATGCAAGGACCTATATTCGGACTTTTGCAAAATGGGGTCTTTTGCGCACTTCTCATCGCCTTTACCGTGGCCATTGGAATCTGGCTTCCTTATCTTTGGGGTAAGATTGCCTTGGTATTGCTAGCTAATCCTTTGGAGCTTATCGTCGGTGTTCCTATGACTGCCATCTCGGTTGTCGCGGACATCGCTTTGGATACCCTGATTGGGGTTCTTGGCTACCTGATGTATTTTTTCAGCTTCTTTTTCAAGGTGCTGTTGAGCCCCCTCGGGCCCTGGTTCCGCTTGGCGAATGGATCCCGCGAGGCAAATCGGTCACTAGCGCCTCTCTGACCCTGATTGATGCCAGTACCAATCGTCTCAACAAGGTGATGAAGGCATTCCTTGTCTTCCACGACTCCGATATCCCCATGTTCTCTGTCCTTTCCCACCAGGCGTTGAGGTTACATCAGGCTCGACTTAGTACATTGGTTCACTCCGCGTATGGCCTGGTGAAATTCGTCTTGCACGATTTCCCGCTACGCTTGGTCACGCTAGGCATTCCAGGTGCTTTATCAGTTGACTTCGACTTCACGCAAATAAAGCAAGCCGCAATTCAGCTACAGGGCCAAGTCGGCAACTTCACCAAGTCAATCATTTTCTCCACCCCTGGCGCGAAGTTATTGAATGCCGACGCAGTCAATGCGGCGTCTGCGAAGCTTCCTGTCGATTACGACCTTGCAGTATGGGATACCAAAGACCGTATCATTGCCATATCCATGGGCTACCTACTGGCTAGTATGATGGGATTCCTCTATCTTCGGATCACGGGCCTGCTAGCCGGGACAAATCGAGGCCAGCGAATCGAGGGCATGGTTGCTGAGGTCTTGCTACAGGCCGGAGGCGTGATGAAGGTCATTCTAATCATTGGCATTGAGATGATCGTATTTCCTTTATACTGTGGCACCCTCCTTGATGTCGCCCTGCTCCCTCTATTTTCAAACGCGACAATCTCATCCCGGATCGCATTCACCATCGCCTCTCCGCTTACCTCCCTATTCGTCCACTGGTTCGTTGGCACGTGCTACATGTTTCACTTCGCACTCTTTGTGTCCATGTGCCGAAAGATCCTTCGGAGTGGCGTTCTTTGTAAGTGTGCTCCTGTTGATAGACGTTCTTGGCCAACAGCTCCTAACCTCTCTCTAGATTTCATTCGTGATCCGGATGACCCAACCTTCCATCCTATTCGTGATGTTCTGGAACGCACCATCACCACCCAGCTTCGGAAAATTGGGTTCAGTGCCCTTGTCTACGGCGCCTTGGTTATTGTCTGTCTCGGAGGGGTCGTTTGGGGCCTCCACTTCGCATTCGATGGAATACTTCCAATCCATTGGTCGGCCAGTGCCCCCATGCTGGAGTTTCCCGTTGATCTTCTTTTCTATAATTTTGTCATGCCGCTGGCGATCCAGTTTGTCAAGCCTTCAGATGGGTTGCACGAGCTATACGACTGGTGGTTTCACAAGTGCGCACACTTCCTGCGTCTCAGTAACTTCCTTTTCACTGAGCGTCACCGAGAGGAAGAGGGCCGGCATGTCCTGCGTAGCTGGTGGGGCCTCTTACTCGGAAGCAAGGGTGACTGGGAACACCCCGTCGTCGGCGAGGAGCAACAGGCTGCTGCGGAGAAGGAGAACCGTGATGCCTACTTCCTGCGAGACGGTCGATTTGTGGCGGCTCCTGCTTCGGACCAGGTTCGCATTCCGAAAGGCAACCTCGTTTTCTGGGAAATGTCCGAGGGGAATTGGGGACCTGAGGGCGAGTGGGAATCTGACGATGGTGAACGCCCTCGCTTCCGGGAATCATACACACTGACCTACATCCCGCCATCCTTCCGGACTCGCATTGCAGCCTTTATCCTTCTTATCTGGCTGTTTGCTGCCACCACTGGCGTAGGCATCACCATTATCCCGCTGGTAATTGGTCGTTGGATCATCTCGATCTGCCTTGGAAGCCCCGTCCCGGTGAACGACATCTACGCTTTCTCGAGTGGGTTGTGCGTGGTTGGCGGTCTGGCATACACGGTTCACTACTGCCACAAGGGCATTCAATTCTTGCGAGAGAACGCCGGCACCTATGTCCAGTCTCCTGAGACAATTGATCGAGGCCTGCACCAACCTGTCGCTGCACGCTGCCCGTCTTGCATATATCGCCACCGCCTTGGTGGTCGTGCTCCCGACCCTCTTTGCCCTCCTTACCGAGTTATACATTCTGATTCCCGCCCACACCCTGCTCGGAGAGGGACAGTCACACGTCGTGCACGTAATCCAGGACTGGACGCTGGGAGTCCTTTACGTTCAAATGGCAATCAAACTGACGGTGTGGCACCCTCGATCCTGGGCGGCAGCGGTGATGAACGGAATCTTCCGCAACGGTTGGCTGCGACCTAATGTGCGCTTGGCGACTCGGGCTCTTGTGCTCCCGCTATTGGCATTTACAGTGGCGGCGGTTATCGTCCCGTTGACGCTAGGAGGGATTCTGCGATGGACCCTTTTCTACGCACGGGTTGAGGCGCAGTCGCATGTCTACCGATATGCCTACCCTGCGACTCTGCTGGTGGTACTTGCCGCGTGGACTACCCACCTCGTTCGGCGACGGGTGGCGCTCTGGCGGATCAACATCCGCGACGATGTCTACTTGATTGGGGAGCGGTTGCACAATTTCAGTGAGAAGCGGGCGCGTGATGTGGGAGTATCGCGACGAGTGATCACTGGGTGAGATGAAGTTATGAAAAGCGAAAAGGCAGCATATAAGGAGGACTGCCATGGATTAGTAGTTTGTTAGTATATGGGACCGGGTGAGAGTCCCCCGGGCATCTGTACATTTAGATCGATCATAGATATCCATATCAATCATACCCTATTCATATTCATACGAGTATCCAAGTATCTCTACTCCGTATACTTTATGCGTACACTAGTACTACTAGTACTACGAGTATAGTTTATGCAGCTAAATTTAGTAAAACGCGGCTGCCTGACTCGTCCCCGTCCACGTGACCCACTCTTTCCCCCGCGGTGCTCCTTCCTGATTGGTTAGGCAACAGGATTCCCCCGAATGAGAAGGCACGACTGCCACTTTCACTTTGGGAAGGACCAGGCACCACTTTACTCGCTGTGTCTTTGCCTCTGCCTTTCGCTTTCTACCTTTCGCCCTCCGCTTTGATTCTCTCTGCTTCATGGCCTCTTCACTCCTACACTCCCAGCAATGGACCTCTGAATCCCCTCACTAATATCCCCTCTGAATCCCGATTCCGATCCGATCCACCCCAATCCATTCCAATCGCCTCGATCCCTTATCGAATCGCTATCGCTCCAACATGTCCGTCTTGCGCCACGGAGGAGGCGGGGGCGATTTCCTCCAGCGGCGCCTCACAAAGCTCTATACCGATACCAAAACCTCCTGCGAAAGTATAACTACTGCCTCAAAGGCCGTAGACGACCCCGAGTTGGTCGCTTTACATCAGAGCTTCCAGAAACAGCGGGACCGCTTGCTCTCGTGGGGCTTGGATTGGAGTGACGCCAGCGCCGCCCAGCCAAATGATATCGATGAGTCCCTCACGGCCGCCGGATTCAGTGATGTCGTCGAGAGTGTTATGTCCTCCATTCAGGATCTCCTGAACGAGGCAGAGCGCGTGCAGCATATTGACCCGCCCATCCTCCAGTCAAAGGAACGCAAGGTGGATCTGCCGTCAAAGCCACCCCTCAGCACTCGACCACTCAAGGCACAATGGACTGAAGATGATATCAGTCGATCAAAGACAATTCTCGGCGACCTCACTGCCTGCATCGACACCCTCTATGACCTATCCCGCTCGCGGCGGACAATGGCTTCCAGCATGTCCTCGAACAAGCATAGTACCAGCGCCAGCGTACGACGACCACGACCCAACCCCGTTTCTCCATACGACGCTTCCCACGGCTCATTCTCCGAATCCAAGGAAAAGGTTCAGAGCCCGAAGTCCATGTACGACCATTTAAACTATTCCCCTCAACTCCGCACCGCAACGACTACAACAATCCCTTTGTCCCTTCCAATCCTCTCGTCATCGACCGATCAGACCTACAACTATACGGCACTGCCCACGATAATAGCCCGCCTCCTTATGAACCAATTGCGGCATCGTCGAACTCCCGGGCCGTTGGTCGACTTAAGACCTCCGCGGCCCCATACCTTCTCGGTTCTGTGAAAGACTCGCATGTCTCCGTGTTGGTCGAGTTCATGCCCGTGATGGCCAACTCCCAGATGGACTCGAACAACTCTCGGCTGGAAAAGCTCCAGCACTCGCTCGACCAGTTGCTGCAGAATGCACGAATTGCCCACCTGGGTCTTCTGCGCTTCATTGGTTACGCTCTTGACGAACCTAATGCCCGCTACGCCTTCCTATACCAGATGCCCGTCGACTATTTCCCCTTTTTACGAAACCCTAGCGATCTTTTAAAAGAGCTCAAGCCCGTGCCTCTCCTCGCCATGCTCCCCTCCGCGGATAACTCCGGCGACAAGCGCATGCCCAACCTGGAGACTCGGTTCCGTCTGGCCTACGACCTCTTAATGTCCGCTCTCCACTTGAGAAGCCAGAATGTCGTCCATGGCAACATCAACAGCAGTAATGTCATTTTCTTCCCCGGCCGGACCGATGCAAACAACGATGAAGGTGGCCTCGCCCCCGACATGCAACGTCCTTATTTGACCTCTCCGGTCCGCTTCTCCAATGATGGACCCACCCCAGAGCCGCTAGCCAATGCCATGTATCGTCACCCGGATGACAAGAGATCTCTTGAGGATGATGCCGCATGGGCTTATGATCTCTACTCTCTCGGTCTTGTCTTACTGGAGATTGGCCTATGGGCACCTGTCAAGCAGCTCTGGAAGCTGAAGTATGATCGCTCGTGGTTCAAGCGTCGTGTCGAGGAACTATACGTTAAGAAGCTTGGTCCGAAGTGTGGGAATGCTTATCTTCAGGTGGTCCAGTTGTGTTTGGATGCGCCTAATTTCCACTTGTCGACGCAACCAATGACCGATCTCGGGTTACGCGTTCCCCAGATATACCATTATCCTGTTCTTGATTTGTCCGACCCTGATGGCACCTTCTCTTTCTCAATGAACTTTCAATACACGATCTGCAAGATATTATGGTCATGCTGTCAGATCGACATATTCGGAGCGCCGGCAGCAGAAGAATTAAACGACTGTCTACCTCTGGCCCTCGTTCCAACCCCTGAGCCAGCCCCCGCTCCCATGCAGGCTAACGCCTTCGTGCCTCCTAACTTCGACAAAAAGCTGCCCACCATCCCGGCAGGTGAGTGGGGCGCAATGGCCGAGGAGAAGAGTCCTGACAAGCCGGCCAAGAAGCGTACGGTGCATAGACTTCCTCATCTTGAGATACCCGATGAACATCTTCAAGAGTGGAACTTCCAGATGATGCCGCGGCTTAGTCGACTGCTTCAGAAGATCCTAAAGGAATCTAACGAGTCCTGCGGTGCTACTCTCATGATGACCGGAGAGTCTACCGAAACCGCTCGCACCACTATATGTGTTACCTGTGCCAGCGTCAAGAAAGTTCGACAGGCCTTGAAGAAACATTTCCCTATCGGGCGGGATGACTGGGATCTGATTGTCCTCCGTGGCGACATCGAGCGATCAAAAGTCCCCCGCAATAAAAAGCGCAAGCCCGCTAAAACACGGCCCAACGGTTCAAACCAGACTCCCTTTCGCCAGCGAGAGTTGAACCCTTGCTACCAACAACGACCTCTCTGTGGTGCTTCGATTGGTGCTTTTCAAAATGAAGAGCACTTGCCTCCGGTCTCCTATGGTGGTGCTGTTCTTGTCGATGGGCAGCCCTATGGATTGACAGTTCACCATATGCTCGAAGCGCCTAGTGACGACGAAGGCCTTGGAGATGATGAGCCTGATGCTCCCTCTCGCTCTGCTGGGAACTGGCCTCAGGCATCACCTACCCCTGCCACCCATCAGGATCTTTCATACACCTATGCTGATGACAATCCTTCTTTCGAATTCGATATATCGGATGGGGAGGACGATGACGCTTCCTTATCTTTAGGTGGTGACGAGGAATACTGGTTATCGGATGATGATTCGTCTGATGATGATTCAATTGATGGCGGCTTCGATGATGACGACGATACTGCTTCAATTGGTGATACAGCCGGTATTGAGCCTGGCGAAGAGCCTCGTCTTCTCGTGACACAACCCGCCATCGACGATGTCCATGATGATTTTTTTCCTTCGCCCGAAGATCGCGATGACGAGCATCTCGCTTCCCACTCCTTAGGATATGTGCATGCATCTTCGGGCGTGCGGCGTTGGACGCGAAAAGGCATTAAGCACGAGATTGACTGGGCTCTGATCAAAGTAGATGAGGCCAGGATGGATCCTCGCAACATTATTGTCGAGACCTCGTCGGCGCTTCCCCTCAGACCCGGCATGCCTCAGCCTCCCCCAATCTTTCTCAGTCAAGTAACTCGAATGGAGGAGCTGGGGGGGAATGCCAGTGCATTGCTGCGGCCGGACAAGCGGTCTTCAGAACGGGCAGATATCTAAAGCAATGACGCTGGTAAAACTGCACGGACGACACTCGTTCTCAACGAGCTTTTGCGTCAACGGGAACTTTGGAGGTAAGAGCGGCACCACTGCAGATTCATGATTATGTCTATACGATCCTTAATTAGATACCCTTTTGTCCTGTTTTGTCATGGCCTTGCCTCTATTGTCTCATTCCCCGTTAAGCTGGTAAACCATAACCACGCCGCGCCGGATGAAGGCCTCCTCAAACATTCACCCCATTCAAACAGACAACCCGTACGGGGCTGAGTAAAGAAAGAAGAACCATTAGCTAACATCTTCTTAACCAAACAGCCCCCGGCGACTCCGGCGCATGGGTCTTCGACAGATCAACCGGTCGTGTCTGCGGCCACGTCCTCGCCTGGTCCGCCAAAACAAACACAACCTACATCTCCCCAATGGAAGTAACCCTCGACGACATCGCCCGCACCCTCGGCGCCTCCCTCGTCTCCCTACCCGGTCCACCAGCTCCAAGACCAATGCCCTACGCAGGTCCAACCTCACCACCCTCTCATCCTCATCCTCACCCCCAATACCGATACCAAGCACCGGCACAATTGACCGGTGACTTCAATCGTCTCGCTGTGGCCGGATCCCCCGGTGGTGGTCCTCCTATACCTCCGCCCCATCCTCATCCTTTCGCCCACCCTCATCATCCTCATCATCCGGGCTTTGCTCGTCCTCAACATCAACATCCCCCTCCGCCTCCTCCGCCCCCGCGACCTGGATCCCACGAGGCGCAGGTCTTTCGGGCTGTGTCGCCTATACCCCCGTCTTTGTTGACGGGGCCGAGGAATATTGAGCGCTCGCTTGCGTGATGGGGTTATATGTGATTTTTCCAGTTATTTAAATGATTCTTTCCCTTTTCTTCTTCTTTTTTCTTGGGTTTGGGTTTGAGTTTGAATTTGGCTTATCCGGCTTCGTCTCTAATTGGGGAGGCGGGCCGGAGGCTTATTGATCTTTGATCTTTGACTGGTGATTTTTTCCCTCTTTTGTTTGATTCACGATGCTTTGGTTTTTTGGATTTCGAATACCCACGGTGGCTGGAGGTGTTGTGATTTTTTATACCTCGGACTACTTCGAGTACTATAACTAGTATATTAGTATATATCTCGATCTACTAGTAGTAATACTTCTTAATTCATTCCTTGGATGCTAGTACTATATTTCAACTGGTATGATGTATGTATCCATCATGCCAGTGCTCGTAGTACGTAATTGATTTAGGAGTTGGGCCTGGGCATGAACTTGAAGCACTACCTAGTAGTACTACCTAGGTAGTACTAATAAGACTAGCCCTGGCAGATACCTAGATAATATGATACTATTGGGATACTACCTCACTTGATGCTTGCCGCGTTGCAATCTGCCAAGAATCCCTCGCGTTTCCTGTTTTATTTATCCCACGCTGTTCTGCTGGCGTCGAGTCAGCCTTGGGGGCCAAAAACAACTTTAAGCATAAGCACCCTCACAGCCGCATCCTGAAGAATCCCCCACCCCCCTTTTTTTTCCTAGAGACTCCGAATCTAGAGCCGACGATCTCAGGAGACAAATACATTCTTATATTGCATTTGTTTAACGCAATAACTGAGTGCAGCCAGGCTAGCTATCACAGTGGGATCTTCACCCTGGTCATGCTGACCGCTGCGTCGACCCCCACTATGCAGCAATATCGACGAGCGGGCAGGCCTAAGTCGAAAAAGGGCTGTATTACCTGCAAGTAAGTTAGGACTCCGATGCAGCTCCATACTAGTAACCTCTCTCTAATCCCACTAACCCTTCCCAGAATTCGCCACGTGAAATGCGGAGAAGAAAAGCCCGAATGCAAACAATGCACCAGCACCGGCCGCAAATGCGACGGATACTCCAACGCATCGCAAAAAGAACTACGTGCCAACATCAGCAAATCATCCTACGCACCAGTAGTACCTGTTTCAAGTTCCAGGGTATCAATCATTAACTCAGACAATCGTCTCGTCTTAATCCCCGGTACTCGCCAAGAGCGCCAATATGTCCACTTCTTCTGCGCCGAAGCCACCAGTGCACTGTCGGGATTTTTCCCTTCGGATTTCTGGAACCGATTCCTGCCTCAAATGAGTCATCATAATTTCTACTATGCGTCATGCGGCTGCTGCGGTTGGTGCTGCTTATGAGCAATATACGCTTCGCGCTCCGGGGAGGAAAATATCAATGAAGGATTTGCTTTGCGGCAATATAATAAGGCTATCCAGCACTTCCAAGAGCAGATTCGGAGTCCACGGGGCTCGGACTTTGATGTCATGCTCATGACTTGTGCGTTGTTTTCGCTTTTGGAAATGTTACGCTCGAATCAAAATGGGGCGATGGATCATGTTGAGGGTGGCCTCAAGATCCTCTATTCGAAACTCCGGAACGCAAACTTGAATGCCTCTCCTTCTCAAGCCCCAAAGACAGTCACAGCCGGAGCTGAATTTGAACGAGAACTTCTTCAGTTCTTCTATAGGATGAATCTGCAGATCAGTCTATCAGGCCGTCCACAGCAGATCCTCGAGATTCCTGCAGAAGACCCAACTGCCTGGAACTTCTTCAGTAACGACAACTACACCGACGAAGTTAACAGCAGCGAAGATGATGATAACGAAATAACGACGCCTTTAGTCTTCGAAAACATCTCCCAAGCTCGCGACTGCATAACAAGCATCAAACTACGTGCCCTGACTCTCCTCCACGAAATCGGATTCATATTCGTCGTACCAGCAGTCCTAAAATCACCGGAACACAGGACACGAAAACAGCGCATCATAAAAGACTTCCACAGATGGCACTACGCCTTCGAAGGAATGATGACCAAGCCGCCTAAGACGACAAATATCCTCGACCCTCGCGCTCCTCTCGCCCTCCTTATCGAATATCACGTCTCATACTTCTGGCTATGCAATTGCGACGCGGTTTATGAAACGGACTACGATCGACATATGGCTGATTATTTGAAAATAGTCGAGTGTGCGGAAGAAATTATTGCGCTGAGTAGAACTATCGATAATACACCCGCCAGAAGCCCTAGTCCTTCATTCTCCTCAACTTCAAGCTCAAGCTCAACCGCTACGCCTCCTCCTACTGACACTACTGGTACTGGTACTGGTCCTGGTACTAGTACTAGTAATCTCCCATTCCGCAGACGATTCACAATGGAAGCACCCGTAACCCCATCCCTCTACTGGACCGCCTACAAATGCCGCGACCCACTACTGCGCCGACGAGCTATACAAGCTGTACTGGACTTCCCGAGTTGTCAGGGTGGGTGGGAGAATCGGCGACATGCGGCGAGTGCGAGGAGGATTATGGAGATTGAGGAAGGGCCTGTTTGGCATTTACCGATTGCGGAGAGATTTGTTAAGAATGAGTGGAGGGTTGTTGAGCCTTTGCAGTGTTCGGCTAATGTTAAGGATGGGGAGGGGGGTTGATTTGCTTTTGCTTATGAAGCCTTTTGGGCCTGAGGGGGGAGGTTGTTGAGAGGATGGAGTTTGTTGAGTGGCCGGGTTACGGTGATGGAGGAATTGATGAGGGTACCCAGGCGGGGAATGCGATGCAATGACTTCGGTTCAGGTTCTGTTTTGACCTTGGGCGTATGAGAGTCCAAGTTGTATTTTTGATGTATTTTAAGGGATACATATAGCATAGATGGGCGGGTAGGTCTTGTATAAACGGCGCCTGACTTTGAAGGATTGAATCATTGTGTACCTAATTCCAAGTTGTATTTTTGATGGGATATTAATTTTGCGCTTCACATTATATGGTACAATTCAATTCAATTCCGAGTCCCCAAAAGGCCGTCTATAGGGCCAAAATGATCGATCCAAGCGCGCGCATAGTCCTCCATACCTTTCACTATTTTACACCTTAACCATCCGGAGGCCACCTTTCTTCATCCGCGTCAAAGTGACAAGAACTCCCCCAAAGGTCATCACAGCACCAGCAAATGCAACCAGGCCTTTATACCCAATCGAGGCAGAGTCCGCGATTGCGCCGAGCATGGGCAATCCCGTTAGAGCACTAAGATAGCCGTTAGTATCTATATATCTTTTTGCAATTTTTCGAAGGGAGAGCTGGATTGGGAGTATCACATACGCAATGGCGATGATGAACATAAAGGCGCCTAGCTTCGGGCCCAATTGCTCGACTTTACCATCGCATAATACCACAACGCATGGGGTCATCAGACTGACAAATCCACCACTCGCTAGACCATACAGAACGGCGAATCCGATTATAGCACCAGTGGACGGGTAAAAGACGACAGGTAACCAATACACAAGAATCGAAAGTCCAGACAAGAAGGCAATGAAAACCATGACATTGAGATGACCGATACGGTCGGCGACGAAGCCGGGGAAAATTCTGCCAAAGACCGAGGCAGCACTGTGGATATTATTTGTCAAAAACGTTGTTTCAGGTTTGATACTGGCTGTAGAGGTATTCCAAGGTTCCTTACTTGATAATGGAGATGGTGTATACGGCCATATTTTGTGACATCCCGATAGAAACGCCCATGGTCGGCAGATAGTTGAACGGGGCGAATAGACCCCAGCTAATTCGAAAGCAATTTTGTGAGCAACGATGGAATAAATGACTGACCAAAGGAGGTGTTAGGGACGCAAGACTCACAGCATAAAGAAGCACCCGGCACAGAATATGAGGAATGGCGTATCTTTGAATGCCTCGATACCGGCAGATTTGCGCTTCGCGCGGCCTTCTGGAGGAAATGGTGCGGAAACGCAAAGATTCGCGATAATGAGACAAATTGCCATCAAAAGACCGATGTATCGAAGAGCAGTTGGAAATCCAACCTGTTCAATAAGGCGGGACACCATAATTGGGAATATCACACCCCCTGTTGGTAATGGCAATCAGCATATATTCATAGAATTAGTAGTATAAACCTTGGGTGGTTCCAGTTTGGATCGAGCCACGCACCAACGCTACTTCCACTAGCCACGATACCAGTAGCTAATCCCCGACGCTTCGTGAACCATCGACCAACACAAATCATGGGCGGCAAAAACAGTCCAGATGCTCCCAGTCCGTACACAATTCCCTGCGTCAGCATTATGTGCCAGAACTTTGTGCTCAAGCTCAGCATGAATATTCCCAGCAGAGCTAGGAAAGACGCAGGGAGAAGCACTTTGCGCGGTCCGACGACGTCCACCAGGACCCCGTTAATTAACCCGAGAGAGAACATGAGGAAAATCTGAATCGTGATGATCCACGAGATTGTTGACTGGGCGTAGTTGGAAAGCGTCTCTTCCTCATAGTATAATTGAAAAATACCACATCTAGGACAAAGTCAGATAATTTCCAATTACTTTTTTTTGACAGGGATGACGAACGCATTGAGAAAACCGAATGAACAGAACTGGCAGAAAAATCCTCCAAGTACACAAAGCCATGCTTTGAGACCTTCTTCTGGTACTTTTGCTTGCTCTTCAGGTCCATCCTTAGCTGTTGACATTTCCTTTGACCCTGCACTGCGCTCAGAGTCGGTTTCCATATCTGCAGCTTTTTTTTCCGTGTCAGGGCCTGGGATGATTGAGGTCGACTGAAAATAGCACGGGGCTGAATGAACCAAACGTTAAATTTGACGCCTTCAAATGCAATTTTATAGAATTGGGTACTTGAATGATGCGCGGCCGAGACGGCCGAAGCGGCCGAAGTGCTGCAAGCCGCCGCGTGGGTCCACTAGTTCAACTAGTTCACTAGAATCGGGGCCGATTCTTAGGCCGACATTGACTAATTCGCCGAATCCGAGTGTTTAGACCGAACAGCAGGAAGTTTCCAAGGTTTTTCGATAATTTTTTCTCTATTTCGTACATCAATTCTGATTACTATTAGGAACTAGTAGTTCATGGATATATTGTAACCTAAGTTGGAAGACGGATTCTTTAGAACGGCTCGCAGATGTACACTAATTTCAAGTTGTAAATACTTTGACTACGAACTAAGGGATTTGAATACACAAGCAAACTAGATCTAAAAACCAGATTAAGATTGAAGAAGACCGGAATGATGATATAAAATAAGCGAGGCTAATGGCAGAGCTTGGATGGGGTAGGGACACTAATTTGATAGTTAATGTTACTGGTGTTCCTTCCCGGAAAGCCGGCCCTTGCGGTTCATCAGGAATGTCGCGGTGTCGGAATCCGCATATGGTGAGTTACTCTTAAGCTGAACTAGCTTGCCACCATACAAGCCATCCTGAAAATGCCGAAATGCGCGCCGGCGACGGTCAGTTACCTTCTCCTGGTACTCTCTATATTCACCCGCAGAAATGGCGCCAAACAAATATCTAGGATGCACGCCTATGACTTGAGCATTCTTCTGCCCGAATCCAAATGATGTCACTGTGAATGCTTTCAAAGGCCTGGGAGCGACAATTGTGCGATTAGGAAACACCAAATAGTTGGACGCGTCAAGTCGCTGGTCGATGTTGTCCGCATTGCGGTTGCCGGGAATTTGCCCGCTGGAGAGCACCTGCAGACAGCCGTTGAGGGCAAACGCAGCTATATGTCGTTAGTGGTTCTTCCTTGCATGAATTTAGAATCGAAATATACCTGCAGCCCCTTTTCCATGCCCAGTCAGCCATTTCTGACATACACAAGGTAGAAGATTCCCTTGTGTTCGGCCCAATTGCGCGTTTTGTTGCTGGATGACATTCGTCTCGTTCAAGTCATTCTTGATAGTAGAGGTCCCATGCAGAGACGCAAAGTCGAGATCATCTACTGTTAAGCCCCAGACGGCTAATGCTCCCCGAAGTGGCGATACTCGATCGTCGCTCTCCCAGAAACGGTTTCCGTACGTACGAAGAACCTCTTTTCGGGACCGCTGAGCTTCCATCTCGATCTCGGATCTCATAGAGTCCACGCTGTCTGCGTCATAGCTATTGGCATTCTCATTCAGCCAGGCCAAATCTTCTTCTCTTTTCTCCTCGATTTGCGAATTCCTCAACACAATATTCCGCCGACGATATGCAGTTTTGAGCATTGGGGACGGAAATTTAGAAGGGGCTTCAGCGACCACCGTCAGAAGCCCCTCGCCAGGAGCAGGTACAGAGCGTCCGATTTTATCGCTGGCCGTATGCGATAATGCAACGATACCGTGGATAGGAAGACCCATATCCAAGGCCAATCGCGCTGTTGTCATAACTTGCACACCACTGCCTTCTGCTTCCACAAAGCCCGCACGCGAAGAAGTCATAGGTCGTGACATTTCTCGAGGCTCACGCCCAGCCGCCGTTTCTTGGGTTGCATTGACCGTTGCTTGCATATTTCGAAACTCGGCCGCAGTCTCGAGCTGTAGTGCATCAAATCCTCCAACGAGACACAACTTCGCTCTTCCGACTGTGATAAGATCATATCCTGTGTCAACCGACTCCAAGGCCGTCGCGCATGCACCAACGGGCGTTCGTATCGGACCGGATGCACCCAACAACAGCATATTCACCCATGCGCCCGTGGTGTTGATGAAAGTCTCGGCCAATATGTCTTTTTGGACGGGTTGGTCCATGTAACGCCCCTTCCACATTTTCTGGATGGACTCTGCTGCTCCCATGCCAGCTCCTACGCAGATCCCGACGTCGGAAACGTGGATTTGCTGATACAGCTCATAGAAATCCGTTATGCCGGCCGATAGCAGCGCTTCAACGGTCGAAACGATTGTCCAGAGAGTGACTGGGTCAACCTGACTGATGATTTCGTCTGAGATACCATAGACGCTGGCATTCCAGCCTTTTGGAATTTGACCGCCAACTCCAACATCCAGTTTAGCTCCTTTGGGAATCAAGAGTGTCGCGCCCGCTTTGAGTCGAGCAAATTTCTCGCCATCTCTGTCGAAGATATCTACCTTGTCCCCGTGCTGCCGCTGGAGATCATCTGCTGTCTCGAGTGTGACTTCAAAAGGGGCGAGGTCTTCGGTAACATGCACTTCATGAAGAAGAGATTGCTGCGAGGCGCCTGTCGATTCATCGTGTTGTGACTCCCAGAAGCGCAGCCCGGTGTGGTTAAAGATATACTCCTCATACTTGATCTTCACATCACAGTCGGAAAGAGGATTTCCGGACTGTTTGTCGACCCATCCACAGTACTGGGCACCTTTCAATACTCCGTTGTGGTAGTGAATAAGACCCATTTGCCAGGCCATCTCCACACATCCTTGGATAGACAGTTTCCCGGTTGCTTCAATTTCCCATCTCGTTCGGCTACTACCAAATGGACCTTTAATACAGTCAGTCAAGTTTCCCATCATTTGGAAATTCAAAAGCGTGCGTGGGACACTTACCAACTTCCCCAAAGCCAACAATAACGGCGACATGATCCAGATCGACAATTCCTTCAAGCTCTTTCCGTATGGGAGCAACCTCTATCTCATCATCTGGAAACCTATAGCTATCAATGACCATCATAGGTCGCGGTCGGAAATTTGACGTGATGGCCTTTTGTTCGAAAGACTCTAACCCTTCATCTCGTGCTCGAATATCTGCCATCTTTTTCGATTCGGCTTGCTCGGCCCGGATTTGATTCAAAAGCCCTTTCAGGTCTGGATGTGAGGACATATTACCTGAGATGTCCGCGAGTAGTGGTTCCATCTGGCAGAGAGAATGGACTGGACCTGTCATAAGACAGGCTATGTAGCTCGCCATCTCCGAGGTCGAGAATGTTCTCATATCTCCACGTCGGTCAATCTCTTTGGCGAAGGTGTCGTTGGATGCCATGAGGCCAGTTCCACGGGTCCAGCCAATGACTACTCCACAGATACTGAGGTACATTTGCCAATCTTCGGATTGATGCTTGTTGAGCAGAGACTCCAGTCCCAGTTTGCTCTCAGCGTACAGGCCGTCGTTCCCAAATATTCCATGGTTTGGCGATAGCGGTAGAATGACTTGCGTCGGGTTTGAAAAGATTCGCCGATTCTCTTTCTGACTTTTGATCGCACCCAATAGTCTGATCGTGTTTGTCAACATTGCCCGATGGGCCATCTCGGATCGTGAGTCAATGTTGTCAATCCCCCGACCGGTTTCCTTGATAGCCGCAAACGGAACCACAATATCAAGGTCCCAGCCTAAGTTGTTGAAAATGTAATCCACCACTGACATGATGTCCTTTTTACTTCCGCCATTGAAGGGAAGGACTGATAGTTGAGACCCACGACCACCGTGTTTGGCGTAAAGTGCTTGCCAGGAGTTTGTCACTTCGGTGGAGTATGAGCTCGTGGTAACCAATACTCGCGCACCTGCAGTGAGTAGGAAGCGGATTAACTCTTGTCCAATCGACCCCTTTCCAGCACCAGTTACCAGAACTGTTTGCCCTTCGAAAGAAGTTCCATCGGTGGAAGACTTTTTCACCCAAGAGTGAAAATCAGCAGTAATGCTTGCATTGCATGACCATCCGCTCTGTCCTTTTGTCTTTATCGTTGGTTCGAGTGCATAGCCCCTTGGCCCAAATGCCATGGCGTGGTCAGTCAAGTCCTCGTTCTTTGAGGAAATAGTGCTTAACGGAGTGTTGATCATTCCATCGCTTTGTTCTTCAGGGGTGCTGGTTTCCGAAGTTGATGAAGTAGGATCTTGCCCGAAGATGGACTCAGTGAAGTAACTATCGTCACCTTCCAGCGGTAGCTCGAAATTTGGTTGCGCATCTTTCTTTGGATCATCCATATTTTCAAAGAATTTGATCAACTCCCATGAACAGCGAAAGGTAGGAGGCTTTTCAATCGCCTCAGATACAGATTGCCGAATCCTTTCCAACCGCTCAATGTGGATTTTATCTTGTGCAGATCGATTCCGAATGAAATCAATTGTATGTAACAAACGGGAAGTAGCTCTTGTTTCGAAACCGAGGGATTCACAATCAAGGCCGGTCGCGGTCGTTATTTCATTTTCAGGGTTGCTGTTCCAAGATGATTCCCACGCCATGAAATCTTGAAGAACCCAATTCCAGGAGGAGTCGTACGTCCGGACTTTAAGCGGGTCAAACTTCGAACCTAGATTATCGGCATAAAACTGCCCGTGCTCTTCTAGCCACAAGTCCAGTTGGCTTTGAATATTGCTCATTTCCCTCTTGATATTTGCTAATGACTTAGAAGAGTCACCAAGATCACGGTTACAGCGGCGTGCATACACACTCAACAAACTTTCGTCATGTGCAATACTGTCTTTTTGAAGGGCGAGAAGAACTTCAGGCGAAATATTGACGGTAGCAGCAGGTTGGCCCATGGTCCCTGCGGAGCTTGCTTCATAGTTGATATTGTGGACGGCTAGAATCTTTCGCGTCATTTCGTCAAGAAATCCTTGTGTCGCAATCTCATTTGAATGGCGGGAAGAGGGTTGATTTAATAGAGACGCAAGTAAGACTTTATCTTGCAACCCTTGGCCAAGTCCCCAGCGGCTAGATAGGTAACGTCGTAATGATGAGAGGCTTGAGCCTGAGGAAAGCTTGGAAGTAGCGAATCTTCCGATTCTAGAGTTGCTCCATGCACCCAATGCTCGTTCATGTTGGCTCTCGTTGAGTGTGGCCGCTAGCTGAGACAAAGTGAGATCCTCCGGCTGGTCCGGAAGATTCCCGAATTCCACTGTCAAGTCGCCGACTATCTCATTCTCTAAAGGGGATCGACCTGAATTGGCTTCTTAGCATGGCACATTTTAATCTAATTAAGGTTCTTACCTCCGCATAAACGTTTAATCGTTTCTTCAAACGAAATCTGATCCGGCTGCCTTTTTAGACCAGTGCAGACTATTGTTCGCAGGGCATCGGCTGCATTTAGAGGTATGTCTTCGATCTTAAGAGGATCTGTAGTGGATGCTGTATTCACAGATATGGTCGATGCTGCGACAAGTAACTTTGTTGATTCTGTCGATGAAGAATCATGACTTTCTGTAGAGATCACAGCGTCAGGTGTGGGCTGTGCTGAGTACTGAATATCCTCGACATTCTTTGCATAGCTGAGAAGCTGCCTGGTACGACCAGCAACAAGATCTTGGACACTACATGAAATGTCCAATGTCTTTTTGGCCATGTTGATCAAAGTCTCTCCAGGGCCAATTTCAATGACGCGCTCGGCAGGCTGAGCGCCGCTCAAAATGGACTCTTGTGTTGAAATCCTGCTAACGTTAGACAAAGGCCAACCTTAAAATCTTTGTTATATATGTAAATACCATTGTACCGGGGAGCAGAATTGATATCTAGATAGAATTGTGTTCAGCAAAATCTACAAGTAAATTTAGGGTTATGGTTGTATCCATGTGGGCACTCACGCTAGTAGCTCCGTAACCAGAATCGCGGTAAGCTCCTCCTCGGCACGCGTATATGTTTGCATCTTGAAACTATGGGACAAAGTGATTAATTCAAAAGGCTTCTCATTATAAACAGCTCGAAATTTAAACATTAAGTTGGACTGGTATATAATATTGACGCAAGAATGCGAAGCGCAACATCCATAATAGGTCGGCGACTATCTCCTTTGCTTTGCTTACGGCCAAACCCAATAGCCGAAACGGTAGTAACGGGCCGAAACATCGGGGAGCTGGATATCACCCTTCTAGCTAGGCACAATAAAAAGAGCCTGTTGGAGAAAAAGTATCACTTTCTACGAAGCAGTGTTTTCAATATGTATTATCCGAGCTACCTGTTCCCGCTCGTCAGTGGTGTTTTAGGAATCACGTTTTTATGCTGGGTAAGCATCATCTTGAAATGCTAGATTTACAGAAAAACATAATTGACCAAGCAGGTTATCTATACGCTTTACTTTCATCCGCTGGCTAAATACCCTGGTCCCTTTCTGGCGAAATTTACCACCCTGTATGCGGCCTACCATGGTTGGAAGGGAGACATTCATTTAGACATATGGGCTTGTCACCAACGTTATGGTAAGTCAATGCTTTAATCACTTCGAATCTTGCTCCGGGATTTCCTGCTTACTATAAATTTTATGAAAATAGGCGACACTATTCGCTACAAACCAAATTCTGTCATTTTCAACACAGTCGAGGCCCTTCATCTCATCTATCGGCGCCCGGGTGGCATTGTCAAATCAAAGGTATATGAGCCGATGGTTCATCGTGCTCCAAACACTTTCACCATTCGTGGGGGAAAGGAGCATGCCAAACGCCGTCGGATAATGGCCCAGGGTCTGTCTGATAAGGCGTTGCGCGAATATGAGCCGCGAATCATCAAACATATCGATAAATTTCTTCAAGTCATGATTGATGATTCGACAACCTCAGATGCTTGGAGTGAGCCAAAGAATATGGCACAATGGTGCAATTATCTCTCATTCGATATTATGGCCGATGTGGTGTTCGGAGCGAAGTACAACCTTCTGGGCGAGCAACGTTTCCGGTACGTTTGCGACGCCATCGATGCCTCTAATGTACGTATGGGAACGCTGGTTCAGGCAGGGCGATGGGGATCTATGAAGATCGAAAAGTATTTGTTCCGGAAGGCCATTTTTGGTCGCAATCGATTCGTGCGTTTTGTTACGAAACTTGTCCAGATGCGTTTGTCACCCACTTCTGTGAATGACGCCGCAGATGTACCGGACGTGTTTCATCGCCTTCGAGACGCGAAAGATCCAGTCACCGGTGCTGGATTCACCTTGGATGAAATTGCTGCTGAGAGCACAACGCTCATTGTAGCAGGGTCTGACACAACATCTACCAGCATCTCAGCAGTACTATTCTACCTTGCTCATCATCAGGACGTATATGAAAAAGTTACTGCAGAGGTGCGCGGCAAGTTCAGTTCAGTCGACGAAATCCGTTCCGGTTCGGCACTGGCATCTTGCCAATTCCTCCAGGCTTGTGTGAATGAAGCCTTTCGCATGTCTCCGGCCGTTGGAAGTTGCCTCTTTCGCGAGGTAGTGAATAATCCCATTACAATTGACGGGCAGACAATTCCCACTGGCTACGATGTTGGTGTCGGGATCTATTCCATTCACCATAGCCCGAAATATTTTGAAACGCCGTTTGATTTTGATCCAAACCGGTGGCTTGAGGGAACTGAGCAAAAAGACACAAAGGAGAGCCTCGATCGTGGTCTTGCAGTGATGAACCCATTCTCGCTTGGCACCCGCAGCTGTCTTGGAAAAGGATTGGCAACAGTGGAAATCCATCTTATGTTGGCGTTTCTGTTCTATACCTACGATTTCCAGCTTGCGGATGGTGCGTTAGGTCGAATTGGAGAAGGAGGTCCAGGGGAAGGAATGCATCGTCATAGGGCTCATGAATACCAGCTGCATGACCATATTACCAGTCAAAAAGAAGGACCATATCTACAGTTCAAGATTCGGGAGCAGGACTAAAAGTCTCCATGATCAACATTTTTATCTCGAGGTCTCCATACTACCAAGCTTACATACTATTATCTTAACGTAAACGAGCGTCTTGAAAGTATGCTGCCCAGGTGTCTTCGTTGAAAATTTACATATGTGCGCAATTTCACAGGAAACCTCCTACAGATACTAGATTTCCCAATCGTGAGGTCAGCACTAATGTAACCGATGAAGATGCACTAGATGCACGAGCCATAAAAGACAAAGATCCCAATGGTATGATTTTATGAGCCGATCTAGGCTACTTACATGAAACTGGCAGTGCATGCGTATTGGTAAGCACTGGCGGCCTAATTTCCAGCTAGTCAGCTTTCTTAAAATGACAAGGCTACTTTACGAAAAAGAAAAGGAAGGGAGACAAATGCTCGTTGGTGGAGTAAGAAGTTCAGATTGGTTGTTCTTGAACTTAGCCTGGAGATATTGTGGGCTTGCCTCTTGAAACACACTTGTACAGGTTGACAACTAGCACTATGTATATTTACTCTTCGTATTTCAACTTGATAAAGGTTCCAAAGGTGGATCCGAGTCACAACCAAACCTATTTATTTCTAAAGGTCAACGGAATCCCTATGCATCCTGAATCCAGGCACCTGCGCACGTAATAGTGAGGGGGAACTTCGGGAGCTGGGATGAACTTGAATGTTCGAGATTTAATGCCAGTACTTGATTATTTCTGGCACCAATTGTAAAATGAGGGTCATATTGCTCCACCCATGCAGTAGCTATCTATATTTCGCAAAAGGTCTTTTGAACCAAAGTCGATATCTTTATGTAGAGCCAGTCTATTTTAAAATCGTCTGAAGAGCTGTGAACATCATCTCGAGGCGCATCAAAGTCAGTTGCAACCTCATAGCATGCATTTTGTCAACATCCTTTTGAGTCGTTTCCTTTGCCCGTGCATTTAATTGACTGACACGTGTCCGCATCGCAATGAAAACTTGCTCAACTTGGTCGCGAGCTAATGTGACAATGGTTTTGCGCATCGATGATAATGGTTCAGTCTCGACCATCTGTATGCCTCCGAGGGTGAGTCGGAGTTCCACCAAGCCGTCTGGCGTGGCAGCAGTCAAATTCTGAAGGCGCCGAAACGCCAGGTCTACCACCATTGTAACTAACATGTTTGTCTCGGAGTCTTCCTGGCAATGATCGCAATTAAGAACCGTTTGAGTAGCTGTAAGTGCGTTTAAAGTTGTTGCGAAATCCGTGTCCGCCTGAACCGGTCCACGGCTTTGCTCCAGACCTTTGAGTTTGCAAAGGGATTCAAACTGATACTGAAGACACAAACAGCTAGCCTGGCCATTTCGTTGATTTATACTGTCCAGCTGTGTCGTTGATGAACCTTCTGTCATCTGATACTGGGATTGGAGCCCGGTATCTTCCAGTGGCATGTTGCCCGGAAAGAGATCAATGGACTGCACCACCCCTGATAAACTGGATGGAGATGCTTGAATTTGAAGTCAGTAAAACTATTCTTTTTGGGTGTGCTTGTTATCGTACCGAAAAAATGTTGGTCAAGCCTGTCGGCTGTTGTATCGGACGACCCTCGTGCCTATTATATCATTAGATACCAAAGTAACTTATTGCTGCAGGGTTTTTTACTAACATCCCACATCGTGCTTTCTTTCAAACCCTCAGTCTCGATCGGGAATTCCACATCTGATAAGGAAACCAAAGTGTGATCTGACATCCAAGTGTCAAAGTTCAAAATGTTATCTTGGTCTTCAGACACCTCCTCGTCATCAAAGTCGCAATCGAGAGAAACAGAGCGATCTGTCACCGGAGTAGATATGATCGGATGATGAAATTTACTCTCTCCGATAGTTTCGTTCCTCTGTTGTAACTTTTCCAATGTCTTCTTATTTCGACTGCCTTTAGGCTTGCCGATCTTGGCCGCAAATGAGTACACACATTCAGACCCCGCCTTTTTGCAGCGAGTGCAGGGACTTGTCCCCGAGCAGCGAAGTTTCATTCTATGGCAAACATTGCAAGCTCTTCGAAGTTTTTTTGCTCCATCTTCATCCGGCCCAGGGCGATTTGACTTGAAAGTGTTTGAATCTGTGGTCATGTTGAAGGCCCGGGGAAGAAGAACTAAGTCGAATGGTGGAGGAGGCAGACATCGTTCTTCATAGGAAGATATCTAGCCTGCTTATTATTTCAATAAGAATATTTTGCTCAAAGTACAATAGTTCTCTATGCCATTTTCAGCTTAGCGTGAGGTCGCCATTGTACTGGAACTCTTGTGCGGCTGCGCCCAGCTTCCTGCTGGAATCTGGGCCTATGAAAGGGCTGAGGAATCTTACTTGCATCAAAGCTACGCGTGGTAAATTCTCGTGAATAAGCGATGGAAACGCCAATGGCCGAAGGCTGGCCTAGGGCTGTCTCAGGGTTGCATCTTGGCCCCCTGGCCCCCAAACTCCAAGCCCGGTGCTAAAAACGCACTAGTCACGGAAATATGGAGGGGCTTCCTACAAGACTAACCACAACTTAGCGAATTAATAGTCCAGGAAATGGTATTACGAATTTCCGACGGCGCACGACCATAGAGTGCAGCTCGTAGAAAGAAAAAAAAAATCGAGCTATAGAGCACTCGAATTGATTAGATGAAACCGACGATTTGCAGTTCTCGAAGCTGAAGAGAAGCCTGGTGCCTAAGGTCGCAACTATCCGCCTCTGCACCAATCTTCTAACAATTTCAGTCGGTTACTATGACTTAGGAGTGAGTCAGAACTCGTTTACCGGCACTTCAGGTCCTAAGAGGCAAAATGATACGGTTGATCTTTACCTTTATCCTTATGGTAACGTAATCCACCACCGAGCTGACCGCAGCATCAAGCTGGCCACTCACCCGCTATCTCTCTATTTTATAGCATATTTATAAATCAAATCAGCCTTAATATTATAGAACTATTTACCAGTTGGGAATTTTTTTCGTATTTGCTCTATCTTACCACATATATCAGGCAAATTGGCGCTTTTGCAGGCGTACTGCTGTCATTTGAACCGTATTGGGTTACGCAAAGCGGACAGAGCTTTTACCAGTTGCCAAGTAGTCATAGTAAGTGGCTAGATGTTTAGCCAGAATCTCACCAGTTGTCGTGATAAATGATAGTGATGTCTGTTTAGCGCCACTCGGTTGATCCGCAGGTATCCACTTGTAATTTTGCCGTTTCTATGCGAAGTGGTGGATGGGGCTTGGCATGATCTACCCCTCCAGCAGGGTAGTCACCTTGTAGGCGCCTTGCGGGACCTGGCACTAAGCTTAGGGCGTACATGCAGTAACCTATGGGTGACGGTAGAATACCGGAGAAGTACGACCGACTCCTGCATCGCGCTAGCCGTCATCAGGTTTAAGGCAAGATTCGGCTTTCTGCCACTTTTAACGTAATTCTTGGCTTGCTGATAACTGGTTTCGGTTGGCATGAATAAGTCCGGTCACTAGTTTCTGCAGTGCATGCAGTCTAACCCAAGAGAAATTTAGTTTCGTATACGACGGGCTTAGTGCTGAGTGGACGGCTGAGAGGGCGGCTGCGAGAGCGGCCGAAGCGGCCGAGGGATCACGAACACTCTTGATCCGTCCTCTGGCATTTCCAGGCCCCCGATTTCACAAATGAGAGATTGGACGTGTTTCGAAATGAAAGGCTTCGGTGGCTACTGGATGGAAGATATTTTTCACTTCTAGGGGGCGAAAAAGAATAATATTCACCATAGAGGCCGATTTTGAAGACAGGTCTCCTTCAAGTTGGTTAATATCCATGGATATCTACATCCGCTCCGTAACCACAGGCATCACATTGGGAATTGCCCTCATTGCTAATATTTTAACCAAGATAGTCAATTTTTAACACGTTAAAGTCTTACATTCTGAGTCTGTATACAATTGGAATGAAATCAAATCCAGATCGCTATATCGAGACTTGGGGAACTACATGTATACTCGCCGATGGAGGATTCGCAACTACTAGTAATGCCTACTACCTGGTAGGGACTATTACGGAAATTTTCCGCAACCAGTAGTATATTCGATCTGCTTTTTTATTTTCAAGTTCATACCTATGTGTATATATTATAAGACCCTCCTTTTCTGTTCCTGAAAAATACCATCCCAAGGTTCCAAGGTTGTTATCACAAAGTTCCTAGTAGCTTTGTAACTGAGCTTTGGTGTTCGCAATGGCTTCCTATTCAGCATCTTTCCAGACTTTAGAGAGCTTGAGAGATTTGATTAATAAATCTCTAGACGCCGTCGAAAAGTCAATTGTTGACCACGATGATCCAGCATTAACCCTTGATTCATGCGAATCTCACCCCATCCATAGTCGCCTTGGGGCAGATCTTGAGGCTGCTTTGAAAACCATATCGTCCGCGACGAATATGCTGCGAGCTCTCTGTGATCCAAACACGTATCTCAACGATACAATTTATGGAGTAAGTGCTCCTATCAGAACAATTACATCAATACTCTACTCATGTCGCTGCTACAGTACCACGATGAAACAGCGCTGTTTGTTGCCTGTCAAGCAGATATTGCGAACCATCTTGGCAAAAAGGAGCATTCCATCCAAACTTTAGCCCAGAAAACTGGCCTGAATGAAGAGAAGCTGGCACGCTACTTGAGGAACCTATGTAACAAACAAATTTTCCGAGAGACCGCAGACAACAGATTTGCCAACAATTTACTTTCCGTTACCTTCCAATCGGAGGCAAAACGGGCATTAGTTGGACACTGGTAAGATGCGACATGTGGCTTCCCAAATTCGGATATTCAAATAATAACAGATGTGGCTACTAGTGCCGATGAATGCAGAACCTCATCTTCCAAGGCTTGGGAGGCGCTTATACATCCTGACTACAAAGACGCCACCGAAGCTAATAAAGCGCCATTTAACCTCGCTTACGACACTGACTTGACGGTTTTTGAATGGGTGAAAAGTGTCAGACCCGACATCGGTCAAAGGGCTAATACCGCCATGGCCGGCAAAGGGCTCAACTTGGAGCAATATTTAGCCCGTAATTATACCCAGTGGCAGGATTTTGGAATTTCCGGGTATTAACATTTTTATAGTTTATCCATGGCATTTGGAGGGCACTAAAACGATTATTGATGTGGGGGCAGGGGTTGGGGCTGGAACTCTTCCTATCCTCAAAGATAATCTCAATCTTCGTGTGAGAGTTCAAGATCGCCCTGAGAGCGAATCAAAGTTTCATGAGGTGGGTGCTTCGAAAATACTTATTTGAATTAAAGTTAAAGGTCAAATCTGGAACCTTACTGATCAAATTTCTATTACACATCAGTACCTCAAAAATTCATACCCTGAATTTGAACAGTCGGATCGCGTCAAATTTATCGGCCATGATTTTTTCACTCCTCAGAAAGAGGCAGGAGACATCTACTTCTTGCGTCATGTCATCCATGACTGGCCAGATGAAGAGGCACGTCAGATATTGTCCCATTGCGCTGCCAAAATGAGCTTGGGCAACAAACTTTTGATCCTCGAGCATATGCTGGCTCCAACATATCGGGACACGTCGCAGAGCTCGCGAGAAGTTGCGCCACGGCCGTTACTTGCCAATTGGGGCCAGTCAGTTGTTAGTCGGTTGGACCTGCAGATGCTGGCCTGTCTTAACGCAAAAGAAAGAACTGAAACTCAGTATCGTGCATTGATCGAGAATACGGGACTAAAAGTAGTTCGCGTGTGGCGCAATGCAGGTCTAGATACGGTGTTGGAGTGCATCAAAGCTTAAAATGTGGACAATCTTGCAACCCGTTTGAATTTGGCTCCATAATAGCTTTTCTGGTTGACATCTAGACTGCAGAATACTCGTACGTGACTAGCTGAGTGCTTTGATAAAACGCAATAACAACCAAATAATCATTCAACGTAGTGACTGTGCGCTATCCAAATTTACATGAACTTGTTAGCCTCTTGAAATGAACCACGAATTGAAATCTCAGATAAATCCTTCCTCTACGGAATAAATTGCTCGAAATGAAAGTACTCCGTGCAGGCTCACGGATTGTGTTCGGCCGGAATTGCGCGATATGTACGGCGAATATCCACGAGTCACAAAAGTCACAGGAGAAAAGAGGGAAATCGATGTGGGTCATTCTCGAGTGGGTATCTGACTGGCCCCAATTGGGGCTGGGCTTTTACAGCCGACAATTATTGCCACGCGTCTGTGGGTTTAGTGGGGAAAATAATGGGAGTTCTCGCGGAGGCAAATCGGTACTCTTCAGGAGTCATTTGTTGTTGCATCAGTTGATACTTCAGGCCACCATTCTCCACATTTTTCTTGTTGGATGCATACGGGCCGCTCCCGCCCGTCCACAACCACTTGTTTGACGCATATTCGCCGAACCTTGGTACCGCAAAGTAGAACGGGCCCAATGCTTGCTTTCGTTACTTATCTCTACTTCGGTGATAGTGGTGAGACAGGTACCCTCTTTCATGCCTTTGGCCGGCGGCCCGTTGCATATAGAGCGTCTGACCATTCATCTCTCGCTTCGCTTATAATGGAAATTGTTAGAGTATAATGGATACTGTTAAAGCCGAAATGAGAAACACTGGCAGATAGCTCCTTGGCAGTACTTAAGTATTATATTCCGTGGCATCGCCAACTACTCGTAGCTAAGGGCTTGCTTACTCCCCACTATCGTATCGGTCTAACGCGGCCACTATCATCGGTAGGGCAATGGGGCTTAAAGCCGAAATATCTAATTTTTCCGGGACCCTGTCACGGCGAGCAAACCAAAAAATAAACACCGAAGAAAGCGACATGTTCCGGTATCGACAGTGAGCAGTAAATCATTTGATAGTATTGATCTCACTTTAAAATCCGCGGTTTTCCTATGACTAAACATATGTATATACCCTGGAAAGCTGAATCACAACAACCAATATGTATTACGCCATTCAGGGACTGGCTCTCATTTTTGTATTAGCTCTCTATCTAGTCCTGAGAAAGAGCAAAAGCAGCAAGAGTCAGAGTGGATATTTTAAAGACAAAATTGGGGACCCCATTCCATCCCTCCCCGAGGACACAAGATTCCGGCGATTTACAAATGGGTTAGTCTTGATTGGGAGCTTGACCTCTAGAATCTACCTCAACTATTTTGACAAATATTCTGATGCTAACGAATTATTTGTGACACAGAAAGGAAATATCAGACCAAGGAGCCAAAGAGTTCGGAGAAAGACCATTTCTTGTGCGAAATGGGCGTCACAGGGAGCTGATCATCTCTCACCCCTCTCATATTAAAGATTTCTACATGCAAGATGCTGCAGGCGAGTGAATGAAACATGGTTGTCACACTCAAAATGCAAAGCCTAACTTTAGTATGCACCATCAGATCACAAAAAGCTACATGACTGTAATATGGGGTCTTTTTTTGCAAGAACGCTTGGTTCTTGTGTAGGAGTCCAAAACGGCGCACAGTGGAAGAACACGCGCTCACACCTGGACCCTCATTTCTCCTTCACATCAGCAAATTCAGTTATTGCAACAACTAAGGATGCTATCAAGACCTGGGCTGAGACGATTCCCCATGAGGCAAATGCTGGTGTATCGGGGCCTTTCGAACTTGACGCAATAGTTGCTTGCCGCCAGCTGCCTTTTCGACTAATTGCCATGGCCCTGTACGGTGAAGTCTTTTCAGAGGAGGTCGGTCTAAAACTGTTCTACGAGAGTTTAACATAAGCGACTGACATGTTGATTACTTTCTAGCTATTTGGGCGGCTATGGGATTTAAACACGCTCCACGAGGAGGTGACGTTTGTCACATTCTTGAGTCCAGCAGCCAAAAACTGGTGGTATCCCTGGCTACCAACCAAGGCCAATGCCACCCTGAGGAAGTTCAACAAGCTCTGGAAAGAATTGAATCTAGATGCGGTGTCTCTTGCGAGAAAGGTATGAAAAAATCCATAGTTTTTAATCGTCAACAATACTAATTGACCTTTAGCGGGGAATTTCAATTCCTTTGGAAGGAATGTACCAAGCGGTTGAGAATGGGAATATTGATATGACTAGTGTAAGCTGGTGAGATTTCTAGTCCGGCTAGACTATACTGACTTTTGAGTAGTTTTTGCAATCTCTTGATGAAATCATCTTCACCAATATAGATATCACTTCAACCATTTTTGCCTACTGCCTGATAAACTTGGCGGGTCATCCAGATGAACAAAATAATCTGCGAAACGAGATTTTATCAAAGGAAAACGACATCGCTACTCTGGATCGCTATCTGAAAGAAGAAAATACACAGCTTCATCACGTTTACCTGGAGCTTCTTCGCAATAACCCTCCTGCTTGTTCGTAACTCCGAAGCAGTATACCAGTTTGGAAGACTAATTTTGATACAGGGTTTTCCCTTCCTGAGATGACCGCAAAGGATAAATACATCGGAGGCTACCTTATTCCAGCTGCCACCCCTGTCATTATCGACGTACGCCGATTGAATCAAGACTCCCCGATTTGGGCCCCGGATGGGAAGGTTTTCGACCAGGCCGTTGGGATTCTGTCTCGCGATTGGATGCACGGTACAGTCTGCATGGGTATGGACTAGGCCCACGAAAATGCCTCGGAAAAAACTTTGCTTCTATTATGATAAAATTGTTCGTCATCACTGTGTTAGAGAATTACCAGCTAGGCGGGGCCCTGGACACCAAACTTCGCCGAGATACTTGGACCCGTGTCCCAGAATCCGTTGTTTCGTTTGAAAAACTGCCATAGCACGCTTTTCTATGATTTGCATATTTGATGTCTTATTGGAAATATCTAAATATGGGTGACATTAGGAATTTGTGCTCGTTTTCTCTCACAAGGGAAGCCATTCAGATGTATTACAACTTTGTTCCAGTGTTGGATTTCAATTCTTTCTAGGTCATCAATCATTTCGTCTACTGTAGGTCAAGCTCTTGAAGGGTGGTCGAGACCGAGGGTTTGTGCCAGGTACCTCTGTTAAAATTCCAGGCCAATATTACTGCTGAATCCATACTGGCCACCGAACAGAGACTCTAGAAGGTTCGTACTATCCATGCCACCCATAGGGGAGTCGTACTCGGCTTCCCACGCCGAATCGGTAGCAAAGCCTCGACTGATGAATCCCTGGGTGTATAAGCGAAGCCTTACTTTCTCCCGCAGATTATGTAGAAAGGCCCACAGTCGCTCCTCGTCGCTGTTTTCTTCTCCTGGATTGCCGTATTCCATCTCCACATCGGCAATGGTTTCCCAAGCCTGTTTGCAAATAACGCTGATATCACTTGATAGATCAAAAGTATCTATTGTTGATAGCTCGTTTATTATGTGCAGCATTCCGTGCAGTTGGGAATGACGCCGGATGTGCCAGTGGAATCGTCTAATATTAGGGTCGGCTAAAACATTCTGATAGGAAGCAATCAGATCTTTGGCATATTCCATAGCCCTGGCTCAAATTAGTATCAAAGAGAAATGGGTATTTAGTGTGACTTTAGGACAGAGAGGGGCGCTTATGACATACTTCTTTCGAGCCGGGGTCCAGTTGTTGTTATTGGTCGTGCCATTGCGTTCTTTCAGAAATCGATGATACACCAAGAGTCGGAGTTTATATTCTCCAAGGCGGCCAAGCTCCAGCGTCACTCTCTGAATAGGGTCGTTAGCATGGCAGAATTGCAAGTATTGTCTGTTGACGACTTCTATTGTTTCATCAAGGCATTTCTGGAGCCCATCAGACCCTGCTGGAGGGACAGGGGTCGTCACTAGTTGTCTCAGGCCGAGGGAAAGTTGGTAGCGGACAAGAGACATTGTCATGTCGGTAAAACGGGCAGTATTTTTATCCTGCATGATATCTTCGTCATTCATGTTGCCCGGTAATGCAGTCGCAAGGGTCGTGGGCCAAGTTTGCATGCCGATGGGCTCAGGATCTACGCCACGTGCTTCACTGGACATGAAGTCAAGGCTTCAGAGTTGTTAGATCGGGTCTCGGCTTGTCTTGACAGACGCACTACTTACTGAACAATGACGTGCCAAACTCGCCTGCGAAGTTCGGCGACAATGCCGTTGAATGGTGGTTGTGCTGGTTTTTGTGCTCGCTTCCGGTCTGAAAGCGCCTCTGGGTCCACATGCAGAGAAAATGATCGCGCAACGCGTAGCAAGAGACCGGTCAAGCAATAATGGTATGGGACATCTGTTTCTTCGCACGTAACAAACTGAAACATGATCGCACGTTAGTATACAGCACGAATATGTGGATGAGGTGATAGAGTTCAATTTACGGACCAAAAAGAGACAGCAAGCTGAGATTGAGTGAAGGGTCGGCTTTTCAAGAAACTCTGATCGGACCAAACTCTGCTCAATGGCGAGCCGAAGAGCTTTTAAACATCCCTGCCTGACCTGTGAAGGATCAGAGTCGTGACCTGGAGGCGATGAGTCCCAGTGCTCCTGCTCGGACAAACTAGTTAGAGCGCTGAACAACACAGCAAAGAGAAGCGCCTCGAATGCCGCTGTCGATCGTTTCTCAACTCCAGTATCATGTCCTACTTGGAGATAATATTCTTTCATTTCCTCCCAGAACGTCGGCTTATGAATTAGGCGCACAACTGGGTCCACCCGGTCGAGAAAGATATTGTATAATCGCTCGGCATCAGGTAGCGGTGGCATATACGCATGTGGGTGGAATTCGGGGTCTGGGGCGACAAAGAGGTTCAAGGGCCGACTGGGCTGTATTCGTTTCGATGGTGGTTGTGAATCTTGGTCCGCGTCTATAAGGGCATTGAAATCGGGGTGCTGTTTGAATGCCAATTCTGTCAACTCAATTCAATATTTGGCTAGCTACGCGCCTGGATTACACACCTGTGCTGCCAACTGCTTCCAGTACGAGCCTGACAAGAGACGTGGCTCACTGTCTACATTGTGGGTATCGCCCGCACTGGAAACAGTAGATTCCTCCGGAGGGGAGCTCTCAGGTGCAGTATTGCCTGCGAGTCGCGCGACAACCAGCTCAAGATGACTTAGTCGCCGTGCAAGCTCCTGGTAAGGTCCATCATTTCCCTTCTGAGTGGTCTCACTGGGAGTCGTAGGGGCATATCGGCAGGAATGTCCAAGACGAGCGCAGTTCTGACACTCAGGTCTTTCGCGACCGCAGCGAATCTTTCGCGCGCGACATCGCAGACAGGAGTTGACTGTCCGCTTGGTAGCGGGGATCATTGAGTCCGTGACTTAATGCTCTGGCTGCAGCCATAGGAGGGAGCAAATGTGGAGCTCGTGTGGTCGATAAGGAGGAGATCATCAAGGGCTCAAAGACCAAAGACCATGGGACCAGCCGAGTGGCCCCCACTTCTCATTCTCGCCACTTCTTACGAAAGTACGCAAACGCAAGTACGAACTGGCGACCGTACGGTCTAAATAAAAAGAAGAACCCTGGCAATATTTTGATTTGAGGGGCCAATCGGAGTTTTGATTCCACTACACCGGAGAGTAAATGAGTACACCCTAAACAAGACAAAAAAATCCAGCAGTATATCTGATAGAGAGTAGTTAGTGAACATAACAACCAGAACGGGACTCCACAACCAAACTTTCAATGCGAAAGGATTCAAGGACTAGAAAGGCGGAGAAAGGGAGAAGTTTGATGTTATATCCACTCTCTGAATGATATATCCATGCTGATCCTGTCTTACATAAGATGCGGCCCCGTAACTCAATTGGTAGAGTGTCAGATTCCAGTCCTGAAAGTTAAGCGTTCGAGTCGCTTCGGGGTCAGCTATTGTGTTTTTGTCGTTCAACAAGCTGCTACCGATTGAAGAACTACTACGCCTCTGGACTGGGTGGACCACAACTAAAGGATCTTATAGATCCAGTTTCAATTTCAATTTTTCGTTTACCAAACGTCCGATTCTTAATTTCGAATAGTCACAGCCTTCCCAAGATTTCTCCACTGGCATATTTATATACCTACCTAGGTATCCAAACTCTTCAATCCCTCGCCGATTTGGCCCACAGACACGTCCGAGTCCGGTTGCGCGGCCAAATTGGATAATATATACATAAGCAAGGACTGAACCCTGTCCACCTGTTGTTCACTCAAAACTCCCGTATCATACTCTAAATCCAGCTCTAGTCGGTCTTCCCATTCTGTGAACTCGAACAAAAGGGGATACTGTCAAAATATTAGTCATTTGCGTGAAAACTCGACACAATACTGCATAAAAAGTATACCTTAGCACCATCCGGATGGGTTCTTAACAGTGTCGTTTCAGCGTCTCCAAAACTTTGCGTCCGTTGAGATGTCTCGAAGGCAGTATGGAATGTTACCATAACGTCAAACAGGGGGGGAATGCTCTTGAGTGGAGTTTTCACTGGCAGCGTTCATGATCTGTGTGAACGGTATCCAATGCGCAATGGATTGCTGGCTTGCCCCTTTCATCCGTGAAACCAAAGACCGCCATGTTTCATTGCCATCAGTGGGTAGTTCCACCTTGATTGGCATCCGATCGACCATCATACCAACAACCTTGTCGGTCCCGGCGATGTCGCGATTTGCATATGGGGCACCAATGACGAAAGAGTCACTTTCACCCCATGACTGCAATAGAAGTGAAACTACGGCTAGTACAACGTGGTGCTTTGTTGCCGCCGCGTCAAATTCCAGTCGAGCGATGGCTTTGCGCTCTTCTTGTGGGATTGTTAACATCCGGCAACGTCCGTCATAAGTCTGCGGCTTGTTTTTCAAAGGAACAAGACGAGACTGTGCGTATCCGGCCAGTGTTTTCTGCCAGAACTTAACGGCCTCGATATCGAGTTTCTGCTGTGAAGACCAGCTCGCCCAATCCATATAGCTCTGGTCGGCTGGAAGACTTGTGTAATCCTCAGTCCCGTTGTACGCTGCACTGATTGCATCAAGTAGAAGGCTTCTGGTAGTTCCATCTGATACTGCGTGAGACATTGTAAGCACTACCACGATTGAAACGGGTGATTCTTCAATCCATCGAACACGAAGAGGCTGTCCATTGTTCAAGTCGAATCCAAGATTAATCTCATCAGTGATAGCACTGTCAATAGATGAAGTAGCTCGAAGCTGAATTGGCCCACCAAAGTCTGCTCGAATAGATCGGCGGAGGATGCCGTCGACGGGAGTGAACTCAGACAGCAATACGGGATAGTGATTGATGACTTGAGAGAAACTGTTCCAGAGGCGATCACGATCTAGCAACCCGGTGAATCGCATCGCAAGTGCCACATTCCACGCAGTGGATTTCTTGTTTTGCTCCCATACAGTATAGACCTCATCCTCCAGTGCAGATGTGATAGATAGAGGTGCTTCTCGCGTTTGACGGAAGGGATAAAAATCATCGGAAATATCGTGGTTGGCTTTAGTCTCCAGAGATGCTGCAAGATCACGCAGGACAATATTTTCGATGACCATGCGCAAAGGAACGCGATAAGCCAGTTCTTCGGTCAGTCGCTGTGCGACCCCTATCTGCAGCAGGGAATGACCACCGAGATCAAAAAAATTGTCTAGAGCCCCCACCTGAGACTGAGGCAGCTTCTCTTCCCAAATCCGTGCAACTAGACGCTCCATTTCTGTTTCTGGAAGCACTGTAGATGTCGTCGACTCGACGGGCATGGCAACCAATGCTAATCTGTCAATCTTCCCATTGACATTCAAGGGAAAGCATTCCAAGGCAACGACTCGGGTAGGCTGGCAATGATATGGCAGACTGCTGCGAATCTTTTGCTGCAGCATGTGCATGTCAATATCTTGAGGAGTCACGAATGCTGTCAGGGTGGCCAGCTCGCGGCTAAAGACCACTGCAATGGACTGAATTCCATTGAAAGCCTTTGTAATCATATGCTCTACCTCTTGTAGGTCAACACGTAATCCCCGTACTTTGACTTGGGAGTCCATGCGGCCGATCACTTGGAGATTCATATCTGGAGTCCATCTTCCTACATCACCCGTGCGATACACAGTTTGTCCCGGGAGGAAAGGGTCTGGGACAAAAGACTGCAGAGTGCGATCGGGCAATTTGTGGTAACCCGGCGTTACCTGGATCCCAGAAATCAAGATCTCTCCTGTACATCCGACCGGGACGGGACGGTTGGCTGTATCAACAATATAGATGGCAGTGCGTGGTGCAGGCGGTCCATTTGTAACTGGTTGTCCAGAATTTTGATACCCCCAAGTCACAGCAATAGTTGTCTCTACTGGGCCGTAGACATTCAACAGAATGCGGTCTTCAATACCCCATTGATCAACCAAATCTTGAGGAAGTACCTCACCCACCACAGAAAGCTGCCAAGATTAGTTATTTTACATTTTAGAAATAAAATTCTTCTTCGAACTCACCACTTTCAGATTGGAATGAAGATCAGGGTCAAGAGTTGCAAGCATAGATGGTGTAATATCAGCAGCGTCGACGTGGCGCAGATGAGCCATTGGGGAGTTCTCATCCTTGAGTACCAATGTGGCACCGTATAGCAGTGCCGCTAATATCTCATGAAGACATCCATCGAAACCTGGTGACAGAAAACTTAGTTTCGTTCGGAAATCGCCTGTATGGGATGACGTACCATATGCTAGCAACTGTGCATTTCGCTGACCAGGACGCGAATGGTTCCGACCGGCTTCATGACCGAGAGATGACAAGAGATTGAGATGGGGGGATTTGAACACCTGCCCTGTGAATTAGCGTCTTGATAGTTGGTCTTAATCTCATCGCTGTAATATTTACCTTTCGGAACCCCGGTACTACCTGAAGTGAAAATCAAGGCGGCGACTCTTTCACCAGGAATCGTCGTCTCAAAGCGCGCAACTTCATTTTCGCGAAGTGCATCGAGGATAGTTTCCACTGTCAGCACCCGTATGTCTGGTCGGAGAGAATCCAAAGGAATGGAACCAGCTGTCGGATAGATTATGACGTCGGATTCTGCAAGATCCAACATGACTTTTTGACGATCCCGGCCATACTTAACATCGATGGGACAATAAGCGTATCCGGCCTTGATAGTCGCAAAGATAGCCACAACCCATTCAACAGAGCCGTCTGCTTGAACAGCCACAAATGGGCTGTTGGTATCTAGTCGCATTATTTCAAGTGCTACTGCATTGCTTCGTCGATCCAGCTCCCGATAAGTCAAGACATCACCATTTGGCGACTCCAATGCTGGTAAGTCAGGCACACGATCCACCATTGACTCGAAGGCTTCTTTCAGATTTGCAGCGCCCAAATACTTTTCGTCAAATCGGGGGAAATTGCGGACAAGTGCGTCTATCTCAGCAGGTTTGAGTAGCTGATCACGGATGCGAGAAACAGGTCGAGAAAGGTCTTGCGTGATGAATGATTCAAGCGCATTTTGGAGATGCCGACCCATACCTTCCACTGCAGAGGCGGTAAAACTGTCAGTGTGGTATACAAGCCGGGCGACCAGTCCTTCTGAAGAGTCTTCAACAAGTACATTCAGCTTTGCTCCGGATGAGTCGGTGGTCCAGAATGAGGAGGGTTTTGCAATGGTATCAGCCTTCCAGCTGTTTATGGGAGGAAAATCATACTGAAGGGCGAATATTGTCTCATAAAAGTCGGTCGCTTTTTTCCCTGTCGCAGTCTGGATGAAAGAATTTGTTGACCCTTGATAGTCGGAAATCTGGCAAAGTGTTCTAAAAACCTTTCGGAGAAATTGCTCAGAGCACTCTTTTTCATCAATTTGCACCCGGAGGGGCAGTGTGTTGACGAATGGGCCCACGGCGGATTCAATATGAGATATCGGCCATGAACGACCTGCCAGAGTTGCTCCTACGATTACTTCTGCTGAAGCAGAGTATGTCGAGAGAACGATTGACCACGCGGCATATAGTAGCACGGCGGGGGTTACTTTGGCACGCAAAGATTGGATTTCCAGTTCGGCTGATGTGGTTCCCAATGAGACACAGATCTCTTCTCTCTTTGCCAGTGAGGTGGGGATAGTCGGGACAGGCAAAGTCAAACGAGGAATAGGATCTAGATTCCCTAGACTTCCTTTCCAGAAGGTTTGAGCCTTCTCTTCAACTAGAAGATGGGATTGGTCGATAGACTTGATGAACTGGTGAAACTCAGGCAGTGGGAGAGACGGTATGCAACCCTCAGCTGCCTGAGAGAAAGAATCAATTAGGTTCACTGCTGACCACCCGTCTATTAAGCTGTGGTGTATGGTCAGGGTGACCAGAGTGGCCCCGTGGGGTGCATAATAGACTCGGAACCCAACGAATGGTTGAACATGCGGGTAGGATGGAGTCGATAAAGCTTCCTCGCTAGACAGATATTGTAAAGTACGCCATTCTTTCTCACTGGGTAATTCTTGCACCGGTATCTCCTCCCAGCTTGGATTGACGTGTTGGTGGATAAGTTGTGCTCCTCGCTCGCCTAAAAGCAGGAATGTTGTTCGAAGTGAGCTATGAGCCGCAAAGGCGGATATCCAGGAACGTTTGAGTTCTGGTAGAGATCCATGAGCAAAAGTAATTCCCAGTCTCAGATAGTTGGCGAGGGATCTCGCAAAGTCCCATGCACCATCCGCATTTGAAGGTCTGTCATCGGTGCAACATCAACTATCCCATCAGTCTGTGTTTGAAGCGTATCATTCACCGATTTCCATAACTCTTTTTTTAGCGACATCCAAGTTTAGCTGTGGCTTTTCTTGCTCAATTTGAGTCAAACCTTGGCTGATTGCAGAAACAGTATCCATTTGGAAAATTTGAGACAGGCTGGTAGAAAATGAATAGCGTTTTAGTGTTGTCACCACAGAAACAGCTGCTAAGGAGCTACCTCCTAACTGCCTGAAAGACGACAGCGCAGTTATTTGTGATTCCGGAAGCTTCAGGGCAACCGAAAAAGCTTTCAGCACAGCCTCTTCTGGCCCAAGATCTTCATTTGGATCCGATTTGGCAGTCGAAAGATTTGGTGTGTCCAAGAGCGCCACGAGTGCCTTGCGGTCGATTTTACCATTGCTGGTTAGAGGCAGGTTGTCTATGCCGACGATCCTATCAGGTACCAGGAATGGAGATCGACCTGCCTGCAGTAAATTTTCGCGAAGGCCTATCGCGGCAGAGGGCGGGCAGACAAATGCATAGAGGCGAGTTTCGACCGATACAGCGATGCCAATTTCGACGGCCGGCATATCCAGCAGCAGTGGCTCAACCTCTGTCTCAAGATTGATAAGGAATCCCCGGTTCTTGACGAGGCTGTCTTTGCGACCAGCAAAAACGACACCGGCAAAGGACATACGACCGTAATCTCCAGTGCAATAGAGCCTTTCACCACGGTATGTGATAAAAGATTGGTCTGTCCGAGCCTCGTCTTGAAAGTACCCAAGGGCAACTCCAGCACCGCCGATACAAATCTCTCCAGCATCGGCCTCGTTTCCATTTTCATCCCGTAGAATAACGAAGGCCCCGCGGAGGGCGAATCCAAGAGTCTGTGGCTGACCAACAGCAAGTTCTGCCATTAGTGTGACGCAGGTAGCTTCGGTAGGTCCATATGCGTTGAATATTGTACGTCCTGGGGCGGACCAAGCTTCGATAAGAGAATCAGGGGCCTTTTCACCACCCAAAATAATTGTCTTTACCCTTTCATAGTTGTCTGAAGGATCAAGCGTGGACAAGATGCTGGGGGTTAAGGGAAGATCGGTGCACTCTTTGGCAGCATCGGGAAAGGTATCAGGGTTTGCCAGGACGAGGCAGGACCCATTGCCCAGACATGAGAAAAAGACACCAGCGCACCCTGTGGCCCATGTTAGTGAACTTTTATCATTAGGAAATGGTTGCCTGGTGATACTAACCGTCAAATGCGATTGAAAACATCACCAGCATACGTGACTCGGCTGTCACAACGAATTTCAGTGGCGAGCCAGCGCCATTCTCGTAGGCGTAGGCCACCATCGAGCGATGTGCAACTTTTACACCTTTAGGCCTTCCAGTTGAGCCGGATGTGAATATAATATAGGCCAAATCATCGGGCATTGGCGAATCAAGGGAGCTCAAATCTAACGCTGGAGTCCACACAGCCTCAGCTGCAAGAAAATGAATAACTTCATACCCAGCAGGAATAGTACTTGACAACTCAGTACAAAGAACTTTGGCGGAACCAACGGTTTTTAACGTGACTTCAATGCGGTCGGCCCCCCAGGCTGAGAGGTCGATGGGTACATAGCACGCTCCAGTCTTCAAGACGGCTAAAACGGCAATAACCATTGGCATCGATCGCGTAGTGAGAATCGGAACGAGACATCCTCGATGAATTCCATTGGCTTGAAGAGTCATTGCAAGATTATCCGAGGCGTTTTCAAGCTCAGAGTAAGTATATTGTTGCTTCGTTGGTGGGGTACCCGACCAGTCTTCAACGGCGATTCGATTCGGAAACCGCTGGACTGTGCTTTTGAACATCCCAACCAGAGACTCTGTGATCTCCGGTTGGGAAATGGAACGTAAAATCCAAAGGGGTAAACATGTTTGCTGAATGAGCAGTCAAATTGCTATTCTACCTACTATTCTTCTAATTTTTGGTCCACGTCATGAAATTAAATGCCTAAGCGGGGTCTATCATCTAAAGTCTTGTATCATACAGCTCGCCGATAGTTAGTCGCCGATGGTAACTCCAAATCTCATCGGCATTTCGCCCCTTTCGTGATTGAATATCTAACGGTTATAAGCAAAATCATGGGCGGAATTCCTTCCGGCCCGTCAGACACCTTGCTACTAGAGTTTCTGCCACATGTCCCACTGTTCCCTTTCCCTTTCCTGCGCCATTTGCAAATTTCCATCGGCCCCGCCGATGTAGCATCCGGCCTTCAGAAGATCCTCTGGGGCCACCGTGCGTCGCCCTTTCTTCGCGACGTACCGAGAGAGGGCCACAGCAAAAAGCCTCTTTTTTTCTCGCTGACGACCAAGGAAGTCCGACAGCCCGACAGTCCCATCCTCCACTTCGGTCCCGGGTTGAACTAAATATGTGACGATCGAAATCCATTTACTATCCCATGTCAAAATTCGGGAGCGTGTTTCGTAAGATTGAAAAGGTAGTATTTCGCGATAGAAATTGGTATCAACGGCTCCGAGGATAAGTCGTACACCATTTAATGCCCGACACGCTGGTACCAGTTGCTGGGCTAGTAGATTGGCGCGACTGGTATCAAGGTCCACAAGAAATGTGCTGTTGGACTTATGCATGTTTATATCGCATTCTAGCGGGCAGGCCCATGAACGTTGGCTTTGCGCGCAAAACAGCACCTCGATTGACTTTTCTGCTGGCAGCTGCATAACGGGAGCAGGAAGGACATAGGTCCGAACGAGAGCCGGAAGCAGGCGAGCCTTGACGTGGTTCGGTTAGTTGAGGATATTGGAACTTTGGCAAGATAACGCTCACGGTGTAAGAAAGTGGCCAGGCCTTTATATTTATTAGAAACAAAAAGGCCAGTGCAGAGTACACCGGGGGTGGTTTAATCCATAGATGTCCGGCCACGGATAAACAGGCATAGAATGTGATTTCGGTCACGGGCGCCATAGTTGTGGGTGATAAACAGTCTAGGGGAAAGAATGAACAAAGGATGTTTATTAGGAAGTTTGGGAGGAAAAAGATGTGAGATGTGGGCGTTAAGAACAAAATATTTATTTGAGAGCAGAAAAGGAGTAGCTAAAATGTACAAAACTAATATGGAATCGAGCTAATAAGGAAAATATCACGAAATACGATTACTGTCCGATGCCCGATAGCAACGCGCGCTCACGCCGAATACGCGACCCCCACTCCGACTCCCAGTGGTCTAATATGTGCCGAAGATGCGTAGATCCCGTTCTCGCAAGTATAGCCTTGATGTAGGATGGATCAAGGGAAAACGGCGTACCAGTCAGATTAGGGACGTATCGACCGACCAGCTGGGCTGGATTAATTGCCCCGCGCAGATCAAGTATAGTGCTCAAAATCCGGCGGAAGGGTTCAATCATTGGCTTGAGCTGTGAAGAGTGGAATGGAACGTCGATTCCAGCCAAGGGAACGGTCGCGCGTCCGCGGCTCAGTTGCAAGGTTGAGGCTTGGACCTCTTTGTAGGCGATAGATTGCTGGCGAATCAGAGTCTCCAACGCATCTAAGTCGCTGGTGTATTTGATTGAAAGTGCATCCAAAACATGTTGAAGACAATCCAAAGCACGTAGATCTCCAGCACAAATGTATTGACGAGAAGACACATTGAAATTCACAATTTCCACAAAACCGGCATGTCTGGAGACCAGAGTAACGGCAGTCTGAAGTCCAGAATCATTGAATGCTGTTGGAAAAGTAATCCAGTTAGTATGTACTCTTGACGTGATAATAGGAAAGCTTACCAGAAGAAACTCGATAAGGATCAACGGCCACCATGCCATAGCTAGACCGATTCAAATCATCACGCTCAACGGCAGCCTGCATGGTCAGTCCACGACAGAACACAACGTAGAGCAGCTTTTCTAACGCCACGAAATCCGTCACAGCTGCCAAAGCAGCGTATTCTCCCAAGGAATGACCGGCAAATACTGCATTTTGGGGAACTACCTGCCGGGATGCAGCATCTTGAAACGATGCCATTTCCATAACAGTCAGGGCCGGCTGCGCAAACTGCGTTGCAAATAGAAGGCCACCGGGGTACCGAAATCGGTATGCGGTTGTCTCTGCGCTGACTTCGGGAAACATCCGACGCAAACGAATGGTGCCGTCCTCCGGAATTTCGTACACCATTTGCATGTAGTTTTGACGCAATTGACGACCACGAGGCCCCCCAAACTGAATCACGAGCTCTGTGGGATTTTCGCAAACGATCTTGCGAAGCTGGAAACCAAACTGATCTTCAAAGTAGGCATCGCAGCGGTCCCAGAGATTACGGGCGATGGGTGATCGCTCGTAGAGGTCCATACCCATGGACGCCTGCTGACTTCCCTGTCCCGCAAAGAAGAAGGCCGTCCGAGGCTGATGAATGTGTGTCTCTCCTGAAAGGACTTTCTCACCCGAATCCTGCTTCGAAACGTCGATCTGAACCACTTTCAGACCGTTCTTCATTGCAACATGCTGCAGGGAAATTCGGAGTGTGTCTCCTGGAAGTACCATACCCACAAAAGACACATTATAAAGACAGATACGGCGCTCATCACCCTCGGCTGCCCATTTTGTAACTGCATAGCGGACCTGTGCGGAGGTCTTCATCCCGTGTGAAATCGTTCCAGGCAACTGAACGTAATTCGAGAATACCGGCGATGTGTGAATCGGATTGAAATCCCCAGAGGCATGGGAGTACTCGGTGTTCGAAGATGAAAGAATTAGCAATTCTTCACATGGCAGTGGGATGGCGTTCTCAAGGGGATGGTGTGGGTGGAATGGCTGCCCTCGACGGTCAAGCATCTCTATAACAGGGTTCGTCACTGATACCTCACCAGCATAGTCGACTGTACCAACCCGGCGCTGGCGCTGGCCTTGCAATATTACATATACACCCCCTCGAGTGGATTGCACTTGTTCTTGACAGGTTGTTTCGACTTGGAATATAAGATCAGATTTGTCGAGCTCGGAACTTGTTGGATAATCCCAGCGGATCCATGGTTTTGAAATCAAAATGGACTGCTCCTCCGATGAGGAGAAAGCCACTTGAGTCGAGTCCCGCTTGGACTTGGAGAAGAGGTAACGATCATCGCTGCTGTTGCATGAGCCCCGTATCAGAAACTCGGAGGTAATTGTAACGATGACAGTTTCATGACGCTTCAGGTCGCAGGAAATTTCTATCAGCTTGCCAGAATTTCCAAGACTGATCTTTCGAATCTGAGCTGATGCTGTTACACGATCACCAATTTGGAATGAATTCTCTGCCGTTTGAACTTCAAACTTGTTCGAAAGATGAACCAGTGTGAGCAGGTCGCCTTGCACAGGCCGCTGAAGGAGAGCACGGGATATCGCACCCCAAGCGAGGACAATGCTAAAGTCCAGCGGAACAGCGCATGCACCCATATAGTTCGTTGCTTCAATGAACGCCTGAACAGCCGACTTTTCCACAACGGCTGACTTCTCATGCGGTCGCATGAAGTCCACAGGGGTTTTCGGGCCATTCAAACTCTTACCAAGCCAGATATTTTCGTAAAACGTATAAATACGTTCGGCGCGGTCGTCAGTTGTTTCCCAGATGGGACAATATGATGCCTCGGGGTGATATTCATACAACAGAGACAGTGGGACCGGCCCATCACTGATACTGACATACGTCCAAAGATGCATCGCGATTTGTTGTCCATTGCGCTCGACGGTGACATGTTCGCGGAATTCACCATTGTCGTTGTACAGACCAAAGGCAACGGCATCTTCTCCTTTATGAATTGATGCATGAGTAGGTGTCAGTATTTTTGACAGTGGGTTTGCAACAAAGCCACGATCTTGGAAGAACACTGGGTGGGTTAAAAATGCTGTTTTCCACGACGGCTCCGTGGCTCGCAGCTCTGACTGGCATTTCTCTGCATCCGAAATGACAGAAAATGGCGCAAGGAACTCCTCATATTTCAGTTTCTCTGGATCTCCGTATTTGCCGGTATCAAGTAGAAGTGACAAGTTTCCATCATTTATGGCATTCATCACATCCTTGACTGGCTCGTCGATCTTGTTGATTGACCGGACTGCGACCGGACCTTGCAAAATCAAGGTTCGTTGCGCATCTTGATCTTGAACTGCTGCAAGGTCTTCAGACTGCCAAAGGGAATCTTTCTTGAACCAGCTCTCAAAGTTCATATCGAGTACAGGCACAAAGGGTACGGGCTTCTGATTTGGCCTTCGGCAAATTTGAAGAAAATAATGCATATCCTCGGTACTCAAAAGACTGTCGTAAATTGCTGGATGAGTACAGCCGAGATTCTGAATAGCCTTCACGGGATCCGAGCGCGTAAGAGCCGATATAGCAGGTTCTGGGATGATTGGAGACGCATGTCGCTCTTCCGTGCGTAAGAAGAAGTCAAGAAAAATGGTGTGATAGCTTTCATCGATCCACCCTCGAGGTACGGGGAGGAACATGAGTGATATCATGCGATGCAAAACCTCAGCATAGGTCATGTGTCTGATATCAGATGCGCTGTTCGTTTTCGCATTATGACCAAACCAAACCTTTTGAAAGTCTCTGTTGAGTCTCCTGGTTATTTCACTTCTGCGAGCCTGTAGAACTGGAAGCTGTTTATCCTTGCTCAAGCCGAAAATTGTCGAGTCCATTTCAGCCCAAAATATGGCACCCCTTGTCGCGACGACATGCATCGCCTCGCCCATTTCGGACTTAATAGATATAATTCCACCACAAGAGCCTTTTAGTGTGCCTTCCCATTGGTTATCTTTCAAGCCCTCAGAATTTGCAATGCAACTCTTAGATCCGGTCGCTGTATTAGCTTCCAAGCATGTCATCACTCGACTCCCGAAGAGAATGCCGTCGAATGGCATGGCAGCTGCTTTGCCTCTGCTCTGTGACCAGGTTCCAGTCAAGTATGGATTAACGTCATCGACAAATCCGAATCCACTTCCCGCAACCAGGATAATATTGCTGCAATGTCGGATTTCGTCGTATGTATCAAGGATAGGTTGATGAAAGTCCTCAAATGAATGATGACCGCCACCACGTCCACCCGTCCATTGAAGAACCACAGGAAATGATGGATTGGCGCGTGCTATCTGTAGCACACTCTGTATAGCAGCGATGGAGCCCGGTTTGAACGATATGTATCGAAGACCCAGCGTAGTTATGTACTGTGTTGCCACATCTAAAGAAGGAACACCACCACCGACGGTGATACTGTCAATGGGATAGCCTTCAGCAACCAATTTCTGAATCAGTGGAATCTGCCAGGCAATGGCCCTCGGGTTAATGTAAATGATGTTCAAAGCGACGGCTCGGCCTTTAGGCATTTGGGGACGCAATTTCTCGAGTGCTTCCGTGAGCCGAGCAGGCGAATGATATGCGCCACCAGCAAGTTCAATGTGATAGCCGGCCTGCATAGCCTTCGCTACTAGGGGTATATGCGCAGTGGTAGGAGTCATACCAGCAATCATGAAAGGTGGTAGGCCCAGAAGTCGACTGAATCGAGTTGCTATATGCATACCGGCAGCCGTTTGTATGACCTCTGGTCCAAACGAAGAGCTCCAATCCGTTCCTTGGAAAACATTATGGCGATCAAACAACTCCAATCTAGACCCGAGCGCACTTGATTGCTTTTTGGTGAGAACATTGGCCGATATTGTCCGTGTGCCCGTTCCTTGCAAGCTGCGCTGCGCTAGAGCCCCGATACCACTCCCCAATCCGGGCCCGAAGTCAATCACATGGGTAGCACCGTCGAATGATTGATCCTTCCAGTTAACCGGGAGGACAGTGACCAGTCGCACAAGGTCGGGAACTATGTTCGTCTCAGACCCATCTTTCCAGGGAAAGCCACCGGCGGTTTGATTGACAGGAATCCGTAGCTGGCTTCGAAGTATTCGTACATCTTTCAAGTCCTCCAAAGCCGCATCCACCGCTGATGAAAGGATGTTAGAGTGGAAGGGAAGGCTGACAGGAAGGAATGTGAGTGAAGGAACCGCTCTCCTCTTCGAAAATGGCACCCTATGTTGGCTTTCTTTCGGAATGTCTTTCTGAATAATATCACTCAACGCTATCAGTGCTCGTCGTGGCCCACTGACCACAAAGCCTGTGTCGCTGTTGACAAGGGAGACAGCAATATGTTTACTGATGGGCAATGCATCATTCACACGATTAATTTGCTGTAGAAGAATGTGTCGCTGTGTATTTGACACAGATAACATTGGAGATGGTTCTCCTTGCCCGCGCTGTGCGATCTCAGAAATTTGGTTTGGAGATGGTGGTGCATCGGCAAAGGCCTGCTGACTTCGAACTCCGATCCAATAAAGAATCGTAATGGCTTGGATGGAATGTTGGTACCAGTCTTCCCATGATGCAGCAGAGGCTGCGACAGCGGCGACAACGATACCCTGTGAGTGCCCGTGTATCTGTTTGAACACAAAAGGAATCTCTCGTGGTGAGATCCCAAGTCCTGCTAGCAGTGCGTGGAGGCTCATGCATTGAAGCAGCCCGATGAGAGGTAGGCTAACAGGCGCGCTTAAAAGATATTCTGATGAAGGTGAATCTTTGGTGTTTTTCAACCAATCAAGAACTCTGAGACCGTGGGAAAATTGGTTTTTAGCGGCTGGGTGGCAAGCCAGAGCAGATAAATGGTCGTCGAGGGCGACAACAAGGGGTTTGACCAGTGGTTCGTATGCATTATAAAGCTGCTGTATCTCTTGCCAGTATTCCCGAGTATTACCCTGTCCACCGAAAATGGCATATATGTTTGCATTTTCGGTGCTTGCGGCACGGAAAAGCGAAGTCATTTTCAATTTAAGAGGTATTTGGGGATTCAAGTAGGTGGTGTAGTGCAGGCGAAGCAATTCAAGCCCGAATTGAGAAGCGTCGGTGACATTACCCGCATGAGTATGGATATCAAATTCCTCCAAGACAGATCGCTCATAAAAATTGCATAGTTCTTGGAGAAATTGATCAGTTCCCGGATATGAAGAAGCGGCGATTGTTGCCTTCTGGCGCGAGAGGTAGGTGATGAATCTCAACACCAGCTCGGCTGGAGATCTTTCTTTTTCGTGAGATTCCAGGGATTTGTCGAAGCCATGGGACAATTCTTCGGCGATATTGTAGCTTTCGGAGGGGACGGGTATCACGACTGGGTTGCTTCCAAGCCTTATCGTGGAGGGATTCATCGTGGGGTCCCGAAGTGGAAAGGTTTTCCTGGACTCGATGGGGATGTTGTTCATCGCAGGACAACAGACAAAACAGGATATAAACAGCTCTAAGAATATCCAATCCACCAGGATGAGATATGCATGGTGAATGCCAAAATCACGTCTTTCGTCGAGATGACTGCCCGGTCACAAAGTGGAGCTTGAAGCCAAAGTCGGCGTCTTTCGGACCGTAAGCATATGTATTTTACTCACCGGCACATCGCAAGACCAAGGGGTGAATGGGTTTCAGACGCTGATTAATGAACACAGAAGGGTATGAAAATCTTGATTCCATTTTGGCCGATTTGAAGGGAGTCTGCGACCGTTGAAACCGTTGAGAACTGTCACAATATACCATGGGCCGAAAGGAGAACCCCGTGCACCATAAGCTTGCTCGACCAGGTGAGCCAGACTGGCGATCGTTGACTGATCGCATTGGCCGTCGGCGAGTCCAGAACCGCCTCGCCCAGCGCGCATATCGTAGGTCTTCTCCAGGTTCTTTCTCTTGTGTATCTGCTCTCGCCCAAGGCGGGTGCAGACCGAGTGCTGAAGCAAGGAGGCTGACATTCTCCCAACTGATTAGGGCAGAGCACCAAAAGTCAATCTTCAAAGTTGGCTCAACTAGAGAGTGAGTTATCTGAAATGCAGAAGGAGATTCGTTATTCGGAGCCAATAAGCGACTGCGTGGACGGGATGCAGCTATCCGAAGACGACTGTTCTTCTGCCAACAAAACTGTCGAAAGCCCACCGCCTGCACCCACGTCTCTTATACACTTGGCGGTGGAGCAGGGCCATGTCGGTGTGTTGAGAGCTCTCTTGGATAACGATAATGAAAGACAAAATTTGAATGCCGTTGATGCCAGCAATCAGACTCCACTCCACAAGGCATTGGAGATTGGCCAGTTGGAGGTAGCACGGGTCCTCATTGAATATGGCGCACAGTTGGGGAACATTGTCGACAGCAACACTATATCACCCCTTTGCGTTGCTTAATACCCAGAGCAAAGAGAAGGGGGTAAAATTGGATTCGGATTTGGAGAGCGAGAGATGGAAGAAGGAAGTGGAAGACCGAACCAACGGAGTAGTGGGTCACCCTATCTCCCATCCCCCAACTGCAACAAACTTTCTTGCCTGCTAAATGTCAACCTTGGAAATCTTGTTGGGGAGGTAATTGAAACGGAGATGGTTTATTTTACAGGGCCTTCACGGTCTAATAGATAGTAGTAGGACAAATTCACGTTCACCATAGATGTTGACTACATAATGGAAAACGAACGCAATGGTAGTAGTTGAAACCGAGTCTTAACCTCAACCACCATCATTATAACAAAGAGAGAAGGTAAGACAAATATTTAAATCCTGTTCTCGAATCCGCCCCATAGGCCTCCAAGAGGCTCTGCGCTCAGAGTCCCATCGATCTCATCTAAAAGAGATGTCCACAGGTCCAAGTCCATCTCAGGAGCTGCATCGACAAACTCAGACCAAAGTTTATCAAGAGGTGATGGCGAAAATTCGTCACTGTGGCTTGATAGCGGGCTAGGCTCTGCCTTATATAGTATTACTGGGCTATCGACTGCTGTTGGAACCGAGCCTCCTGGCGTATGCTCTCTTGAAATCAAGGAGGATGGGTTGATGGTAGTGGGCGGAATGTTCTTGAGTTTGCGCTCTTTCAAAGTAGCTCGAAGCTTTTGCACTACCCTGTGAGTGCCGTCTACTTCTGACGCGGACTGCTCTAGTATGCGACAAGCCGCCATGACTTCTTGTTGTCTAGTTGTAGCATCCGGGCCAGTAGGATAGAGAGAGAAGTCACTGGCCAAAAGAACGGCCGCGTGAAAGACGTGTTGCATGATCGACCATAAACGACAAGGGTTTATGCTCACTAAAGGGCCTGCATCATCCATTAGGCGCCGCAACTCGAGTACCATGCGAGCAGAGCGTATCCCTGCCTCTCGTGAATATGCATATCGTTTGTTGACGGAACTTTCCAGATGGAAGCGCCGGTGCAGCCAACATAGGCGGGTGTGGGCCGAGAAGTGGAGGATCAGTCGCTGCCAAGAGATATATGAGTTCCCATGAGGTCCGAATTGAGTATCCTGAACTCCTCCTGGATGGATCTGGAAGAAAGACGGGAGATCCTGCAGGTATTCTTGAAACTTTGCATCCAAAGCCAAGACAATACCGTAATCAAGTTCACTAGAATCGAGCCCATTGAAAGGGAGCCGATTCACTGCTTCTTCGCATATTTCTGCCAATTTAATTCGAGCGATGGATGCCGACATTGTCGTGGGGACTGAGCATGACAGTCATACGGTGCACGGTCGGGGTCAAATTTCGCGGTAATCGCGCCATCATCCACATTGCTGGGATATTGCACGGCCATGTGTTTCTTCTGAAAAATATAAGTTCCTTCTTGAGGTCCACCGGAGAATGCAAGCAACCTAAGCCACATATTAATGTTCCATTGCTTGTCTCAAAAGCTGACGGAGAGAGAAATTGCATACCAATCAGAAGAGACCATGTGCCACCAGATTCGTCTTTGTACCTCAACTTCAATGCCATCGCATCCATTTAAACGTCGGTGCTCGCGACTCTTGGGGGTGTCTAAACAATGAATGCGCATTGCGCGTGCCATTAGAAGTCCCCGAGCACGTAGAAGGTGAACTTTATCAAGGAGGCCTTCTGCGTTGGTGTGAAGATAAGTGAGAGTACTTATTCCAGCCAGGGCGGCTGTGGAGGGTGGCAAGTCATAATCAAGAAGCCCCAAAGCCAGGTGACTATAGGCAACATGTAGATCCTTGGCTTCAGAAGGCGTGATGTAGAGCTTTTTCAGCAAGTCTGGGGTCCATATAAATGCGGCACTGGAGATAATGCTCAGTAGGAGCAGAAGAGTTCCTGCTTCAAGAGCTTTCTCCAACCTTAGACGATGATAACTTTCCTCCAATATAGCGCGTGTAGATGGCACATGGAGTATGCCAAAATTCGGATGTGTGGTGTCAAAAAAGTGATCAAACAAGTCACGAGTTTGATCAAGATTTGGAAGACAGCTGATTGCAAAGACAAGAGTAGCTGAGCTCTGGGCATGAGGATGCTGGCTGGAGCTCATGTAAATGAGTGCATTTCCAAATCCAGTTCCTGAGAGACGAGTCTGACGGCATCCAATTAGCTTAATGCACCTTGAAAACATGGCTATACATACCGCAGGAGTTGTGGAGGTCAAGGTGTTGGGCGAAGCAGTTGGACGATGTACTGCTGGATTAGATTTGCCGGTGTGCCGGAGTACAGCTTCCTCTAGAATTTCGATGCGTGTGAACAGCCCCGGGAGGTTGGTAGATTCATCGCGGCAAATTATTGGCTTTGTTTCCATGCTTTGTGTATTATTCAGACTCAGCAAGGCGATCGCACTTTGCTGAGCAGAAGAATGTGGCGTATTTCTCGCACGCCTTGTGTCAGCCTGTCCACCATAAACACAAGTCTTTCTCCGCTGTCGACAATTCGCACATGGTTTTCCACGGTCACAACGTAACTTCTTCGATCGGCATAGCTCACAAGATACCGGTCGACGAATTCTTTGGTGTACAAAGGTGGTTTGGAGGGGCTTTCTCTCCATGCTGGTGAATATTGAGTAGTCCAATGCTTCAAGAATTTCCTCCGCAAAGCAGAGACTTGCCAACTTAAATGAAAATCAACTATGTGACTCGATATGTGAGAATGATCTGCATCTGATTCTATGAGTCCACATACATACAAGTTGGGATTAGTGAGCCATTAGTCTTGAGTCTTGACCAACATAGCAGATGCAGGGGGAGTAAACTTGGTTGACGGCCGTCGGAGTGAGCGGGCCCGCTCGGCCGTCTTCGTGCGAGACCCGCATTGGACGCTAATTAGCAAAACTCTTGATTGATATTATTGGCTGTTTCAAAGAGGTCGACAAAATGCGGGGCTCTGCACTATTAAATTCTCCATTCACAGGCATGGAGTACAAGTACAGGGAAGTAGGAGTCATACTACTCCGTAGCTTAGTGTTAAGTCCGCGGACTTTGGGGACTTGCCCATTTGGGCCATGTGTTTCGTACGAGGAAGAATTCTTATAAACAACCATGAAATAACTCGTGGTCTACTAATGTTTCAGTGATTTCCTAAGAAATTTCCAAGAAATACTTCCATCGTCGCCAATGGCTCCAGTGAGCAAGACCGAGTTGGAACCGCCGAATGGGGGGTGGAAGGCCTGGCGGACTGTATTCGGCTCGTTTCTATTGCAGACCTCGTCCTATGGCTATGTCACAGCGTGAGCATCCCAGATCGTCTTGATCAATGAAACAAAGCCACATCCAAAACTCAGAAGCTTGAAAATATACTTTTATCATGGCTACAATTTCTAACTCTATTTGATGATAGGTGCGGTGTCTTCACTTTATACTACAAGCAGGTTATGCTACCAGAATACTCAGCCTCTCAGCTAGGTTGGATCGCCACCATCGCAGTCTTTCTCATTTTCGGTGTCGGTATCCCTATCGGCGCCCTTGTAGACCGCTACGGCACTCGTCCTGTGGTAGCTCCGTTCGTTGCCCTGGGAATCGTATCTCTTGGTCTTCTCAGTCTCTGCAAAACATACTGGCAGATTGTTCTTTGTCAAGGAGTCGCTTTTGGTCTAGCCTGCTCCGGTACAACTCTTCCCGCAGTTATTTGTGTTACTCAATGGTTTTCGACAAAACGCGGACTTGCTGTCGGCCTGGCAAGTTCTGGAAGCAGCTTCGGAGGTCTTATTTTCCCTATCATGGTTTCCCGCTTGATCAATAGCCACGGCTTCAAAACAGCAATTCACTGGTCTACACTCGTGGTCGGTGTTTGTATGATAGTTGGTCTGATCTGCTGTGAGGGACCATATCCTCCAAAGCGCTTGGCCGCCATGAAAGAAAAGGAATCAAGCGCCACTCCGTCTTTGGAGTCACCAAAAATAGATGAAAAGCCCGATGAGAGTGGTTTGGGTGTGTCGACCTCCATTGAAGCTTCAACCACCCCCAAGCCTGCCGATAAAGTTCTTGGAATGCGCCACAATCTCGTTCCATGGATAGCTTTCTGTGTCGGTGTCTTCTGCTGCACGTTCTCCCTCTTGGTTCCTTTCGACTATCTACCGATCATCGCCGCGGAGCAGGGTATGAAGCAAGATCTGGCCCAATATACACTCGCTATGATCAATGCCGGGTCCATGATTGGGCGCATTATACCAGGATTTGTATCCGATCATCTTGGTCAATTCAATGTCATGGCGCTGGTGACCACCCTTTCAGCCATTGCGCTCCTCGTGGTCTGGCTTCCAGTCTATTACTCCCCCACAGACGGTGGCATCATCTTCTTCTCTTTATTTTATGGATTTGTCTCTGGCGGATACACCAGCCTGTTATCACCTTGTGTTGTCGCGCTAGTCGATGGTCAGGTGGCTAATCTTGGTCTCAAATTTGGCATCGCATGCCTTTGTCTTGCATTCGGGTAAGTTATCAACCACCATGGTTCTGAAAATGGCATTGCTGATCAGTTTTTAGGGCGTTGGTTGGAATTCCTGTTAGTGGCGCAGTAGCCGACGATACTGGCAACTGGGGCGGACTAATCGGCCTATCCGGCGCTATGATGGCTCTCGGTGCCGTGAGCTTTATTGTTTCCCGTGTTCAAATGGGTGGATGGAACCCAATGAGCAAAGTATAAAGAACTTGAGTGGTGTGCAGAATCTCAACTCCAAACTAGACACAATCTCCATAGGAGTCTACATAAACCATTTATAATTGTGCTATCTATCTTTACCTATAGATCATGTGAATTAATTTTTGCGCAAATTAATTAAGACTTAAATGTTAAATTCATTAAAATGTGTTGCGTCACAAATGGTCGCAGCTTTACTAGTAATTGGTCGATTTCATCAGGAGGAAACAGCAGAATCTATTTTCACGGAAATCGAATTTCAACTATGCACCGTTTCAAATCTTAGGTGCAAATACGAAGCGTGGGTGCGTAATAAAATCGAAGACAGCACAGGTTTATACATGGCCAGCTGGCCTCATGAAACCATATCATCCGCGAACTAGTATAGCTATGACTGAATAGTAAATGATCACATAAAACTGGTGCCTACTAACTAATCAATCGATTATAACTGTGGGTTTGGACGTCTATCCAAGATTGAAATGTGTCATAGGGGATAGACACTCCAACGCCAATTGAACTCATCTAACTCTGTCCCTCTTTGTATTCCCGACAGCTTCTGTATTATCTCTTTACCTTGCACTGCACCTCCAAACTCGAATCGTTCGCCCGTAGAATCACGTAAAATCGAGCGGATTGGAACAGCAGTAGCCGCTGTACCGACCGCGAAGACTTCGGAAAATCGGCCAAGGGTGTTAAAAGGAATCTGAATGATATAATGTTAGATGCAAGCAGAGATCTTATATTTGGGGTAATTACCGCGCAGTGTTGTACCGTCCAACCGTCTTGCTTTGCGACACTGGTGAGAGACTCGCTCGTGATACTGCGGATAGCGTTCTGTGTGTCTGGCACGTAAATTGTTTTCGACGCCCCTTCCACACCAACGAAGCCACTTGTGCTGAACTCTTCAATTTGAGATCGCGTTTCGCTGTCCAGATGGAGCGTGAGACCAAATCCACGTTGTCGAGCGCGTGCCTGGTGCGGCCAAGCCGGCGCGTAATTGCCCCCTAGCTTGCCACTTCCCGTACCACGCGGTGCTGAACGGTCGAAGTCTTCCATGATGAGTGCATCGAGCGCATCTGTTCCATGGTATGCGCCACCAGGAATGACATATACGGCCAATACGGTCTTGTTAGATGGTGCCAGAGCAATCTGCGCACCAGAACCGAAAAGTACCGGTCGCAGATATAGAAAGCCGGCGCTATCAGCTGGAGGAACAAATTCTGCATTGCCCGCGACGGCTAGTCGCATGCACTCTAGAAATAGTTCGTCAGAGACTTTTGGCAGACAAACCATGTTTGCTGAGTGGCGCATTCGAGCTGCATGGGCTTCGGGGCGGAAAATGTGTAGGGTATTCTCCGCCGTGCGAAATGCTTTAAGCCCTTCGTATACCTGCTGTCCATAGTTGAGACCAGGAGCTAGTCCATGAACCTGAATATAAGGGCTGGCAATCAGCTCCGGAGAGCTCCATATTCCAGTCGATGCATCGTAGCTACACTCGACATGCCCGTTCACTTTTGGTGGGTCTGCAAGGCTGAGAGAAGACCAATCTATTTGCGCTATTAGATAAATATGGCAAAACGCGAGTCCCGCGCAATCGAAGCGCTTACCTATATCAGCCGGTGGGGGAAATTGTTTCTCAGTATTGCGACCATTTTCGGTAGGAATTGTCATTTTGTGCGTTGCCGAGCTATGTATGGTATTTGGAGAGGTGGTTGTTGAGTTTTCTTTTGGAAAAGAACACCTAAAGTATGCATCGAAACATCGGTGGTCGGATGGCCCCTTATGATTGGGCCCGAATTTGTCCATCATAAGCAGCAAGAGAAAGGGCTGATACTGTCCGATCTCTCTAATATTGTGGGCGATAAAACATCAAGAATCGTTTAGCTCCTCTCGAGTGGGCCGTTGTCTGACCCCTTGAATAGTGGCCGAGATTACCATTCGCTGCTATCGCAATTTACTAGCCGACGAGATTTGAATGCTAGAAACCGTTAGTATCTATTCAAGTAGCCTCAAAACATACATATCCGTTCAGATGCACCACTAGTAGTTCTTGGTTTCTATGATTCTGAGTCACTTCGAAAACTCGACATGGAGTCAAAGTTTCACGATCTATGGGCCGCGGGCCTTATTCCTGCGCATTTGAAAACTGGCCCAATCACAAACTATATTGCGCCACTTGGTAATTCGAATTTACTATTGGTTACTTCCGCAATAGGCCTTGCGATCGTCGCAATTTTCATTATTCGAACCCCAGTGGTATTAAGTACCATCTTCAATGTAAACTTCATATGTGGGTGTTGTGGTTCTTAGCTAATTCAAAACCAGACATTTCTTCATTACACAAACATTATCCGAAGTATCGACAACAAAGGCCTTCTGGATGGACCGACATTCTGCTATCCATTCGGCAACTCGAAGGAACGTTTATTCCAATCACGCAAGTACTCATTCGACTGGGCACAGCAGTATGGCAAGATCTATCGTATCTGGACAGGCTTGCATTCCGAAGTGTTGGTGATCCCGCCCCTTGATAACGGAAGTGTGCACTAAACCAAACTTCAAAGCGTGATCACAACCCCGGAAGATGTTGCCAAGTTTTACCAAGATGCCAATTCCCATAACAAGACTTTCCACCGTCGCAGCGGATGGGTTACCAACTCGGTGTTAGGCGAGGCTGTTGGTTTCGTCTCGGGTGATCGGTGGAGAGTTTTCCGAAAAATCCTCGATCCGCTTGTGTCGAATAGTGTTGCTGTCAAACACATCCCGCGTATCAACCGAGCCGGGTTGGAGTTTGTGGCTAATATTCCGAACGTCCGAATAGACAAAGGTGGTGCGAACGACCCACTCATTATCTCCGCCGCAAGAACATTTATGCCTTTCCCACTTCTTGAGACAAGCCGTGTCTTTTTTGGTGAGATGGAGGACACAGAGAAAGCCGAACTCCTCGAAATCGGAGGAATCTACTCCAATGCATTGCTTTTACTTTTTGAGAATGGTCCATTCCGACGCTGGCTTGGATACTGGATGCATACCCCAACTGAATACAAAGCAACAAAGAACTTTCTCAACCGTTGGGACTTATTTAATGGCAATATCGCTCAAGCAAGACATGATAAAAATGATCTGCCCATCACTCAACTCTGGAAGCACGTGCATCAAGGCACCATTACCCAGAAGGAGGTAGGATTACTGCTCCTTATTCTCAATACAAGCTAACTTTATCACAACATAGCTGATTCAAACCATCACCGAGATGACTTACACCAATCTAGATGTGACCTCCCATGTTATTACCACAACATGTCTCTTCCTTGCCGACAATCGTGCAACTCAGGATGCCCTTCTGGCCGAGATTGAGTTGCATCGGAACGACGTCGAGAAGTACCTTGGTCGAAAGGATACCCTCTTACATTATTCATTTTTGGAGGCAATGCGTCTGCAACCTGTTCTGCGTAAGCCTTTGTGTCTAAACTCCAACCACATTTTCGGAGATTAAGCTGACATCCAATAGCCTTTACCTTGCCTGAGGCGTCAATTAGCGACAAGGAGCTTGGCGGGTACCATATTCCCAAGCATGTAGGTGACTATATTCTAAATCTTATGATATTCAACTAACTTTAATCAGACCAGTGTGACTACCGACTCTTATGGGCTTAACATCCGGAACCCCTTCTGGGGACCCAACGCTACAGAATATCTGCCAATGAGATTCGAAACTATAAGCCCAATAGAGGTGTGTCTTTTGTCTCTCCTGTGCCAGAGAATTAGTAACTAATACTTTCGGATTTTCAGCTCATTCGAAATATGAATGCTTTTGGCTACGGTTCACGCAAGTGCCTCGGTCAGTATTTCGCAGATAAGCAACTACGGTCACTGGTGATGCATCTTTTCGACAAATATGATGTGTCTTGGCACAACCGCAGCCAGACAGATGCTGCATTTGATACTGACAAGAGTGCACACGTTGACGTTTTCAATGTGGAACTGTGTTTGACTCAGAGGGCGCGCACGGATTTCAAGGACTCCCATGCTGGTCTCTAATGCCCTGTTGTCCGAAAATCAATTCTACAAGCTAGCAAAACGCGAAATACGCAACTCGGGAACAACGAATTCTTCTTTCTCGAATAAAGCTGTTCATATAAATTCACAAATATATGCCTGATGATTCGCAACTTCCAAAGGTATCATTTGTTTCCTCCTTGGTGTAACGAACTGGTGTTGATACCGTTATCATGGATGCCTTACGCCTGTAGCATCTACCTGGACATCCACGCCTACGCCTGTATCTAACTTCCATCTAGCTTCCTCCTTCTCTCTCTTCTCGGGCTAATTAGGTACTTTCGTCGAGCTGCTACTACTTCCTTTGTCCGATGTATACTAATAATATAGATAAGTTAATGTATCTATCTACCTCCTTATTTGCTATATTGTAAACTAATTAAGGCGTTCTTTTCTAGACTTAAGGGTTTTGTTAAACGTAATTGATGCTGAGGAAACCCCAGATCAAATATTTGATTTCTTTCATGGCTGGTACATTGATTCGGTTGGAGCAATGGAGGAGAGTGCGAGAGGTCATTTTAGGCACGCAGGCCTGAGTATTGACGAGATAAAGTGTAGATGTTACGCACTTGAATTTGAACCAGATACCAATTAAAGATAATCACGAATGACCCGTCAAGGCCAGAGCTGGGTCTCACTGCGTCAATTTGAGATAATACATCATTCGCAGGTTTTCTGCTTTAGCAGCCTTGAATTTGACATGACTAAGAAAACGACATGCGTTAGTGCTACAGTACTAATTCTGTTCATTATGGCGATTCCTCTACTATGTCAAAAATCTGTTACAAAGATGTCATCAAGCTCTCTACAACTTATTCGAGTCACCGAGCACCTAAGCCGGGACACAAAAATACAAGCCCTAGTGGTGAAGTTAGCAAAATGGGAGGGGAGCTTAGGGACGTCGACCTACATTTGAAACCAGGGTTTCTTTAGTCTAGAAAACAAGCTTGTTAGCACGAACAAATCCAAGGACCTGAAGAATGGCTTACCCCTGTAGGACATTCGCAAACGGGAGTTCTAACACTGCCATTCCCATTTGTACTAGAAGAATATTTGCTCATCTTTCTCGAAGAGTTAGTTTTTGGTTCATGGTTGTGCTGAAATAAGAAAATCAAATTTGACGTACCGATCCAAGGCCAGCGCATTGCTCGAGAGCGCGTGCGCCCAGGGCTAGCGCCGCGAAAAAGGCGAGAGTTGTGAAAAGTTGCATTAGAAGGAATTTTTGGTCAACGTAGAGTGACCCGTGGACGGTGAATGTAGGGGATGAAAGAATCCTGCACACCGGCTTCTAGGCTGGATATGTTCTCTTTTATGCTAAAAGGAACTCAAACGTCACGTGTAGTTATGATTTAGCGCTGGCTTCTGGCATTCCTGCCCTTGGGGGGGGGTGGGTCGCAGTAAATTTAATAAGCTCGCAGATCTTCTGCAATATTTCACGCAAACTCCCAAATAAATGTACAGTGTCTGGCCTCCAGAGTGGAGCCACTGCACGCCACATTCAATTTATTGGCCCGGACCGCATATCCCCAGCAAAGATTTCTCTACCTTCTAACCCCTGGTTGTATGAGCCCTCAGCTGTTTTGGTTCTGTACATAAGTTACACTGGCTTGCTAATGCGCGCTGAACGGGCTCCAATCTGCGGGCCGGACACTATATAGATATGGCGCTAAATTGCCACTGGCCATCCGCATTTTCTTCGGTATCCTCACACTACTAGATACATAGATGTAGACATGGATGCCTAAGTGGATGCCGCAGGCGTAAGGCATCCCCGAATGGTAACAACACCAGTTCCTTACATCTAGCTGCGTGTCTTTATTATCGAGAATTCTGTTTATCACAGATAATTTACCTCTCTTCTCCCCGTTCTGCGGTGGATAGAAGAGAGTAAAACAGTGGTGATCACGACAATGTATATGATTTGTCCAGGGTTTGTCCAGCTTCAGCAAAACCCGGGTTAGGACCAGAAGATGGCAAACGTAAAAGTGGAGGCGGTTTGCAATGGTACAATTAGGAAGAACGACGGGTTTAACTGAGGGGCTACGTTATCTGTCAGGGGCCAGGGCGTTCAGGAAGAAACCCGAAGGTTGAAAAGTATGGCGGAAAGGATCAATCCAACCAACGAAGAAAGAAAAAACAAAAAACATACAACAGCAGGGATTCGCATGTGGTCACCCACCATACTACTAACCTGCCGGCGTGTGGCTTAAGTACGGCTGAGCGGACGGGAAGCCCTGTTCTCCACACCCTATGGTCGTATGTAATATATACAGCGGGAAAGAGGAATATATAGTAACCAGAAATATCTGAGCGTTGTTCTAGGGTTGCGAAACTTGGGTGATCTAGGTGAGAATATTCTAGATGGGGCGAGACAGGATATGAGAGAGCACTATTTGCCACCTAGTGATCGCATGGACCCTTTGGTGCGTGTGATTTAAGTACAGTTGAGTGGATGGAAAGCCCTGTTCTCGACACCCTACAGTCAATATGTGTTAAAATAAAGGAAAGTATGTAGCAACGATTGTGCGATTGTGTTGTATTGGTGGGAAATGGCGCTAGATTCTTTTTGAATGCTTAGCCCTGGCAGCGTCTAGATGTTACGGATTGTGCTATAATTATGAGGGAGCTGCAACCTACTTATTTTTTGCTACCCCATTTACCGTATTCTTTCTCCTTCATTCCATTTGTTGCTCTCAGATCCGATTATTAAAATATTCGATGAGATCGACTTTGCCGATGCAGGAAGTACCTCATGACTGGAGGAATCCTTAACTAATGGCCTAGATAATAACACATTCAGGTTGTCCCGCCCAGTTGCTGCAACCTAGCCATTTGCCAATACCTGCCTTCCATTCCCATTAGGCCCTCATGGGTGCCCCTTTCAATAATCCTGCCACAGTCAACTACAAGTATTTCATCAGCATCGACGATGGTATTCAGTCGATGGGTTATGGCGATTATAGTGCGATATCTCATCATGTCTTTTATAGCCTTTTGGACGATCTGTTCTGACGCAACATCAAGTGCAGAAGTAGCTTCATCAAGCAAACTTCAAATCACAACAAAGTCTTAGCATCAAGAATCTTGTGAACAAAAACCTGTGTAACTTACAGAATATTTGGCCGTAGCAGAAGAGCCTTTGCAATAGCCATGCGTTGGCGTTGTCCGCCCGAGAGTGTTGAACCGTTTCCGGTTACTAAAGTACTCAATCCTTGCGGAAGAGACATCTGAGAGCATGGTAAATTTTCGAGTCCACGTAATAATTCTAAGAGTATTTAGAATCGAAAGAAAAAATCTTACCAGGAAATCCTTCAGACCAACGGCCTTCAGAATTGAATAAATCTCATCGTCCGAGAAGAAATGCCCTCCACTCTGAAGGCAATCTCGCAGATCGTTTCCAATCAAACATGGGTTCTGATCAACGAGTGAATAGTAACTACGATAACTGTCGAGGGAGTACCGGTCTATTGGCGTATTGCTAAGCGTTACTTGGCCACTTTCGTAAGTGTAAAATCGCTCGATCAGGTTTATCACAGAACTCTTCCCACTGCCCGTGCACCCTACAACAGCAACAAAGGACCCTGCGGGAGCTTTGAAACTGAAATTATCCAGCACGAGTTGATCTGGCTGCTTTGGATATTTGAAGCTCACTTGATGGAAAGCAAGCTCTTGCGTTGTTTTTGGCAAAGGTAGTGGCATACCACTTGCCGGTATTTCAGAGCGATGGGTGGCTTGAGCTTCCATCAAAATATTGACTCTTTGAGCAGAAGAATGTGCACCAGCGATGTCTGGAGCACGCGAAAGGAGGGTGGCTGCTGACTGTGTTCCCCACACCGTAGCCGCAAAGCAGATAAAGAATTGTTGAATGGTGTACTCCCCAGTGGCGATGAGGTGAGTACCTCCGAACCAAAATACGAATGCTATGCTGAAGATGCGCAACGATGTCGTGCATGCGTACATGGCAGCCGAGATAGCCCAGTATCTACTTTGGCTGTCCTGTTCAATTGCCCCTTGGAAGGATTCCATGACTGACTGATGAAGGCCAAAGACTGTTACTGTCCGAATTGCAGTGAGGGCTTCGTGAGCAATAGCCACGGCGCGAATATCTCGCCTCACAAAATTCTCAACTTTTGTGACAATATGGTATTGGAGAAAACCAGAAGCTGCAACTAGTGGAACGGTAGCAGTTGCAGCAAGGCCAATTTTCCAACCAAACAAGCATCCAATAAGGACACCTGTAAGAAGCATCGTGGTACTTTCCGTCACGAGACCAAGAGAGGTTCCTGATACGCCCACCACTTTGGCAGTGTCCGAGGACAATATGCTTACCAATGCCCCAGTCGAATGTTCATCCTCTTCGAAGAACGGGAGGTTTTTCGAAAGCAGTGCATTGAACAGCTCAGACCGGGCCCGGAAGCTAAGTTTAGAGGCTGAGACTGCGAAGCAGAACCCCCGAAGACAGTATATCGAGAGCACAATGAAGCCATGGACCAAGTAAATCTTTGCCCAGAAGTTAGGGCTATGGCCACCCGTGCTTAAAGAGGGGTTCACGAGCGACATTATGCCGCCCCCGAAGAATATAGCTTGTATGGGGTACGTTGCACCAGCAAGTACACTGAGAAAAATCCCTGTCGAGGTAAAGAGTATTTCTGGGTAGTTCAAGGCCCAGATCCTACTGATACTGCTTCCAAGTTGGACCACCGATGGAATCCCGTCGGCGCCAGCCACATTGTCAATGCTAACAGAGGCTTCTTTTTGGGACTTCTTGCCTTGTGTAACTTCCACAGATGTACCTATCTGCTCTCGCTCCACATATCCAAGCTCTTGTTGCTGTATAAGAGCCTGGTACAGTGGGTAATTTTGCATCAACTGAGTATCACTTCCTTGATTCAGGATTTTACCACCTTGCATGATGATTATACTGTCTGCATTTCTTATAGTCGAGAGGCGATGAGCTATTATGATTGTGGTTCGCCCGGATG